ATATTTATTCTTTATAGTATTCTGTTTATCTAAGCTATTTTACGGTACATAACGTATTAAATTATATTTTCTCGTAGATCATTAGTTCTACCGCAAAATTTATATATACTGTATTGTAAAAGTATATAAGGATATTGTATTGTTGCTGTTGTTATTGTTTCTTATTATCTTACCAATTCCATTCTCTTTCTTTAGTTGATCTGTCTGACGAGAATGGTATGGTAAAAAATCTTAGAAATTTCCCTACTGAATACGCGTCAAAGTTTGTCGATTCAAGGGAATCGTTGATTCTATTGCAAGTGAACGGTATACGATTAATACACTTTGTGATTTAATGAATTTACCCTATGTATATTGTCTATTATAGAAGACCAAAGTTTTGTACCCTTATTATCTGATTATGATAACGACAACGAATTCTTAGGTAAGTAAAAAAGTCACCTGGTAATCAATTCAATTTTAACAATTAACTGACTTTACTCAAGCTAAATTAAATCCAAATTCATTAACCTCTTCTCCGACATCATTCAATAAATCAAGAAGATCTTCGCTTAGGCGTTCGTCAATCAAGACTGGAAGAAAGAGTTTAATGCAAAGAAGGGATAGTAGGATATCTTTAAAAGGTAAAAATTGAACAAGCAAGACCAGGAAGAGTGGAAAGGAAAAAGACTAGAAATTTCAAATTGTTTATAAATGTTCGATTAAGGAAATATAGAATTTGTACTTGTATTTTATCGATGAATATAATCAATTTTACTTTTCTCAGTTGTACTTTGTCTGTTAAAGAATATTTGAATATGTTTGTAATTTGTTTGGTTTGTTTTCTTATGTAAACAAAAACTTAATTGGCTAATTCATCAACACTTTTATATAAACTATGGAAAAATAACCTTTATAATCCTTTTAGATCTATTCAGATTATAATAAAAGCCAAAATAGACATAATACGACTATCCCTCTATCTTATTTCTTCTCTGCTTTCCTCTCTCTTAGGAAGACGTATCTACTTTCTGTTTATATTTAATAAATAAATTTCAACGTAAAGAACGTATTTCAAGATAAAACGGAAAAGTAAGAGTATTTCTCCTTCAACATTTCCAATGCGTTTCTCGACTTTTCCTATAGAAATTTCACAAATAATAATCTCAAATTTCCACAATACATTTCCTTCAAGCCGTAAAGCTAGAATAGATGTTTCTTAATTAAATTTTTGTGTTGGTTAAATTCTATTGATCTATTTATCTTTTTAGTTGAAATACTGCAAATTATCTACACCTTAAGCAAGAAAATTGGCTATTTTTTAGATTATCTTTTTCCTTTTTGTTTTAATTTATTTTCTAAATATCACGCAATCTTCTTTCCTTTCTCCTTAACACGGTTAACTTGAAATTCTTCTTTGCTCGCGTTGCCTCACTTCTCTATCTTCTTCAAAGTCTTATCTCAATCACTATTCGCCTAATAGGAGGCAGATGGCATCACATACACGATATAACTTCATTTTCATTTTTCCTGTTAAATTATCGATTAATTCTAAAGCCTACTCACCAATTACTTTGATGGTTTTTGATGCTTTTACTGCTGTTGCTTCTGTAGTAGTACTAGCACTATGAGTAGTAGTAATATGTGTTGTTGTTTTTGTTGTTGTTGCTGCTGTTTTTCGTTATGCTATTTATTAATATGTTGTAAAGTTATGATTATAAATAGAATTGTTAAGATTTCTATATAATACAGCGAAATAAAAACAAATACGTCAGCCAATTCTCTATAATTATATTTATGATTACATTTGTAAGTTTTCCCTTTCGCTTAAATCCAGTTTATAAATCTGCGAGTATAAATAGAAATATATTATTAAGAGTCCAAAACAGCTCTACAAAACGTCGCAAAAGGTGTATATTACGCGTATATCTCCCGCCTCTTCTCCTCCCCTTCCACCCCCAACACTCTTCGTTCTCCCTACAAAAATATACAAGTTGATAAGGAGAATATAAAAACCAATATTATATTACAGTTTATTAGTAGTAATTTGTTCAGCTACTCTTTTTTCGTTGATAAGCAGAGTAAGAATAAACGTAATATTTACATTTTACGTATTAGAAACAAATTAAGGTAAGAAACCGTATTGGCAGTAAGAATTAGCTAAAAGTCATTGGGATGAGAAGAGAAAGAACGAAAGGGTTAACCATTCCACTTATTAGTTAACAATAACATACACTATTTGCAGTCTATATTACATTTAACAAACTACATCTTTCGTCTATTTAGTAGTAATATTTCACGATAATCTTTCCAATGACAGTAGATTTAATTCAATAGATTTTCAAACAAAAATTCAATAGGAAGAAGAAACAAAGTGGGAAAAAAATCTATTTTCAATTAATAGATTATATTAGTTTTAATCAAACTAACAGATGTAAAAAAATCCAACTCTCTCATTTCTAGAGAAAATACTGATGACTTGGTAAGGGAAATAGTTATAGACTTCACGTAATATTGATGTTAATGACGAATTATTAGAAAGGGAGGAGTGGAAAGGAGGATTGGGGTGGTGGTGCAACGAAAACGACTCACGAAAGTTTTGAATCCTTAAATTTACTATGGTAATGTATAATTAATAAATGACGGTGGTAGACAGCCCGCCCGCCCCCCCCCCCCCTCATCCTCTCAACGTCTATAGCACTATATATACTAATATATATATATATATATATATATGGATATTCTGTTTTATATGAGAAAACCAATCTATTAATAAAATTTCCATATACCTTCTCTTTTTTAATAATATACTGTGTATTTTAGAACTGTAATAAAATATAAACGTTTCTCGGCGTCCTTGATGAAAATGATAAAACTTTACTGACGTCAATCTGTATGGCTTTTGCTTTTTTTATGGGCTAATAGACTCTGTAATAGTAGCTACATCAAACACTACTTAGAGCATCCAAACATCATTTTTATAATAAATTATCATTGTTGAAAGAAGAAGAGGATGAAAAAAGTAAAATTGTTGGTTAATGTTCTCTTTCTTTCTTTCTTTCCTTCCTTTATTTTTTTAAAACTTGATTATCATAAGCTTAAAGAGATTTATGAAATACTGCTAATCCATTTTCTGAGGCGCTGTGATAAAAGGGTTGAAAAGAAAATAATAAATTGATCAACTGAAGAATCTCTTTCTTTCTTCCATTCCTTTCTCTCCGTCTCTCCTCCCCTCTCTTTTTGTCTCTTCTCTCTTCTCGCTTCTCTCTTTCTACTTCCTGTAGCGGTGAAGAGAGAAATAAAGGAGGGTAGAAAGAGTAGAAGAATGCCTATCTTCTAGCAATACCTAAGGAATAATTTATTGATTGTTTTTCATAGAATTAGGCCTGATTGGTTTTGTGACAATAATTGTTTTAGAAACAAGTAAAAATATTATTCGAAATCTTTCCTTTTCTTATTATTTATCATCGTTATTCAATGATTATCAAGATTATATGCGGTTTCTCTAGGAAGAACTTACAAGATCGTTTCCAATTTCGTTTCCTTTTGGAAACCAAACAGAGAACTTGCAATTACTCACTGCAGACTATTTACATAAGGGATATATATATACTATATATTTCTCTTAATCTGGCTTGATTTTCGTCATTTCTATCATTGATATTCATTCTTTTACAAACAATTTTTCAACCCAATTTTATCAATTCTACCATATTTATTCTATTTGGACAAGTTATCTTGTTTGTCATACCTAGACAGAGAAAATCCATCCAATTGATTTTTCTAGGAAATATATATAACAAGTGTTCTAGAACCAATATTATTCTGGCGTATGATAATGAAAAATCAATTCTTGAGGTTGACTTATTGGACCCTAGATCTTGTACAAATAGACAAACAAACATCACTGAATATAATATTAGATTTAAGGTTTTTATCTATTTGAGATAGAAGGAAAATCTGTTCATCTTTGACACCTTTATCATTTCTTGTTTGTTCTATTTCCACTAGATTGTTCACAACTAGAATAGTAATTTAAATTTGTTCACCATTCAACAGCTTGTTAAGTTTACTCCATGAATAATAACATTGTTATTACTAAATAGTTAACAATAATTATCACGTGACATGTGATGAATTGTAAATGAAAATAGAGAAGTAATCGAATTTAAATTATGTGAAGCGCCCACATAAAATTGAATATGTTGTTAAAAAGTTGAATATAATTTTATTATGATTCCTCTTTTTAAGTGGGTGGAAGTGGGGGTGGAAAAATTTTTGGAGTAATAGACGGAAATGCGTACAATTATAGGCCAAATTAGAATATTTATTTATTTGGAATCAGTTAAAATCAATATTATATAACTGTAATCAGTCATTGTAAATGTCTGTAGTTTTACTGTAAGTTCTTAATTATTTACAAGACCCTTTTCATACATGTTAATGACCTTTTAAACGTAAGAAGGGAGCAGACATAGAGGTTAAAAGGAAATTTATATACAGTATATATATATATATATATAAATTTATATATATATATACTTTATGTATGTGTTTGAGGGGGAGGAAAATAGAGATGGAACGACGAATGGGAGTAATTGACTTCTTCTCAATAATAACTTTTCATGCTTTAATCATATGGATTAGAGAGACTGAAAGATAGAAAAAGAGAGAGAGAGAGAAAGATATTTTGATACAGAGTACGTGAGAGAAATAAATTGTCTCTTTTCCCTGTTTGACTATACCAATCGGAATATTCAAGTGTGTTGAACATTATACTATTGTATACCCATTTATATTTACAATCGGTATTTATTTTGAAATTAAATTAATCCACCAGAGGACAACACTAACGCAATGTACATTTAATCCTATGAAAAACAATTCACACAATATCGATATTAAGTAGGGAAGCCTTTAACTAATCAATATTGAAAAATATTGCTATTTATATTCAAAAATGGCCGACTGTTTGAATACAATAGATCGCCATATTGATTTTTCTACTATACTACGGAAGCATTGTTCAGTTCAGTTTTTCAATTGACCATTCAGAAGATGACCTGCGAAGTCTACGATTGCTGACAGGTGTAGAAAAAAAGAGAGGAGAAAATAGAATATAATTGAATAAGGGAGGAAATTGGAACTACAAAACGGAAATAATTTTCTTTCTCTCAATTAAAGTAAAAAGTAAAGAAAGCGACCGATAAATAGGGAGGAGTAGAAGAAGAAGAAGAAGAAGAAGAAGAAGAAGAAGAGAAAGAATTAGCAAAAAGTGTGAAAGAATAATAATTTCTCCTGTTGTCTCTGCCACAACGTTTGGGAATAAAATAAAAGAGTGCAATTTTATTGACAATGATCAATAAATAAATAAATAATTAAAGGGAATTATGAAGATAGGAATTTCAACAATTAATTAAGGAATATATTGAATAAACAAGAAGAGTGAAAGTTATCTTATATCCTTCAATTTATTATATAAAATGCTTTATTTGTTTGAATGAAAAATCATAAAAATAGAAATATGTCGTTATATTACGACGTTGTGGATTTATCCTACATAACTGAAGAGGAACGTGATATAATCTTATCTGTAATCAGCCGAGATGAGATTTTAAGAGAGGCCGATTATAAACGCGTAAGGTATTGATCTAGTTGATTTTACTTAGTAATTTTATAATCAAGTCTTTCCTGTATAAAACAAATTCAATTATTCAACAGTTTTTCTTTTTCTTTATTATATAGTTTATTTTATTTATAAACATATCAACAAATCCCCTTTTATATATATAGTATACATAAACGTATGTTTGTCCGTTCAAGTGTAAATTAACCTGTATATATATTGTCTAGAAATTACGCTGTTTAACTAAAATAACTACCTTTTAGCAATCTCTTTGAAACATTCAATATATACTAATATATATATTGTATGTATTATAGTTTCTTTTATATGTTTTTCTCTCTATCCTTACCTCCCTCCCTCCCTCCCTCCCTCCCTCCCTCCCTCCCTCCCTCACTCACTCACTCATTCTCTCTCTCTCTTGCTGCTATATATATATATATAAAAACAGGTTTTTCGCTCTTTTACTTTTTTTTTCTTCTGTGCACCATAAAATATACACAAAATAGGCCTATTAAGAGATTCTTGTCAAAAAAGAGAAAACCTATTCAATTGAAATATGTTTTGTTATGTAGGAGTCATTTAACCGGTTTCTTTTTTTGACGATATTAAAAATTGAACTGAAAGCTCTTCCTGAACATTTCTATATATATATCTTTTTTAACACTCTTCTTTGTATTATTTATATAGAAAACTTGAATCTGAAGAAAGAATTTCGGAATCAAGAAAAAAAGAAAAAACTACACAGAATGTAAGTAAAAAAAAATGATAAGAATTATAGTTTTGGTTAGGAGAATGAAAAGAAAACCGAAAACTTGTATTTCTCTTTCTTTATAATTCTATATCAAATAGAAATATAAATAGTCCTTGATTTACATATTGATAAAAAAAAAAGAGTTGGAAAGAAAAAAAAATAGATACTGTATAGGCCTATTAATGTATACATAATAGTGTATATATATATATATTTATATGGGTTTGAAACCATGTTTACGCCTAAAAAGTTATATATGTATGGTTAGAGATTGAGTTATTTCTCGCAGGTATTTATTCCATAATGATTTAGGTAAAAAATAGTATTTTATTTTTACCCGTTTACTCAATCCCATGGACAATTGGAATTGGTTGTACAACATACTGTATTACCTGGTTTCGTTATACATTTACAAAATATCTTTATGATAAAATATTTAAGTTCTCTAGTGCTTAATTTACATTAAACACACAAGAGTCTAGTGTATAAAGTTTCATTGACAATCGCTTATTCAGCTTATTTTTTTTATACATATACTTGTATAATTTATATTAAATGGGAAATATTTAACCTTATCAGATAAACTTTATCTATAAGAATTCTTTCCTCTTATTAATGATTTAATTTGATTCTTTCTTATCTTGTATTATCAACTGATTTAGCTTTCTTTTTTTTCTTTCTGTGTTGTCCCCTTCCTCTTGTCTGTATAGGTGGGAAGTCGGGCTTGTCAGAAATGCGAAGAGACTCTAGGAGTGTTACTTAATCGGGGTGAAAACTGTCCAGTATGCAGTTGTCTTGTATGCAATTTTTGTCGTGAAAGGGTTTCAATTAAGGGAAAATATAAATGGATTTGTCGGCAATGCTATAAACAACGGTTTGTATGATTGTTTTATTGTTCAATACAATTATATATCTATTTCCTCTTCTATTTAAATTAATAGGCAATTTGATGCAAAATCTGGAAGATGGTTCTACTCCAAACTTGTCACAGTACCTGTCAATCCCAAGACAAATAAACCGGTTTCGGGTAGTGAGATAGTTAAAACTTTATTGAACAAGTCTGAAGCAGAGAAACTGGAGGGAAATCATCAAATGAATGGTATGTGACAATTAGTTTCATTTTTACTCTCCAAAAGATGGCGCTATAGGTGAAAATGCGTGCGTTAGACGAAGAAAAGCGACAGATAAATAGATAGAAAGAATGAGGGAGGGAGAGAGAGAGAGAGAGAGTGAGTGGATGACATAGAAAAAAAAAACAAAGAAGCAATGACTGTGAAGGCAGACACAGAATTTATAAAAATACCATTATGAAATTAGTTTACCTATAAATGATTTCGGGCCTTTTATGTTGTATTTCATGATGATAAATGATGGTATAAAATTAGTATATAATTTCCCTGGAAATGAATAGTAGCGGTACAGTGTATAGTGTCATCTAATTTTGTATTCCCGTCAATAAGGAGTCTGCATTGACCCTTAAAATTAAAAAACCCATTTTTATCTCTATAATATATATAAGAGATTTATTTTTAGAAATTCTCCAACCTTAAAAGTTAATAATACTACTAAAAATGATGGGAGGGGGATGGGAAATTATACCTTTTTTTAACTAATTCGTCTCTCTCTCTCTCTCTATCTGCATAACGGAGACAGTGTTCTCCATTTCACCTTGAAGTTGAAAAGTTTTACTTATTTGTTGATTTTCAAATTTTGGGCGGACAGTAAAATTAGCTAAGTAGATTTATTTATATATGTATTTAACTGAAAAGTAAAGTATCAAGTAATTATAGAGGATTTATCACTTTATCCTACTTTTATGATATTTGGCGGATAAGTGGATATACTGTATATACAGTATATAGATATATATATATATGTATCTCTATATATTTAGTTTTTGTCATCCTTATCTAAAGGTTATTTATTTTTAAAATTTCCCAAGTTTAATAAGGAAATCGATAAAATAGAAAAAGGTTTATAAATTCAGGAAATACTCTCACTTCCAAATGCTTGTTTATTAGTTGTTAATTACATAAAAAACCAATCAATACGTTTTATACTATTTCCTTGTAAAAATATTGATGAAAACTATAAAAAACAATAAAAGAAATCATAGATTTAAACTAAAAAAGAACATATGAAAAATTGTTACTGTTTCTTTTTTCTATTCTTTATTCTTTGTTTTAAGTGTTTTTTACCGTTTTATACTTTTTTCTCTTTCTCTATATCTATCTACCTTTGACTTTTATTTATTTTTAATATATACAGATAGACTATATTGTACATCCACCTGCTTATATGCATCCATACATACACATATAGTAAACCACCACTTGCATACAAATACGCTGCACTGATTAGGTGCACCTGGTATATATGAACATAAGACAGAAATCAGAGAGTCAGTTTTTCAAGTAGAACAATACAAAAAGCAAAAGTATTAATAAAAGAAAAAAGAACTCGTCAATTTTTAGAACCTTTTCATTATCTTTATACAGTATGTATATACAGTATATATACAGTATATACTGTATAAATTTGACCTCTTTACCTTCTTCTTTAGAGAATGAAACATCAAAAAGTTATTTCTATTCTCTTCTTTTTGGCGTTTACTTTTTGACTAGTTCAATAAATTCACATATTGAATATGTAAATAAATTTACATATGTATTAATTTATTTATTAATGAAAATACTAATTAAAAGGTATCGGAATTGATTATGTAAAAACTGATAGTACTCGGTTCAACGCCAACTAAAGTCACTTTTAGTTTTAGTCGTAACGATAAGTGAAAACCAGTCGCTAGGTGTCAGTACCGGCATAAATAATAGATGACGCGGTGAGAGAGCGTCTTTTTTTTTTCATAAACGTCGTCGTCGCTATGCTGGAAAGGTTTCGTCATGTAGTTGGTGAAGTTTTGGAAGCTCAAAAGCAAGGTTTTTAAATAGATAGCATATTTTTTCATCTGTTATTCTTTTAATACTTTAGTTGAATGTAACAAGTTTGTATACAAACAAAATTTACTAGTATATTCGTATAGGCGGATATTATGCTTTGGATCGATATTCTTGAGATTGATCTGTAAAGCCTATATGGCTTTATTCCAGACGTTTGTAAATCGTTTGTTTGTTTACCATTCACTTCTTACTCTATTCGACTGTTCATCGATCAAAAATAATTTCCAAAGCCTTATTGCTTATGAGAAAAATATATTCAAGAGTCGCTACTTCACTCAGGTAATTGGAAAGTTGACCTTGAGAGAAGTCACTTTGCCGAATTAGACGAGCAATCACCAATTAATGACTATATGAAACATGTGTAAAAATTCCGCGAAACGTATGTCTCTTAATTGAAATTCTTAGCAGTATACTTGCATAATTCTAGTTTCATTTCTCGATATTATCAACTATATTAGATTTATAAATAATGTAAACAATTAGAATTGTTATCCATAATTGAGTAATAAACTTTTACAATTGTAATAATTAGGTAATAAAAAAATGTTCTAAATTAATCTTTTACTTTTCAATTCTCTTCCTCTTCGTCTCTGTCCGTCTGTCTGTCTTCTCTCTCTCTGCTCTCTACAAAAAATAGGTAATCTTTACCTTAGTAATTAATGACTTAATTAGTAGGTATTGTTATTATTCAGTGACGATTCAATTAGCGTTTCTCTGTCTGAATAGATTTCAGAGGTTATCCGATGATATTATGATATTTACATGGACACATTTTAGACATAGAAACATCTAGGACTCTTATATTTTGTTACTCATTAACTAATAAACCAAATTATGTATTATTAATTACTTTCAACCTAAAAGCCGAGGTTAGGAATGCTTAATACTTAATACTTGAAAAGGAATGCTTCTACTTTCATCTATCGAATATTTTACTTCTTTTCTACTATTTTTTCTTTCTTTCTTTTCTCTTATACATTAAATATGACATTGTTAAAACCCTTTGGTTTAATTAGCAAACGTTTCTAAGCTAATGGTCGTTTTTAGATGCTTAACGGAAATAGTAAAAATAAAAAAAGAGATTTTTCCTCTTTCAATTGATTGAACGAAGCGGTGAATGAACGATAAGCAATAAAGAGTAAGAATACCTAAGAAAATATCTCTCCTCCTTATCCTTTCCTATTCTATTTCCCTATTTTAAAGATAATAGATTTAGGTGGATTATTTTTATTAGTATAAAAAAATTGTTATCTTCTTAATTAAATAAGACGTCAAAAAAGACTGCAATGAATATGAATAGGCTTTTTAAAACTAATTAGCGGCCTCTTCTGGCATAATATAATTCGCGTTTCCTTAGATATCTTACCCAGTTTTGTACTCTATTATCAACTACGGGCGCTTTTCTAGGCCTAGTTTATTGATAATTAAAGGGAAAGAGAGAGAGAGAGAGAGAGAGAATTGATCATTACTCTACTGACTATATCTGGAAAAGGGGAAACGCTATCCAGGGTCTTTTTCTCAGGGATGAATTTATCGAATCTTGTCGAGAGAGGTAGGAGAGAAAATTTATTCCCTCAGAAAAGTTCGTATTCAGAGAAAGTATTATAGCAATTAGATAAAAGAAAGGTAATTAGTTGTGTGAAAGGGAAAAAAAAGCAAAATAAAGAACGAATCGCCTCTAGAAATTTATTTCACTTTGTTTCATTCTTCAAAGGGAGGAAACCTCTATATCTAAACAGATTTCAATTTTTATACCCTGATGTATAGGTTTTCTCTCTCTCTCTCTTTCTTTCTTTTTATCACCTTGTTAAAATGGAAATTGATCACATGACCTATCTATTTAAATTTTATTGAATAAGATATTGATTAGAGGAATTCTTGAAAAACTCAACAGTAACAATATTTTGACAAGCAACTTTTGAATAAAAAGCAGCTTTTAAGCTTATTCAAACTGGAAACGTAAAATGTATTGAATTGTTTTTTTTTAACACACCTTTCTAAGCCTATTTAAAGAGGAAAGCAATAATAATAATAATAATAACAATAAAGAAAAACAATAATTTCCCTTGCGAATGATCATTAAGATAGAAAATATTTCTAATTAATAATTAATAAGATACATTATAAAATATAATGTATCGTTAAACTCTTTGATTAGAACATTTTACTATTTACTAGGCCTACTATTTTATTTGATTCTTCACTTCAAGATATTGTAGGGTATAAAGGATCAACAATAATTAACTGTCAGTTACAGCTGACTGTTTTTAATGAAGTTATGTTACAGACGCTGATTAAAGTAATTAACTAGGTTATATTCTGTAAACTTGTTCATTTTAGTAACGGCGTATATAAGATTTACATTTAGAAGAAAGAGCAAAATAACACAAAACAACAAAGGGAGTAATTTATCGTTTTATCGCTAAAGAAATAAAGAAAGTGAAGTGAGGAAAAATGTAGAAAGGATACCTTAGAAATATTATCAATCTGTTCATTAATAGACACTGATTCTATTCTAGTCATAAGAGCTAACGCTTTGGCAAAAGCTCTATGTTTTCTCATCGCATACCCTTTGCCCCTCCCTTCCTCTATTTATCGAACAGCAAAACTAAACGGATATCTAGCTGCATACACGAATAGTTAGAGGTAACCAACACAATGTAGAGTCTTAATTAAAATTTAGGTATATCCTAGTAACCATTTTTTCTATTGTAAATATCCAACAGTTGCAAAGTTAAAATTATTCTATTTCCTCTCTTTTCTCTCTCTTTCTTGTTTTCTCCGTATAGTAGTCTTGTTTTTGGCCCCTTTTTATGGGCTAGATTACCTTTGGCATTTCGTATCCTTAACCCAATTTATTTTAACGAATAGTATAGGAATTTTGACATAATTCAATGGTAAGTGACTTGTATAATATTTGCAGTCGAGTCTTCTGCATAAGAAATGATTTTTTTCTATATATATTTCGTTATATAATGGACTGCGGTCGATCCGACTTTCTAGAAGAGAAAAGGAAGATAGAACTGGAAAACTTAAACATAGACTAACTAGTAGGGAAAGTAAGGTCCATTATTGTAATATAGTTTAGTTGGTAAGGTCGGCTTAATTAAGAGATAAATCGTTCCATTGGATAGAAAAATAGGTAACTACGAAAGTAATTGTGTCACGCTAGTTTTTTTTTCTTCTTTCTCCATTTATTTTTCCAGATTGCTGGATCCATTCGACAAGTTTCGGTTCGTAAAGAAGATAAAGTCCTTATAAAATAGTAATATATATATATATATATATATATATATATACCTTTCTATAAACACTAACCAGAGTAGACTATATATGCATTACTTTGCGGAGGAAATGAAGTAAGGGAGTGTAATTTAGGCAGATAAATTTTATCATATAATGTAGCATATGATTGAAATTAGCGGTTATTTTAGGAATGATGATGCAGCATCATTATTTAGACTATTAATACGTAATTACTTATAAAAGTATTATATTGTATGATTATTTTTTGTTAATGCCAAGTTATTAAAGAGAAGGAATTTCTCTTTCCATAATAGAAAAAGTTGTATATATAGAAGAATAGTCAGGATAAGTTGGTATAATGCAAACCGGGATTTATGCTTCTTAAGAAGGAGCCGCTTTATAAATAAGTTGTAAACGTCAATTTCTTTGTAAATATTGAAGTCGATTGTTCATTTTCTCTTTTTCTTTTTTATTTAAATAATTCAAAATATTGCTGTTTTTCGACATTCTCCTTTAAGCTGTTGTGCAGTATTATTGCGGTATAACGTTGCGTATACTTCATATTTGAAGAGATAGCTTTATTAAGTGGATCACTTGAATAATCAATTTTTTATATATAAAATATATTATATAATACGCTATCTCTCTCATTTAATGCGTCTATAAAAACGCACGTATTGTGTAATTAGTAATACTAGCATTATCTTTGTTAGAGAGAGGGAAAGTTTATTAGCTTTTAATCGATTAAAGCTTTCTCTCGAAGGGAAAATATTAGCTACTTGATCTCTATCCTTTCATATTAACTACGGAACATCATCAGTTTACGAGCAGTAAGAATCTTTCTTTTAGATTATTTAAGCGAAAAATAAAGCTTTTACATAATTAAAATTCACTTAAGAAAAAACTGCTCGTTTCTTTAACCATATAAAGAGAAGAAATTCTCTTCTTTCTTTGCACCGAAAAATTAGGAAAGGTAAAAGTGAGAGAGCGAGAGAGAGAGAGAGAGGGAGAGAGAGAAGCAAAGAGATGAAAAAAGTCAATAAGAGGAAGAGAGAGAGAGAGAGAAGAAAAGAATGAAAAAATAGCCCTTCCCTTATTAATATATTTTCTTATCTCTCTTCAAAAACTAATTGTTATTAATTTTCATTTTGATTAATATATATTCAATTATGTATCATTTCCTTAAGGAGAGAGAAAGAGAGATATAAAGATAACCATACTGTATAATATATGTATACAGTACACACACATATATATATATATACATATATATACAGTATATATATATATAAATTTATATATTTATATAAACTAAAGAGTCTTTTGATCATTAAATTAAACTATAAATGGTTGCCTTTCAAATGAATCTATATATATATATAGGAAAAAAATCTCGTTCCTGTTCACTGCAATTGATAGTTCTATATTTTCTCTTTCTTTCTATCCTCTTCCTTTCTTCTTTGTCGACTTTAGCTCAATTTATCTCATGTTGATTAGTTGCGTTTCTTAATCAAATATAAAAAGAAAAATCAAAGAAACAAATTACAAAAGAAGCATACGCTATACACAAAGTATGTAAACAATCTTCCTCCCCTTCGCCCCCTTCATCTACCCTCCAGTCTCCAGTTTTTGTTAGATTAAATAGGTGTATACGTTATATATTTAAAAACATATTACTGTTATAAAAGAGAAATGTTTCGTGCCTAGAACAATATTGCAGTTTTTTTGCGGATGAGTGAAAGCAAATAAAGCAAAAAGAATTTATGACTTTTGTCATTTATTCAGCTTCAAAAAAACAATAGAAGAATATAACAGAATTGTTTATTGTAATAAGTTTTCTATTTAGCCAGCTTTTCCTTGCTCCCTCATATACTTTGAATGGAATAACCTTGATTTAGAGATATTACTTTATAAATCTAACTAATTGTATTAAGCGAAAGAAATTTTATGCGGGTGGCTAAGCAGGAGGAGGAAAGGCGGGGAGGAAAAATTAATATGAAAAAGAAAGGGAAAAATTAATGATGGTAAAGAGTATTGGTTGTTTTGTTACCATTTTCTCTCCATTTTAACACCTCTATATAGATATAAAAAGGTAATACTTGTTACTTGTCGAACCATTATTGCAACAATTGTCCTATAAGTGCAGATAAATGTCTGCTTTTGTACCTGACTAGAAAATTTTATCATTTTCAATCCAATTCGTATTCTCAGCTTCAGTTAGCTTTGACTTTTCCCCTGAAAGAAAAACCGTGCTTTCTGATTTTGAAGGCCCTCTGACGTCATAATTAGTATAGCATCTAATATAAATGGATGTTGGGATAATGAAAAAGGCGGCAAAAGGTTGATAGCATTAGCGCAAGGTTGTTGGTAGACTGTTGTAGTAAGAATGAAGGAAATATCCCTGATATTTTACTAATTATTTTCATTTTATTGTTTGAAAATAAAGAAATAAGATAAAAAAAAGTGTTTACCCTCCTTAGTTTGCCACAAGTTTAAAGCATTCCGTTAATAAGAATATTGACATTTTCTTCCAAGATTGGCAACTAATCGGTACAAATAAACAGTTTCTACTTTGAATATATCAACTAAAATGATGTTAATTTACCAGTTTTCCCTTTAGGATATACGCATTTTTTCACTGGTATTGTAAATTGTATTTTGACTTTTTCTGTTTCTTTTACTCGGCCATCCAGTGAGATTTTATTGAGCGGAGAAGGGGGAAAAGGGGATAAACTGTTCTCTCTGTCTCTTAGTACACTGTACATTAGTTAAGTAACATTGATGATTTATTCTTATGAATAGAATGGCGATAATATTAGCCATATTAACCAGAGAGATGGAGAAAGTGAAAGAGACAATAAGACAAAAAGGAAAAAGAGACAGTGAAAAGACAGTATAATTACATCAGCGGAAAATCTACTTTCACTGTTTAGGTATTGAAAAACAAAATTTTATAAGAAAAAGAAGAAGAAGAAGAAGAAGAAGCAATTCTTTTACTTTGGATTTTCCTCTTTTCTTGTATACTGTATATATATATATAAATATATTTACTTTCTAAAAGAAATAGACGGACAAAGAGACCGATATATAAGATACAATAGCCTCAGGACTATTCCTGTTCTTTACGTAAAGAATCCTAGCTCATACTAAATTTACTTTATTGCTGACAAGCATCTTCTGTTTTTCTCTTTCTCTTCTCTTGTATACAAACTGCATATATAATATATATACATATATATACAGTATATTAAAATATGATTCAATTACCACTTTCATTAATTTACATAAATGATAAAAAAGGCTGTGTCTATTTTATATAACAGACGGAAAAAGTGATAATAGTAGTAGCGTGTCTAATAACTAGGACATTCACATTTTTTTATGTCACTTTTAACCCGTTCCTTTCTGTACAGCCTCTAATTAATTCATTCTTTTATTTAGTTGGACTGTACATATGAAGAGGTTTTTCACTGCTATACTCAAACAATATATATATATATATCTCTATAAAAAATACACTGTGTACGTTTTGCAGTTTATCTTAAAACAGAATAGCGTTACGCAATATTTCATTGAATAGAAACTATAAAACGAAACTATATCTCTGCGTATAAACTAATTTAAAAGCTATCAAAACCGATGCCTCGAGGCGATTGAGCACCTAGAAGAGGTTCTCAAACGCTTCTCTAGTCTTAGGAGTTTTTATGTTGGCATTCAGAAAATTTTTCGAAATCCTTTTATTTCTATTTCTTTATTTATTTTCAGGAGCCGCTACTGTTACAGACGAATTGAAACGTGCTTTAGCCACCGTTTCCGGAGGAAATGAGAGCCCTTCACCCCAACCTTCACCGTCTCCCTCCAATAGGTTAAATTCGACAAATGTCGCCTTCCCGAAAGAGTCTGACAAACAAAAATTAGGCTATCTCTTGCGTACTGCATCAGCTGGATCATCAATTACATCATCAACAGCTGGTGACGAGGAGACTGTGACCAGAAGGAAAATTGTTAGAAGGAAATCTAGTACCTCTTCCGAAGAAGATATTTCGGTTGCATCAAGGTCTTCAAAAGGTGAGTTGCCCAACTCGAGGTCGGGCGTGGCGGCGAGCGTCGGAAGAAAATTACACAAGGTCGAGGATGAGAATAAAAATATAAAATATATTTCTATTGTGGAGGCAGTAAGCAGATTAGGTAAAAGCTAGGACGTAAGAATATACTACAGGGGTTAAAATTAGAAATTCTAAGTAATTAGAGGATAATTATCCTAGTTTAATGGCCATTTTCTGATTTTTTTTCTTAAATGACAATAATTAAAAACAAACGAAATTGAAATGTTTTTAGTCCATAAACTTGCTAAAATATCTATTATCCATGGAGGCATCCCTGTTAAAGATTATAGGGGACATCAGCCCCGTATATTCTTTCGTTCTTGCCCCAGATTCAAATGTGTCTGAGAAGAAAGTCGATACAAACTTTTCATCTTCGTCAACGCCATTAGAAACCGTCTCTGAACCTAACCTCACCCGTAACTATTCGGGTAAGATTTCCACCGAGTTTGCTTGTATTCCAATTATAGAGGACAAAGTTCTTGTTGTCTTGCCTGGAAGCGATGACGAAGAAACACTAAGTGTTATAGAAGAGGTAACGGAACCCGAAGATCGCTATTCTAGCGATTCATCAACGCCTACAGCATCAAAGTATGGCGATGATACATTAAGCGACATAGTTGCAATTAATGAGCGTTTAGATTTAGATAATGATATAGATTTTATATACGAAAACAATAAGCGATTACAATATTTAAAGAGGTTAAAGGCCAAAAAAGGCAATAAACAAATTTCGAGGATAGCAGCCGATGTCAGGTCTATAGCATCAACTGATTATATGGCGTCATCAGAAGACGAAGCGGTTTCTATAAAAGATGCCGAGGATTTCGATGAATATTTCATGATGATGAGAGGTGAAGATTATACCGGAAAATCAAGAACAGAACCGGATAGCAAAGACATTGTAACTCAGCATTATAGAAACCTGGAGAAGATTATGTCAAGCTTTATGGGTGTGGATGAACAAGATGCAACTGATACCGAAGAAGGTGATTCGCAGTTTAAGCGGGCCTCAGCTGATCTTTAATAATTAATGAAATAATATTTTTATCTTAATTCGACGCTCGCATAACGCCAGATCTATCAGCTTTAACGCACCCCTATCGCACATGTTTATTTAGATAAAATAACCCTTTAATATCCTTATCATAGTTGTTAACAAATTTCTTCCGCTATTATACGACTATTAATGATATGTAAATGCAGTTTGGATGGATAAGTTTCTGTTAAAATGAATGGATTGTCTTAAAGCGAAGCTATACAATATGCATTAATGATATTCAATAATTACGTATATCTTAAATATAAAGAATTATTTAAAAGGGGAGAAAGTGAGAGAGAGAGGGAGAGAGAGAGAGAGAGAGAGAGAGAGAAAGAGAAACTACTGACTCGTCTTTATTGACTATTTCTACAAATGTTGATATTGTACAATTCAGCGTATTTTTTAAATATTTAGAGTCCTGTGTTTTTGTAAATATATATAAATTGTGCTGAGGCGATTTTTTTAAGTTAAACATAGATATTAATAGTTTATCGGTTTTCTATACAAAACGCCCACAAACTGATCATTACATTATTGTTCGTAGCATGAAATTAAGGTATTGAGTGTATATTGTACGGATAGATGAGTTGACAGATTCAAAGGAAAGTAGTTTTATTAGATCACTTATCATATATATGTATTCACGTATAAGCTAATAAATAATTAGTATTGTCTTTAATTTATATCTATAATATCTAATAGTAGGTTAATTATAATAACTCTAATATAAAAACAAAAGATTATTAACCTGATTAAGTAATTTCTATGTTTAAACAGAATGTTGAATTATGTAATATTGTAAAAAAGTGTGAGAAGGTTGAGAGAGAGAGAGAGAGAGAGAGAGAGAGAGAGGGGAGAAAAATTTGTATATCAGTGAACGCAGGCAGGCGAAAAAGTGGGAATATGTTGAGAAATTAATAAGTCTATACTACATGAAAATTTCTCTTCTGCACGGAATTTTAATGCGCTTCTCTTCTCTTTTTTTTCACACAGATTCCTTTCAAAAGCAGGTCTTGACATATAGTAATCAAGTGCCTTCTGAAAAATCTCCAACCTCTATACCCTTAATCCAACTTCAAGAGGAAAATCCTGCAACAAAAACTCCTCCTCCATCGCCAAATTTACGTAATCCGTCTTCAACGCCCAACTCACCAGCTACGCCCAGACAAATACAAAGAATACATCCTAAAGCGTCTCCGAACCTATTAAATCCATTATCAGGCAGTTCAGAGAGCATAACTTCATACTATAGCGATGTAGGTGATGGCAATTGTAAGAAAGTCTCTACAGTTACTGGTGAAATTCAACTAGCTTTGGAGTATGATGCCAAATCCACTTCATTATTGGTGCTGATTAGAAAATGTAAAGATTTGGCTCCTGCCGATTTAAAAAAGAATCGAACCGATCCCTATGTTAAAACCTATTTATTACCAGATAGAAGTAGAGCTGGTAAGCTAAGTTTGTTTTGTTTTTATTCAACAAACGTCTTTAACTGGTATTCATATAGTCTTTACCAGTAACAGTCCATTAATTATATTTTATAGGACAATATAAATATATATAGATACAAATACTGTATATCTATCTATCTATATATACAGTATATATATATATATAGAATAGTATTAAAATTTTAACAATCTTATCGATTTTTCTTTCATTTTCATTATATAGGCTGAAAGATTAGTAATTTTTCCCTTCTATCTATTTTCAGCCAAACGTAAAACTCATGTTAGAAAATCTACCTTTAATCCGAGCTTTGATCAAACTCTTAAATATTGCGGAATCACAAAAGGTGAATTGTCAACTCGGAAATTGGCAGTTACAGTTTGGCATGCCGATTCCTTTGGTAGAAACACGTTCCTTGGTCAAGTGTTGTTAAATTTAGATGCTGCTTCTCTTGACCAAATGGCAAAGTGGTACAAACTACAGGATAAAGTATATACAAAAATTATAATTACTATTGTAAACATGTATAGAAAATCATTATTCCGTTTATTTCTTTTTAATGAACAGACGGCGATTCTAGGACCAAATTCACCGTCCCTTTTCTACAGAGGTGACCTTAAAGTTGCCCTGAAATTTTTAACAACGGCCAAACAAACTCAAGGAAATGCCAGGGGCGAATTACACGTGGTAGTTAAAGGCGCCTTTAATCTAATACCCGCTAAATCTAATGGCACATCCGATGCCTTTTGTAAAGCTTATTTATTGCCAAGAGGGCGACATTCTGTTAAACAAAAAACTCCAATAGCTAAAGGAACAACGTCCCCTTCGTGGAACCATACGTTTACATTTACCGATATTTGTCTAGAAGACTTGAAGCAAAGAGCTTTAGAATTAACAATTTGGCATCACGATAAATTTAGTTCGAATGACTTTCTCGGAGGTGTCAGATTGTCTCTAAGTCATGACGATGTAGAGTACGGTGCTGATTGGATGGACGGAAAAGGCGAAGAAGTGATGCTGTGGCAATCGGTAATTGATAGGCCGAATTCATGGATAGACGCTTCAGTAACATTAAGGGATCATATGGACAGCAGGAAAAAGAAGAATTAATGAACTAACCCAGAAATATTTTTTTAAGAGAGTCTATTGTGTTGTTGAATAAAAAGTTGGGAAATTCTTACTTTTGTGAAACCACACTTCGGTAATATTAATAATAATAATATAAATACTAATATTAATATTCATAATAGTAACAATAAAACAAAAAATCAGTAAATATCTACTCTGTTCTTTACTTTCTATTTTTATTATATTAAGTTGTTTTCTATATAGAAACAAAAGATAAAAACCTTTCTTCACTACTCGATAAACAACTATACTCAAAAGAGAATATCGGTAGATTAGTAAATCGAAATATATCTCTATAGAAAGTGCATTAAAAAAATCATAAAATCTTTAATATATATGCTATATATTGATTTGCAGTAGGAAGTACTACTGCAATACGATTCTCGTGCACAGATTATAATTTTACAGCATCGTTTAGAAGGGTAAATAGTACAAACAGTACATTTTCAAAATTTTTTCCCAAATTTCTACCTCTGTATAGATATATCTAGGTAAATTAATTGTTCATTTGCAGTCTATCTATTCCAGCAGACGCTCTATCTATACTATATATTTAGCGATAAATGCAAACTATTTAAATACGTTTACTTTTCCATTCTACTTTCCAACTAGGTATGACTATACGCCTATTATTTTGTATATAGTTTCATTTAGCCATGCAATTACTATCTCGAAAATCATTCTGTTGAGGGCTTTTTTGCTATTTTACTCCATTTACAATATTGGCAGGCATAATTACAATGTTTTCCTGTTTTTCCTTTTTATTTTTACTCTTTTCGCAAAATCTCAACTCTTTCCTCGTCTTTCCCTCGTTTGAAATCAATTTATTAAATTATAGAATTTATCACTTTCGTTACTGACGATTTTTAGTTGCCAGTAATATCAATCTTTACTTTAATATACATAGTGTATATTCTGTATACTGTATATGTAGAAGAAGTCGAAAAATTCTCTCTCTCTCTCTCTCCTATGATCCTATGTTGTCATCCTTACTTATCGATTATGATTGGAGTAGTAAAGTCCTAGTTTGAAGACCATTACCTACATGGTCTATTTAAATGATAATATTCCGTCGTATCGGAAACGTAGGAGAGAGAAGGGGGAAAAGGAAGAGAAAAAGATTGAATCTACAGGTTGCAGATTAAACTCTGATTTGAGATTGTTAGTGATTTTTATGTGTTTTTAATGAAATTCATTTTTCTCCAGGGTAAAAGATTCTTGAAATACTAGACACAAAGAGCAACTTGTTAATCAATTGAATATGAATTTTACTCTAGTAAAACTATTATCACGGATGTTTAGTATAGTCAGAAATTGGATGAAGAAAAACTGGCAACATACCTCTCTCTCTCTCTCTCTAACCTTGCAGAGGAGTAAAAGAAGAAAGTAAGAAGAGAAATAATCCGAAATATGCTGATACGCTTTATAAACTAATTTCTATTTGATGTCGATAGAAAAAGTTTCGTAAAAATGAAGGCAAACCGAGTGAAAGATTTAGCGAAAGCTTTGTAAATAACCTAGATTTAGGAAGAAGGAATTATTGTTAAGAGTTTAAAGCGAATTTAAAGCGTCACTAATAGTGATATCAAAAACAGACGCTCCTCAATTTTATTTCTATTTAAAAGTTTAATCTGTCTTTTGAATTATAATCCTACTATGTTTGTTTGATAGAATAATAGTATTTTTTCATTTTATATAAGAAATACTAACAAAGCTTTCGGGAAATACATCTAAAAGAGTCTTGGAAGAGAAATATTCTGTATATAGAAATCAAAGGTGATGATTATTGTATTATTGTCCTACGTATTATTCTTCTTAGAAGCGATAATCTAATGTACTTTAATAATTGAGTAATGATAAATATTTAACTATTAGCCCCGTACTTCATTCGCCATTGATTTGTATTGTAAATTTATAGAATTACTAAAAAGTCTATAAAGAAATTAAAGTAAATTCGTCCAACTATCCGTTTCGATGAGTTAAGAAGCTATTAAGGTTTATGGGAGATCATTGATTGCTTCTAGGCTGATTACTAACGGTAGATTGAGAACTACATATTTCATTATGTTATACATAGTATGTTGAAGTTTGTTCTGCAAAGAAACAGATACGTTTGCTGAGAGAAGGAGGAAGAGATTTGGAAAAATCGACTGATAAAGAATCTTGGTTATCCTCTATCCCTCTCTCTCTCTCTCTTTCACTTTCCTACATCCGTCGTCTCTTTTTCCAATTTGAATAGATTTCGGATAAAGAAATTCATTTACAATTGCCTACTATTGAATACATTAGATTAGCTCCTCTTTTCCTCGTTTCTTTAACGCTAAAACTCTACTTTCATTATTAAAAGTATCCGCATATTATCTTGTTAAATATCTCATATGGAATATAAACGTACGATCAAAGATTAGATTCCAGTTGGACTGTAATTACTGAATTGTCAATCGAAACCAAAAATAAAGTGAAACTTAAATGAAATATTCAACAAGGAAGGAAGAGAAGATAACAAAAACTGATTAGATTATACGGAATACTCTTGAATATTGAATAATAAATAATTACCTTGCAGTTTCATAACGAATGGTGGATTTATTTGAATAATTCAATTTATTAATTATTAGCAGATTATACTTTTTAATAGATTTGATAAAAGATAAGGATAATTTCTCATATCTGCCTCTCTCTCTCTCTCTTTCTCTCTTTTGCAGTATTGCAGACAACATCCTTTATAATTTTATTGCAGAAGGAAAGTTATAGAACGTTTGAGACATAAGAATTGTTTGAAATGAATATATTTACTTAATTTAATAACTTTTAAAATATGCCCATTTCGCATATAAATCTCTCGGAAGACATACAATAATCGTCGTACCAAGATCTCTGATTATAATAAGAACTACCTTGAAGTGTACAATCTTCTCCCATATTTTTTTGAGGCTGAGGGTTACCAGGGTTACCTGGATTCCACTTTGTCCATGATGCTACTTCGCCTGTACTTAACCACCGATGCTCGTCTAAACTCGAATTATAAATCAGGCCTATATAGTAAGTTTTCGAAGGTAATTTTTTAGCGACTGCATCAAATTCATCTTTCGTTTCGTAAGAAATTAAGTAGGCGTGATAATTAGAGCAATTATTCAAAACATCATGGAATTTTCCAGAGTGCGACGATACGTAGTAGCAATGATTTCCATATAGGTTTTGCCAATTGGTCGGACACATGCGCGAACAATGAATGGACTTTGAAAGGATTTGACAAATGGTATCGTCGGGACATTGGGAACATTGAGGAGCTCTAGATATCTATAAGAAAAGAGCAGATTTTATTGAAAATTGACGACTATATATATTTTATACCTCTATTCCTTCTTTCGGCGATGATAAAAGATAACCAAATTTGTTGGATGGGCTATTTTTAAATTCGTTATATTTCCTATATAATTTACATTGTTTCGTATCCTTTTCGTAGATTGCATGCCAACATTGAATCGTTTCTATACAAACAATACCACAAGTAATCTTACTTTTATTAGAAACAACTTTTATTGGATTTGAATTTGAGTTGAAAAATCCTGTTTTCTCCATAAAGTACGATGTTGAAAATTGTTGATTTCTATTTAAAGAATAGATATAAACACAAGAGATAGTTGGTAGGAATAGAATGCCAACATATTTCATCTTTACTCTCAAAGACGTTGAAGAATTTTCTATCGCTTCTTTATTCGGTCACCTTACTTTTAAACAACTAAAAAGAAAACAGTCTCTAACGATTAATTGTACGTAATACCTTTTCAATGTCAAAGTTAATTGCACAAAGGTTTTTATTCCCAAGGAAAGATTAAATATATAACAGATTAGTTAACATTTTTATAGGCTTAGTTGTTTTATCTATTCATTAATTAACCGGTGGAGGAGAAACTAAGTATAAAACAATATTAAAATCAATTATTCCTTCTACAGTAATATTTCCCTTTTTTTGACATTTTCTCCTTTATATTTACAGTATATATATATATTGTATAATCAATATTAATTAAATAAAATTCAACTTTAATTATGTTTACAAACGATAATTCAATATTAGTTTTCCTTTTCTTTTATTGCGAATTCCTATCCTATTTTCAACAAAAGATTAAAGGAAGAAGGAAAGAAGTAAAGAGAGGAAGAGAAGGAAAAAAATTCTTGAATATTTTACTATTGAATTCCACCTCAACCACATCACAGCCATTACAAACCAATAACTTTTCCCTCAAAGTTAGTCTTACTAATTCTTCCGACTGCATATGCGGTGTACAACAGTTGAAATCTTCTTTTTCAACTATTCTAAGATACTAAGCTGTCTCTTCTACTTATCGATTAGTATTTGAGAAAAAGTCCTAGTTTTTAGACCATCACTTACATTCTATTCAAATAATAATATTCTAAAATACAGGAAGCGTAAAGGAAAAAAGAAAATAAGAGAAAAAAACAAGCCTAAATAGTATATGCCATCTTTTTTCTTTCGTCCTATATCTTATTCATATTCTCTTAGTCATTCTACCATAAATTTGTATTACCATCATTACTACTAGGCCTATTTTATATTTAATATTTAGGTTAAAACGAGCGGATAATACGACACGTACTTGTTGTTTCATAATACATTTTAAGTTGCATGACCAAATAAGGCATAGAGAGATGAATTTGTTTTTTTTTACAATAAGTAAAAGTTTTAATTGACAAATAGTGAGTTTTTCTAATAGTATAAGTAATATAAGTAGAGAATTTGTTAGGCTAATAAGTCTTATTTAAATGTTCAATTAAGAAAGATGAAAAAAAAAACTGTTGGCAAGAGACCAATAACATCTTTTAATGACTAATTGATATATATTTAAAAGGGAAGACTACGAAGTTTTTTAAGTATACATATATATAGCAAGTATATACTGTATATACTTGAAAATATTGTAGGTATAACAGTAAAATCAATGAAAAAATGATGAATAACGCTATATTAAACAAAAAGTTTGTCATGGTTCCTTGGTGTAATTAATTAAATTTTCTATCAAACGTTTCAAATCTCTTAGATGTTATAAAAACTATTATAAATATTGATATTGATTATAAGTGTGTTCAAAAAAAGCGTATTCAGATTAGAAATATTCTAAAAATAGATTACAGGAGGATGGTAGATGCTTAAAGGTGGTTGTTACAGCAGATTAAATTCATCATTCAATCCCATATACTTATATAAACGTGCCATATTTACGCACTATCAAGCCTACACTATGTAAATACTCTCCTTCTCTCTCTCTCTCTCTCTCCTCAGATAAGTAATGACCTTGTCTAATTATAATATTGTTTATCTTCATTTAAAAAAGTATACTAAATATGCAAAATAATAATAATTGATAAGTGAAACAATAGAAGATGATAAGGAATAAATGATAAATACATATTTAAATGTTTAGTACATAAATGAATCTTGTTATTGAAGTCTTTACCTGTAAAAATTCTAAATGAAAGTTTGATGGATCTATTTAAATTAACTGATGATAAAGAATTAACAAATATAACTAGTCAAGAATGTATTGAATGTTTGGATTATATTATTTCAAGTAAGAGAGAGAGAGAGAGAGAGAGAGAGTGAATCGTAATTTCTCATTTCGTAAACATATCTTTATTCTCCTTTCTTTCAGATCCTATTCTAAATTGTAACGACGATGGCTATACTATTCTAAGTAATATCTATAATTTATTACGTCATTTCTCTAAAGTCTATGACATTCAGGTATAAAAATTCAAAAGCTCTGCCTCTCTCTCTTTATACTGTATACATAACCAATTTGTATTTGATAGAAAAAAGGTCTTTTTAGCCTAAGATCATTATTCCTTCATTATCCCTCTTCCGTGCAATACATTGGTTATCAAGCTAATCAGTAAGTTAATTAATAATTTTTATTCCAGCCTTCTGTTGTTATTTCCGTTTTGTTACCTTAAAATAAAGAGTACCTATACACGATTTCGTCATAAATTCAATAAGAGTAACGGATGTGAGAAACTATGAATATTTTGGAGCTTTATGCGACCTAATTTATCATATTGCGGCAGATAATGGTTTATTTTCTCTTCTATAAATTAGTTTTTTAATTAGTTAATTAATTAATTATTTTTTGTACTCATACCAATTTTCAATTCATTTTAAGGTGTTATGCAATTAGCTTTTATGAATAAGAACGTTCATCGTTTATTGAATAAGAGGCTGCACGAAGCGTTACCAGCTTTAAGAATAAATATAATACGATCGCTAAGAGCTTTATGCCTATTCAGGTAAACTTTTCAAAGATGCTAAGTATTAAGAAATTCTAACGAAAATTTCGTTATTTTTGTCATTTTTAAGCTTTGAACATAAAGAACAATTAATCAAGCTTGATTTCCATAAAAAAGCCTGTAAAATCCTTAAGGAATCGGCTCCTCCCACAGATTTGATAATTAATTGCGTAGCTTTGGTTGCTAGTTTATGCGACAATGGTAAGTTTTAGAGGATTTTAATGAAACACCGCATTTTTTTCTATTCAAACCTTATGAATTCTCTATGATGAATTAATCTAAAAAATAACCTTCCCTTCCCTCTCTTCCCAACACAACAGATATTGCAAGAGATTACTGCGTAAAAAATGAATTAATAAAGCAAACGTGCCAACTTTTAGAGGATTGCGAGTCAATTCCACTTAAGGAAGTTGTGATGGAATTTTGGTGTATATGTTTACTTTCCGGTTCGTTTCAATCGTCGGATATTCTTTAATTGACAAAATTTATATTTTTGTCGTTCTTCTATCTCAATTCCTTTCTTATTGCTATCGTCATTATTATTCTTCTCATTCTCTTCCTCCTTCCTTATTCTCATAAACGTTTTTTAATTTTTAGAAAATCCGATCGATTCAAACGATGTGATAAGATGTTGTTCTATAAGAATAATTCCTTATATTCTTAACGAAAATCTTAATTTAGGTAAAACATATCCTCTATATATCATATATAAGTAATAATACTGCATATACTGTATAACATAGTAAATGTCTAATCTTAATTGCAGTCTTTCATTTCAAATGCGTTCAGTCATTAAACCTCTTAATAGACTCAGACACGAGTGTCCCTCAAAATGTCATTGCCGTCTTAAAGCTTGGTTTCAAATCTAATTGGCTACCGCTAATCTCAGAATCCTTAGCTTTATTATCTCTACTTTGCCAAGTGAAAAGAAACGTTCTACGTGGGGAAGAACAAGAGTTTATTAACCTTTTAGTATGCCACTACGAGAATTTACCAGATGAGAATAGTAATTAGACAGTTAAATAAAACTATTACATATACCATATATATACTGTATATATATAGTATATCTTTATCTTGAAACCGCATTATTAGCTCTTATATATTTTATGCGGTTTCCTCCCTTTATCGTTACCTTATATTGTATATTCGTGTACTTTGTGTTATTTAGATTTAAAGGAAACAATGGAAATTAGTATTTGGTATTTGATACAGGATTCAGTCACCCTAAAATCTCTTTTAAACTCTTCAGTAGAGCAAAAGAATTATACGGTTAATTAATTAATTCCCCTTTTAACAAGAGAATTTTCTTATCATTATCATCCTGTTTTCTCCCAGCTTGCCCATTGTCTTATACTGTTGGAAAAGGATAAGAAATTAGCTCTTCAATACGCACTTCGTATGAGAGATTTTCCGTTATGTAAAACCCTTTTGCAACACGTAAGTAGAAAGGTTTATTGAAATTATTACCAATTCAGAAGTGTTTGTTCTTTTCAAGGGTACAAACCATTCATCAAAAGAAATTGTAGCAGATTTTCTAAAGGAAGGAGATAATGATTTGATTTCATTAGTTTTGAAAAACTTTGGCTACTTTCCAAAAGGTTTCTCTTTCAATTGCTTTAAGATATATTGCATTTATATATATATATATATATATATATATATATATATATATATATATACTTTATGTATACTGTAATTCAATGGATAAAGAGGGGGAAACAATTCTTCTTAATTAAAATCTTAATGAATTGTTTTTTTTTTAAAAAAAAATGAAGATCAAGCTCTTAGATGGTGTAATTTTCAATTGGATAATCTGCAACCGGAATGGATAATTAAAGCATTATCAAAAGATATTTATGAACCTTCATTATCGGGTAAACCAAATACAATAAAACTCAAGTACAATAACCAGAGAGTAATTTATTTTTCTATCTCTTTCTCTGTATGTCTGTTTCTCGCTCTCTCTTTCTCTCTCTCCTTCTCTCGCTCTCTCTCTCTCTCTCTCTCTCTCTCTCTTATCCTTAGAAATGGGAAAATATTTAACTTTACAACTACAAAGGGTATCTGAAAAAATTGAAAAGGAACAACACGTTCAAAGACCAAAATCCAGTAAACTGAAATTCAAGTTACCCGTCTTTAGACACGGTTTGTTCCATTCGTTCAATATTTAGGTAATATTCTTCTCCATCATTGTAGAATATGTCTTTCTAAAGGATCGGTCGCCAGTCGAGAAGGTATTGAATTTAGAAGGCAATCTCTAGCAAATAGTTTTCCACCATTAACGTCAAAACGCAACTTAAATCGTCAATATTCGGATAAAATTTATAGAAATATGGCGCAAAGAATGATATTTGTTTTCGACAAAGAAGAATACGAGTTTTGGAGGAGTTCGAGTATCAGTTCATGTCAAGTAGCCTTCAACGCTCAATACGATATTCGATTTCGTTATAAAAACGATAGCGATAAATATGTCATGTCGATTGAGGAAGCAAGTAAGAGAATAATCGAAATATTCATTAATTTCTTTAAATGTCATTGAATTAAATAAGCTATAATATAGATGTTATTTGGAAAAGAAGAAGTTTTGGTTTCTCCCAAGAGAGAGACTATAATTTGTCAAATATCTCCCAATTAGAATCGTTAGAAGAGAGTTTAATGATAGATTCGCAAGATAATGAAAATAACCGTCCATTTCGCTATAAATCTAATGAGGATTTAGATACGTCTTACGAAGAGCTGGCAAAGAGCGATTGTAGTCTAGAACTTTGCGAAAATGTACGAAAACATAATTCCTATAGAGAAGAGAGAAAAAATTTAAATATCAAAAAGATAATCGAAGAGAAAAAGTCCAAAAGTTTTATGGCGTTAGGTATAACTAACCATTATTCAACTACACGTATATTGTATACATTTCTTATTCTCTTCTTCCTCTTCTCCTTCGATGGTAAAAGGAAAAGATGGTAGATTTAGATCAAGCACTTTGGATAGGGAAATCAACATCTCCTCTCAAAACCAAATAAGCAGTTTTGATCTATCTTTGAATAATTTAACTTCCTTAAACTTTCTAAAAGTTCCAAGTCTAAAACCATACATTTCCAACATTTCGTATATTAACGCAAGTGGTAATAAGATAGGGAAAATTCCTGTTGAAATGTTTAGAAACTTGCCCCTACTTAAAGAACTTGACTTGTCGAATAACGAAATAGAAGAATTACCAAACAGTTGGACTTGTCATAGATCGTTGGAAAGTATCAACTTGAGTAATAATAGAATAGAATCTATAAATTACAGTCAAGTTTGTATGAGCTTAACGGAATTGTTAGTGGCAAGTAACAAAATTAAATTATGGCCTCAACAAATAGCCAAGATATTTCCAATGTTAAAAATATTAGATCTATCAATGTAACTAACAATAGACTTTATTATCTTTAATATACTAATCTAATTATTCAACAGGAATCATATTCAACTTTTACCTAACAAATGCATTGATTTAAGACTTCTTACTAATTTATCAATTAGTAATAATCACTTGAAAATCATACCCGAATACTTTCTAAGACACTTTCTAAGTATAGAAACTTTAAAATTATGCAATAACTTAATAGGTAGGCCTATTTGTATATAGTTTATATTATTGGATTATATATTTATTTATATTCTCCATCACGACAATTAGAATATCTTCCTAGCAGCGAAACTGCTCACAAACTCCTTAAATTAACTCATTTAAAATTGGCTAATAACAAGATTAACTGCTCAAAAACAAATTTGACGTCATTTGCCTTTATTCTTGCTCTGCCCAACTTACGAACGCTTGACGTTTCTAGCAACGAAATATACTATCTACCGAGACCTTCGCTATGGATAAGCCGTAGTTTGACCGAACTGCTATTATCCCATAATTCTATTGAGAAGGTAGAAATACTCGTCGCCTATTTAGGTTATGTATTCCCTCTATTGTTATTATCTAATCAATATTCTATTTAAGATTGATATAAATCACAACGAAGCAAAAGATTGGCGAAAAATAGAAAGGATAGATTTATCATTTAACAATTTAAAATGTATATCTAAAGAAATTGGACATTTGACAAATTTGGCGTCACTTAATCTAAGTAACAACCCTTCAATTAAGTCTATGCCAGACGAACTAGGAAGATTATGCCATCTATGGGAATTCCCAACAACTAATTTAAATTTAGACTTACCCGATACAATAATTAATGGTAGAACAAGGGATTTAATAAAATTTTTAAATCAAAAACTCAGGAAATCGAAATGTTTGAATCAAGTGAGATTAATAATAGTTGGAGATGAAAAAAGCGGTAAAACATCAATAGCGAATAGATTAATGTGTAGTAGCGGTAATAGTAAACAAAATGTAAAAAATCCATTTAATATATGTGGAATGTTTGTCTCGGAATGGAAACCTTTTAGTCGGAAATATATAATATCAATATGGGATATGTTCGGAGGAGAGGACGTCTATTCAATAAACATGAAATTCTTTTCAAAGAGAGCAGTCTATATAGTAAATATTTTGAATATATAGTTAAATCACCTTTCATTGTCCTACATACTTGTTTACCCTTTGAATAGATAGCAATAAATTTGTTAGAAGAAGAAGGATGTTGGAAGAAATCATTAAAGAAATGGTCATGTAATATTTACAGTAAATCTCCTTACTGTCAAATAATTGTTGCGGCAACTCATCTGGATAGAATTCTACCAAAAATTCGTACGAAAACTGTTAGTAATTTATTCAAGATTGTACGAAAAGAGATATCTAACGCGAATTTCGGAGTTGTTAAAGAGATTGTTGTGCTCGATGCGAGTAGAAATAATCCCGGTACAAATTTATTAAAACAATCGGTTCTAAATACCTTTGACAGGTAGATTGTTTACGTTTAATTAATTAAAATTCAATTAAGCCTATTATTCCCTTATAAAGGTATGAAGTAAGTGGTCAAAAGGTAATTGAAGAAAAAGTTCCTGCCGCTTACATTGTAAGTTATACATCAATTCCTCATTAACTATTTATTCATTAGTCTCTTAATTAAAATTATAGAAACTTTGGAGTTTATTAATAGGCTCATGCGGTAAAAAGAATATCATAACTCATAATGAACTAAGAGAGATGGTAAAATCTAGTTCCCTTGACCTATTTGAATCAGAAATACGACAAGCGGGTAGATTTCTTCACGATACTGGCTGCATATTGTATTTTAGTAAAGATATGCCAAATTTATACTTTCCCTGCCCTTTAATTCTCTGCAATATCCTTTCCGATTTCCTCACCTCAAATCCTATATCAACTGTCTCTACTACGGCAATAATAGATTCGAAAAGTGTACATGACGCAGCCAAACAAATTAACTTACCTGAAGAGATGAGAGGGCAATCTATAAATGCCCTTTTAAAATTTGAATTAATCATTCCAGTTTGGGAGGATCAATATTTATTGCCAATTAAACTGGACAAACATTTTAATAGATATCAAGACTTTCTAATAGAATACGGAAAGGACGAAAATGTTATAGGAGCAAAATATATTTGTACGTTTATACCCTTTGGATTTTGGCCTAAATTATTAAGTTTTCTACTTAGTCAAGTAGATAAAACTGTTCCAAAGGTATATTAATAAATCATTACGTATTTATTTCTAATTTTACGCTATCAATCCAAAAAATGGAGATTAAAGTGATAATAATAGTTGCATTTTTCTAGGAAAACCTTCATTACTGGAACGCAGGAATTTTAATAATCCTATCTAAAGTATTTTATATTCTTTCTTTCTTTCTTTCTCTCTCTCTCTCTCTCTCTCATTTCTTCTATCGTTTCTAGGAAGACTTTTATAGTATTAAAATCGACAACGACAATCTAATTATAAGCGTTAAGCAATCTGTAAACGCTTATAGAACTCTGGCCAACATCATTGGAAAGATTGAAACGCTCTTCAATGAATGGTACCCGAATCTTCTTACAAGAGATGGTTTTGGTGTGCAACACGTTACAAGGGTTGCTTTGTGCACAAAGTGCCAACATTCGTTCGACGTCGAATCTATCGAAGAAATATCTTGTCATAAAGATAACATTTGGTGTCCAGATCACCGCGATTTCGTAATTATAAACTAACATTTTCCCTACTAGTTAGCGCCATCTGTATTATGTTTTAAACAAACTCTTCAGATTTTATTGGAAGATCTAGTACCGGATTTTTATTTGAAATTTCTAGAGAAGCACTTGTTATTTGATAAAAACGATACGAATTTTAATGAAAAGTTTGTATTGTTTCCATATTTATAAACTATGTAAATCAATAGACATTTAACTAATGACAATAAAACTTTTGAACGTTTCCAGAAGCTCAAAGAGCTTAGGTTATGGAGCGTTTAGTAGAGTATTCAAGTCATTATTGAAAAAGAGACATGTTGCTGCAAAGGTCTATTCTAAAAAGGCAAGGGGACAAGTTATGTATGAGTTGTTAATACTAAGTACAATTAGACATTCTTCGATTATTGAATTATACGGTATATTACCAAAACCACCAATAATATTCCTTCAATTGGCTCCGAAGGGATCTTTAACCGATATTTTAAAAGAGAATTTATCAACTTGCCTAAAACTACAAATATGCTTGGAAATTATAGAGGGTGTTGAAAAATTACACAATTCTAATATCATCTACAGAGACCTTAAACCAGACAATATCCTAGTCTTTTCTTTAGACAAAACCGACGGTATTCATATTAAATTAACTGATTTTGGAATTGCCCGATGGGTACCACCCTTCGGCTTAAAATCAAATGAAGGAACTCCTGGCTACAGGGCACCGGAAATTATAAATACCGTGATATATTCGTTTATGGTATACATAATTTAAGTAAACAAAGATAGAAAGCTAAATAAAAGCATCTCCCTTAGGCCGATGTATTTTCCTATGGAATTACGATTTATCAACTATTTTACAATGGGAAACATCCTTTTGGAGATGCTCATTTTCCAGCCCAATTGGAAGATTCTATTGTTGAGGTATATTAAATACTATTATATCTATAATATATTAGTATATATACAATTGTCGTTGTTTTTAAGCTATCGGATTCTAGCCCGTTAATAAGATACGACTCTCATTGGATAGGCATTCAATCGTTAATTGGTTCATGCTTAGCAAGCCAACCGGAGAAACGGTAATGTGTTTTTAATATATAGAATATAAGTTATATTGTTTGATTTATTCTGTTCACTTCTCTTACCCAAACAAACAAACAAACAAACAACAAAACACAGATGGAAACCCAATAAAATAATTGAATATTTAAATAAAGATTCCATTTTGGGATTAAGATCTCCGGTTCCAATCTCGGAGAATGTTGCTGTTGAATGTTGTTGCGTCACTCCAGAAGGATTTTTATTTATGGCCTGTTGCAGTGAGGAAACTGTTTATGTACAAAAAGTCGACACAATTAACAGACAGTCGCAGGTTTTTTTTTCCTTTATCCTTTAAACAAAGGAAAATTTATCAACTAATAATGCATTAACTATCTTCTTAAATAACATTATAGGGTATTCACATTCCTGACAAACGGTTTATCTGTGTTTGTCATTTCGACGAAAGGGTAATATTCGGAAGTCAATCGGGGTTATTATGGATCTTTACTGTCAAAAGTCTACAAAAGAATCATTATATTAATTCAACTGGTGATGCTATTGTCTGTCTTTTAACCGTAGCTCAACAGTTAGTCTATAATAGAAATTCTTATGATTCACCTTTCCTTCTAAAAAGCTAATAGGAAATTCTTTTTTTCATTAATTTTCTATTGAAAGGTCAAGTCCAAAGCTTTTAGTTGGCTTTGCCGACGGAAGCGTTTCTTCCTACAATCTTAGAGATGTATTATCCGTAAGAGCCTACTTTATCTCGAATTATTTTCCATTCGTTTAACGCAACTTCTATGAAATAAATAGGATTCTACAACAATACCTTTGCAAGTAATACGAACTGGAAGAAATTGCATACACGCATTATCTCCGATGGATAGAAGGGGTTCTAAGATAGCTATTGCCTGCGGTTCGGAAATTAAAATATTATACAACCAACAAGGATTTTACAATATATTCGATCACGTTAATTCGAGCAACAGCAATAGAATAATTGGGTTAGAATGCTGCAGAAATACCATAATTGTTTGTAGGAGGAACAGCGTTACATTAGAAAAATGGTCTGGTAGGTCTAAAGAAAGAAGGAAGTTAATAGACGCCTACGATTGTTCTCATATCGTCTCATCGATTCATCTTACCAAAGTCACCTTGTGGATTGGCAATAAGAATGGCCAAATAAATTTACTGAACGCCGTCGATTTTAAACCTTTACTATGCGTACAAGCTCATTACGATTCCGTTAAGGTGCTTTGCTCCGGCTACGGATACGTCATTTCCTGTGGATACGGATGGGAAGATGAAGGAGAAGGAAAACTATCGGACTGTAGCTATGTTTTAGTTTGGGATCAAGATTTTGGACAAATATATGAGCAATTTCGTAAATATCAAATATTAAGAAAAGAATCATCTATACAATCGTAAATAGCAGACTTTTAAAAGACTAAAGAACAGTAAAAGCTCCCTACATAACACTGACCAAATGGATTTTTAATACAATTTGCGTAATTATTAATTGATATTTACGTAAAAACATGATAAAGACTTTCAATCGCCAAAATAGACCTAAATGTCTCTAGGGTTTTTGTCAATATTATGTAAACACATGTAAATATGTAGTAGATGGATACTACTTTACTCTTTGTTCATCATCAAATGTCATAAATTTGATCAGCAGATATAGTAATAATCGAAGATTCGTATAAAACACTAGGCTGGCCAGAAAGAGGAAAAGGAGGAGGAGGAGGAGGAGGAGGAGGAGACGAGAAAGAACAACTAAATAATAGCTGAATTAATGAACAAATAAAAGAATATTGATGTAAAAACAAAAAAACCAACTGAAATATTGAAAGAAAGAAGAAAACAAATTGAAAAAAAGGAAAATATTGTCAAATATTAATGAAATAAAGCATTTTCCATATCGTCTTATTATTGTAGATAACCGTGAATATTCATTGGACAGCGGGGTGGGGGGAGGAAAGAGGGAGGGAGGACCAGAGTGAATTGTTTATTCATTCTATAACTGTTCATCCTATCGATTGAATAGCAGCCTGTAAAAAGAGAGAGAGAGAGAGAGAGAGAGAGAGAATAGAATAAAAAGGAAAAAGATTTTAACGATTCATAATTTTTTTTCTCCTATTGAACAAATGTAATGATTGAATAGGGAAGAAACCATAGTAATTTAAGATTTACTAGCTACGGGACAAATGTTATGGCTGTTACCTTTAGCAAATACATATTTATATTAAATTTTAAGATCTATTGATAAAATTATTTCTAACGTTTTAACCATAAAGAGAATGATTTATGATTAGGGAACAATCGACTAATCCAGCATCAATAATAATGATAATAAGTTTCATAAATGTCTAATTAGACAATTGTTAGTAGGCAATAAAAGTAAAAATGATCTTGTACAAGCTAAAAATTGAACGGGACGAGTTCAATTTGTCAATAGTTCCTCGGTTAATTTTCTTATTTTTGAATATCATTATAAAATTTTTAGTAGTACAAATAAATAACGAATAGACTTATTGATTACAGAATATTTATACAATTAAGTAATACTTCTAAACAATAGAATAATTTATTATCACGATTTTTGAAAAGGCTCTCTTATAGATGAGGTTATACTGGAATAGAAAGACAGATAATACAATTCTATTATTAGGCCTATAAAAGTATATAAAAGACAAACTCTCAAGAGCTAGTAGATAGAAACATTGTCAAACTATAAATATCGATCGTTGTTATACAGTATTATTTGATTGTCGATAAGAGACTTTTACATTGGAATTATAAATAGTAAATAGGGTAAAAGAGAGCAAGATATGATGCTAAACTAAAAGTTCTCTATAGTCTTGTTTGTTTATATAAAGAAACAAAAACAAAATCATAAAAAAACTCACACTAATAAATGATAATAAACAGAAAGAAATCAATAGAAAAGTCAGAAATAATTAAGATATGGCAAAGGCATTATAAATTATATACAAATAGAAAACTATTATATTTAATACTACTTTCAGATCTCTACCCGATATTACTGTTCCACCACCACTTTATATATAAATAATAATTGCTTGTCTTCGATTCAAAACATACAAAACATTCATTATGTCACATGACATGCTTTTTTATTCAAAGCTAATAGAACGACTTGTGCAAGCAACGCATGGTAAGTTTTCTAGATTATTTCAACATATTCTATAATAAACTTTTAAAATATTCAATGCAAGTTATAGATTGTAGCATTCATTTTTAAATTCTAGCTTTGACCTTTGCAAACAGAAATTTATGAATATTCATAATGAAATTTTTAAGAATATATTAATAAATCATTAAAAAAATTGCAGACTAAAACTGCAATAATTATTCGTTTATTCCTTAACTATTGTATTAAATTTTATTTAACTCGCCTCAAACTGCAAAGATGGGAATAAACAAAGAGAAAGAGAGAGAAGTGGCTAAAACTTAAAAAAAATTAAAAAAACAAGTTTAATTAATAATTAATATAAATATTCATTAAGTCATTAATTCTTAAGAAAAAGCATTAAACAACATATAAATATTATTACGTTACTTGGTTTCATATGTCAATTCTATTGATAATTTTACATTATTAACTCTTTCGGGAGCTGATCTGTCTAAAGTTGGATCAAACCGGTAAGGAGGATATACTTCTCATTAAACATCTTTTCATTTTTAACCATTTCTCTATCATTTTACTCTTTGTCCATGATAAAAAACACATTTCTTTTTTGCAGATAATGAAATCAAATCTCTTACATCCTTCCGAAAAAACAATCACTATTCATTTTCAATTATCTCTCTTTTGCATCTTAATATTTCTCATTAATACTAGCAGTAGTAACTTATCATGTTCAAATGATCAAGTTCCTTGTTTGAAAACAAACACATGCGTCCCAAAACAACAATTCCGTGAACAAGAATGTAAAGTCACTTGTGAAAACAATCAGAAATTTTGTGAAAAACAAAATAAATGCATTCAAGAGGCAAACTATACAGTCAAAGACTGCCAATCACAACAACAATGTCCTCAAGATGAAAAACTCTGCATGAAAACACAAACATGTGTTGCTGATAAGGATTTCAAAGAAGAAGATTGCAGACCAGAATGCGAAAACGGAAAGAAATTCTGTATGATGAGAAAGTCTTGCATTGATGAAGCAAGTTACAAAGAAGACGACTGCAAACAAATGCCTCACTGTACTTCAGATGAAAAGTATTGTATGAAGACAAAAGAATGTGTTGCTGTTAAAGATTTTAAGGAGGATGAATGCAGACCAGATTGTGAAAATGGAAAGAAATTCTGTATGATGAGAAAGGCTTGCATTGATGAAGCAACATTCAAGGAAGATGACTGCAAACCAATGCCTCACTGTACTTCAGATGAAGAGTATTGCCTGAAGACAAAGGCATGTGTTGCTGTTAAAGATTTCAAGGAGGATGAATGCAGACCAGATTGTGAAAATGGAACGAAATTCTGTATGATGAGAAAGTCTTGCATTGATGAAGCAAGTTACAAAGAAGACGACTGCAAACCAATTCCACAATGTGGTCAGGATGAAAAGTATTGTATGAAGACCAAGGCATGTGTAGCTGTTAAAGATTTCAAGGAGGATGAATGCAGACCAGATTGTGAAAATGGAACAAAATTCTGTATGATGAGAAAGTCTTGCATTGATGAAGCAAGTTACAAAGAAGATGACTGCAAACCAATGCCTCACTGTACTTCAGATGAAAAGTATTGTATGAAGACAAAGGCATGTGTTGCTGTTAAAGATTTCAAGGAAGAAGATTGCAGACCAGAATGTGAAAATGGAAAGAAATTCTGTATGAGACAAAAAGCTTGCATTGATGAAGCAAGTTACAAAGAAGATGACTGCAAACCAATGCCACAATGTGGTCAGGAGGAAAAGTATTGCCTGAAGACAAAGGCATGTGTTGCTGTTAAAGATTTCAAGGAAGAAGATTGCAGACCAGAATGTGAAAATGGAAAGAAATTCTGTATGAGAAGAAAGGCTTGCATTGATGAAGCAAGTTACAAAGAAGACGACTGCAAACCAATGCCACAATGTGGTCAGGATGAAAAATATTGCCTGAAGACAAAGGCATGTGTTGCTGTTAAAGATTTCAAGGAGGATGAATGCAGACCAGATTGTGAAAATGGAACGAAATTCTGTATGATGAGAAAGTCTTGCATTGATGAAGCAAGTTACAAAGAAGACGACTGCAAACCAATTCCACAATGTGGTCAGGATGAAAAGTATTGTATGAAGACAAAGGCATGTGTTGCTGTTAAAGATTTCAAGGAAGAAGATTGCAGACCAGAATGTGAAAATGGAACAAAATTCTGTATGAGACAAAAAGCTTGCATTGATGAAGCAACCTACAAAGAAGACAACTGCAAACCAATGCCACAATGTGGTCAGGAGGAAAAGTATTGTATAAAGACCAAGGCATGTGTTGCTGTTAAAGATTTCAAGGAAGAAGATTGCAGACCAGAATGTGAAAATGGAAAGAAATTTTGTATGATGAGAAAGGCTTGCATTGATGAAGCAACATTCAAGGAAGATGACTGCAAACCAATGCCTCACTGTACTTCAGATGAAAAGTATTGCCTGAAGACAAAGGCATGTGTTGCTGTTAAAGATTTCAAGGAAGAAGATTGCAGACCAGAATGTGAAAATGGAAAGAAATTCTGTATGAGACAAAAAGCTTGCATTGATGAAGCAACCTACAAAGAAGACAACTGCAAACCAATGCCACAATGTGGTCAGGAGGAAAAGTATTGCATGAAGACAAAAGAATGTGTTGCGGTTAAAGAATTTAAGGAGGATGAATGCAGACCAGATTGTGAAAATGGAAAGAAATTTTGTATGATGAGAATGGCTTGCATTGATGAAGCAAGTTACAAGGAAGATGACTGCAAACCAATGCCTCACTGTACTTCAGATGAAAAGTATTGTATGAAGACAAAAGAATGTGTTGCTGTTAAAGATTTTAAGGAGGATGAATGCAGACCAGATTGTGAAAATGGAAAGAAATTTTGTATGATGAGAATGGCTTGCATTGATGAATCAAGTTACAAAGACGACTGCAAACCAATGCCTCACTGTACTTCAGATGAAAAGTATTGTATGAAGACAAAGGCATGTGTTGCTGTTAAAGATTTCAAGGAAGAAGATTGCAGACTAGAATGTGAAAATGGAAAGAAATTCTGTATCAGAATAAAAGCTTGTATTGATGAATCAAGTTACAAAGAAGATGATTGCAAACCAATGCCACAATGTGGTCAGGAGGAAAAGTATTGTATAAAGACCAAGGCATGTGTTGCTGTTAAAGATTTCAAGGAAGAAGATTGCAGACCAGAATGTGAAAATGGAAAGAAATTCTGTATGAGAAGAAAGGCTTGCATTGATGAAGCAAGCCATAAAGAAGATGACTGCAAACCAATGCCACAATGTGGTCAGGATGAAATGTATTGTATGAAGACCAAGGCATGTGTAGCTGTTAAAGATTTCAAGGAAGAAGATTGCAGACCAGAATGTGAAAATGGAAAGAAATTCTGTATGAGAAGAAAGGCTTGCATTGATGAAGCAAGTTACAAAGAAGACGACTGCAAACCAATGCCACAATGTGGTCAGGAGAAAAAGTATTGTATAAAGACCAAGGCATGTGTTGCTGTTAAAGATTTCAAGGAAGAAGATTGCAGACCAGAATGTGAAAATGGAAAGAAATTCTGTATGAGAAGAAAGGCTTGCATTGATGAAGCAAGTTACAAAGAAGACGACTGCAAACCAATGCCACAATGTGGTCAAGATGAAAAATATTGCATGAAGACCAAGGCATGTGTAGCTGTTAAAGATTTCAAGGAAGAAGATTGCAGACCAGAATGTGAAAATGGAAAGAAATTCTGTATGAGACAAAAAGCTTGCATTGATGAAGCAACCTACAAAGAAGCTGACTGCAAACCAATGCCACAATGTGGTCAGGATGAAAAGTATTGTATAAAGACCAAGGCATGTGTTGCTGTTAAAGATTTCAAGGAAGAAGATTGCAGACTAGAATGTGAAAATGGAAAGAAATTCTGTATCAGAATAAAAGCTTGTATTGATGAATCAAGTTACAAAGAAGATGATTGCAAACCAATGCCTCACTGTACTTCAGATGAAAAGTATTGCCTGAAGACAAAGGCATGTGTTGCTGTTAAAGATTTCAAGGAAGAAGATTGCAGACCAGAATGTGAAAATGGAAAGAAATTCTGTATGAGAAGAAAGGCTTGCATTGATGAAGCAAGCTATAAAGAAGATGACTGCAAACCAATGCCACAATGTGGTCAGGATGAAAAGTATTGTATGAAGACCAAGGCATGTGTAGCTGTTAAAGATTTCAAGGAAGAAGATTGCAGACCAGAATGTGAAAATGGAAAGAAATTCTGTATGAGAAGAAAGGCTTGCATTGATGAATCAAGCTATAAAGAAGATGACTGCAAACTAATGCCACAATGTGGTCAAGATGAAAAGTATTGCATGAAGACCAAGGCATGTGTTGCTGTTAAAGATTTCAAGGAAGAAGATTGCAGACCAGAATGTGAAAATGGAAAGAAATTCTGTATGAGAAGAAAGGCTTGCATCGATGAAGCAAGTTACAAAGAAGATGACTGCAAACCAATGCCACAATGTGGTCAAGATGAAAAGTATTGCATGAAGACCAAGGCATGTGTAGCTGTTAAAGATTTCAAGGAAGAAGATTGCAGACCAGAATGTGAAAATGGAAAGAAATTCTGTATGAGAAGAAAGGCTTGCATCGATGAAGCAAGTTACAAAGAAGACGACTGCAAACCAATGCCACAATGTGGTCAAGATGAAAAGTATTGCATGAAGACCAAGGCATGTGTTGCTGTTAAAGATTTCAAGGAAGAAGATTGCAGACCAGAATGTGAAAATGGAAAGAAATTCTGTATGAGAAGAAGGGCTTGCATCGATGAAGCAAGTTACAAAGAAGACGACTGCAAACCAATGCCACAATGTGGTCAAGATGAAAAGTATTGCATGAAGACCAAGGCATGTGTTGCTGTTAAAGATTTCAAGGAAGAAGATTGCAGACCAGAATGTGAAAATGGAAAGAAATTCTGTATGAGAAGAAAGGCTTGCATTGATGAATCAAGCTATAAAGAAGATGACTGCAAACTAATGCCACAATGTGGTCAGGATAAAAAGTATTGCATGAAGACAAAAGAATGTGTTGCTGTTAAAGATTTCAAGGAAGAAGATTGCAGACCAGAATGTGAAAATGGAAAGAAATTCTGTATGAGAAGAAAGGCTTGCATCGATGAAGCAAGTTACAAAGAAGACGACTGCAAACCAATGCCACAATGTGGTCAAGATGAAAAGTATTGCATGAAGACCAAGGCATGTGTTGCTGTTAAAGATTTCAAGGAAGAAGATTGCAGACCAGAATGTGAAAATGGAAAGAAATTCTGTATGAGAAGAAAGGCTTGCATTGATGAATCAAGCTATAAAGAAGATGACTGCAAACTAATGCCACAATGTGGTCAAGATGAAAAGTATTGCATGAAGACCAAGGCATGTGTTGCTGTTAAAGATTTCAAGGAAGAAGATTGCAGACCAGAATGTGAAAATGGAAAGAAATTCTGTATGAAAAGAAAGGCTTGCATTGATGAATCAAGCTATAAAGAAGATGACTGCAAACTAATGCCACAATGTGGTCAGGATAAAAAGTATTGCATGAAGACAAAAGAATGTGTTGCTGTTAAAGATTTCAAGGAAGAAGATTGCAGACCAGAATGTGAAAATGGAAAGAAATTCTGTATGAGAAGAAAGGCTTGCATCGATGAAGCAAGTTACAAAGAAGATGACTGCAAACCAATGCCACAATGTGGTCAAGATGAAAAGTATTGCATGAAGACCAAGGCATGTGTAGCTGTTAAAGATTTCAAGGAAGAAGATTGCAGACCAGAATGTGAAAATGGAAAGAAATTCTGTATGAGAAGAAAGGCTTGCATCGATGAAGCAAGTTACAAAGAAGACGACTGCAAACCAATGCCACAATGTGGTCAAGATGAAAAGTATTGCATGAAGACCAAGGCATGTGTTGCTGTTAAAGATTTCAAGGAAGAAGATTGCAGACCAGAATGTGAAAATGGAAAGAAATTCTGTATGAGAAGAAAGGCTTGCATCGATGAAGCAAGTTACAAAGAAGACGACTGCAAACCAATGCCACAATGTGGTCAAGATGAAAAGTATTGCATGAAGACCAAGGCATGTGTTGCTGTTAAAGATTTCAAGGAAGAAGATTGCAGACCAGAATGTGAAAATGGAAAGAAATTCTGTATGAGAAGAAAGGCTTGCATTGATGAATCAAGCTATAAAGAAGATGACTGCAAACTAATGCCACAATGTGGTCAGGATAAAAAGTATTGCATGAAGACAAAAGAATGTGTTGCTGTTAAAGATTTCAAGGAAGAAGATTGCAGACCAGAATGTGAAAATGGAAAGAAATTCTGTATGAGAAGAAAGGCTTGCATCGATGAAGCAAGTTACAAAGAAGACGACTGCAAACCAATGCCACAATGTGGTCAAGATGAAAAGTATTGCATGAAGACCAAGGCATGTGTTGCTGTTAAAGATTTCAAGGAAGAAGATTGCAGACCAGAATGTGAAAATGGAAAGAAATTCTGTATGAGAAGAAAGGCTTGCATTGATGAATCAAGCTATAAAGAAGATGACTGCAAACTAATGCCACAATGTGGTCAAGATGAAAAGTATTGCATGAAGACCAAGGCATGTGTTGCTGTTAAAGATTTCAAGGAAGAAGATTGCAGACCAGAATGTGAAAATGGAAAGAAATTCTGTATGAAAAGAAAGGCTTGCATTGATGAATCAAGCTATAAAGAAGATGACTGCAAACTAATGCCACAATGTGGTCAGGATAAAAAGTATTGCATGAAGACAAAAGAATGTGTTGCTGTTAAAGATTTCAAGGAAGAAGATTGCAGACCAGAATGTGAAAATGGAAAGAAATTCTGTATGAGGAGAAAGGCTTGTATTGATGAAGCAACATACAAGGAAGATGACTGCAAGCCAATTACTGAGTGCACTTCAGATGAAAAGTATTGCATGAAGACCAAGGCGTGTGTTGCTGTGAAAGATTTTAAGGAGGAAGACTGTAGAGTTGAATGTGAAAATGGAAAGAAATTTTGTATGAGAAGGAAGGCTTGCATTGACGAAGCAACCTATAAAGAAGATGACTGCAAACCGATTACTCAGTGTGCTCAAGACGAAAAGTACTGCATGAAAACAAAGAAATGCGTTGCTCAGGAAGATTATAAGGAAGTTGATTGTAAAGCAATAGCGAATTGTGGTTCAAATGAAAAATTTTGTTTGAAAACTAAGAAATGTATTGCTGTTGAATTGTTCAAGGAAGAAGATTGCAAAACTGTTTCGCTGATTTGCCCTGTTGTTGCAGGAGGTAAAGATGCTGGAACTTGTGGTGCAGTTTGCAAAGATGAGAATGATTGCGGTGCAGGAAAAATTTGTTGTACTAGTGCATGCGGTGGAAAGACTTGTACTGATGGAGAAAATAGTAATAAACCCATTGGTTTATTAATATATAAAAATGATAAAACAACGTTAGAGTCTTTGGTTTCGAGCATTAAAGTTGTTGGTGGAGAAGCCAATAATCTTCTTTTTAAACTAAAGTCGAAGACCTCAGTGTCTCTAAGTGTTACTGAAAAAGATTCAACTAATAATGAATTTTTGTCAGCGGCTGGCGAATTGTCAGTAACTGGAAAACACGGATGGTATTCCTATTCTCTAGAAATCTATACACCCAACAAAGTTCTAGCGAGAGAGATGGATGTAATGATTTTAAAGTTCCCTGTGAACCAGAAGCCGGTATTGACCCTCAAGAAAAATGTTATTAATACTGATGAAGATTCTGAATCGGATGATCTTAACATTGAGTCTTTCTTTGATATTGAAGACAACGAAATCAAGCCTGCTGAAAGTTGGGATGAAACAAAATACGGAAAGATGTCTCCTGCAGCTAAGAAATATGAAGTACTTTATCATAGAGAGGTTGAATTAGCTTCGAAAGCAAAAGAGAATGCTATATTTATAATGCAATTTCCAAGAGTTCAAAATGTCAAGAATATAAAATCTAGTCTATTCGTAAAGGACAGCAAAGGCGCAAGACGAAAGTTATCAATGGTTGGAGGCGTTGTCAAATCTTCTGATAAGTTAATTGTCAAACCTGTTGAAAATTTCCATGGTGAATTTAAATTGAGCGTCTATCCTGTTGACGATAGCGGTCGAAGAGAAATAGCAAATTATGTAAGATCATCAAAAATCAATGAACTATTTGAATTTTTAAAATCTAGCGTTCATGTTGGTGTTGCTAAGTTAATTGTAGTAAAAGTAGCTCAGTCCAATGATTCTCCTTACTTTTTGAAAAATGACAACTTCTTTAGTCTTTATAAAAATCCAGCAACGGCTGTAAAAGACCTTTTTGTTCCTGAAAAGAATGACAATTATCAAGGAGCAACTGCAAAATCTATTGTTAATAGTTTCTATGGCGACGAAGAGACTAAAGATCTTGGAATGGCTGTGTTTATGGCGCAAGAGAGTACCGTTTATGGTAATTTTGAGTATCAGAAAGATGGAGGAGCGTGGACGAAACTTATTGTCGGTTCAGATTTAACATATCTCACTATTGATTCATATAGAAGAGTTATAGCACCATTACTCTTCAAACTACAAGGCAGCAGTGTGGTCAATTCTCGTACAATGTTGAATGACGTTTTACCTAAATTAAGCACTAAAAGTGATAAGATAACATTGGTATATTTGAAACCTAACGACAGAATTAGATATTTACCAAAAGATTGGTCAGTTATTTTTCCATTAATGTTTCCATTGTTTGATAATATTAATTGTATTTTAGGTCTGCTTCTTGGGAGAAGAAGAAAATTGCTCATTTTGGCTTTTATGCTTGGGATATGAATAATAAAACTCCTACAGAATCGATTGATGGACCTCTTTGTAAATCTGACTTATGCGGTGGAAAAGGCACTCTAAGTTTCCTTCCTGTTCTTAGCTTAGCTCAAAAGGTGGACTGCAATGGAGTGCCAGGAGGTAGTATTAAACGTGATAAATGCGATAAATGTGCAGGAGGAAATGAATGCTTGAAGAAAGACTGTAACGGAGAAGTAAAGGGAACTGCTTTCATTGACTTATGTGGAAACTGTGTTGGCGGTAGTACAACTAAAAAGCCTAATTACGCCAGAGATTGTTCAGGAAGGTGCAATGGTAATTTCACATTAATCTCCTTCCAGACAGATAAAGGAGAAGAAAAGATTTGTCTCGAGTAACTTATCTCTTTTACCTTTCTCATCATTCATATTCATTTATATATCTTTATTTTGAACAGTAAAAATACAAACACTACAAAATTCCTATTCTCGAGGTGGTGTGACGGTAAATTCAAGAGTTCAGCAAGATTAAACAAATGTAAAAAATGCTTTGGGGGAAGTACAGGACTAACAAATACAGCAGGAATGGATGTTTGCGGAATTTGTGGAGGAGATGGAAAATCTTGTTTAGATTGTAAGGGAACAGTTAGAGGAACTGCAACAGTAGATAAATGTAATAAATGCAAAGAAGCGAAAGATAAAACCAGAGATACCGACTGTATAAGTCTATTCTCGATAAAGCCTATGAATTTATTTTATACGAAGAAAGATAAGCTGATTATCACTGGAGTTGGCATCAATTTATTCAAAACAGTTGAAAAGTGTTCACTCTCAAGTCAATCTGATTCTAACAAAGTTAATTTACTAGATTCAAAAATAGTTAATATAAATGGGGAAACCGTTGTAGTCGCCAATTACGATGGATCAGCAGCAGCAGGAACATATAAAGCTGAATGTCTTTTTAAAGGAGACACAGAGAAAACTCTAACCTCTGAGAAGACAATCGTTTTAATAGGAAATCCGAAAGTTACCAAATTCAGTGTAAAATCTATCCAAAGAGGTTCATCTGACGTTCAAACTGGCATGGCTACTGTTGAAGATACACTTGAAAATCCAGTGTGTTTCTTCATTTGTCCTCCAAATTCAAAATCTCTACCATTTTGCGCAGCAAGAACAAAATTCAGTAAATTCGTAGAAAAGAATCATTTGGTTCTTATAGGCTGTAAAAAAAAAGAAGATACCAAGTTGGAAATTAATTTGAGAATGTTCTTAAAGATTCAACCGACCTCATTAAATATTAATATTGCTAATATCTTACCAACATCCGCTAGTGAACTTCAAGGGTACGACGTGCTAAGGTTTATAGTATTATAGTATTATTAATATGAGTGAATTTTCTTTCAGAACTCCATCTGTTTCGCTTAAAGTAATTGGAACGCCTCCATCTGTGAAATCTGTTAGATTTAGCTCTAATTTATGTTATCTGTTTGTTAAATTTGATAAAGTCATTGAAATTAAGGGAAGAGATTGTATATCGAAGAAGGCAGATTATAAAGAATGCTGCAAAGCTATGTGGAAATCGGCAGACTTGGATAAATTCGGAACAGGAGCTGAATGCTTATTAACCAATAATGGCGAATTGGCAATAAGACTTGGAAAGGAGAATAGAAATCTTGTATCTGGTACAACTTTAAGTTTAATTGACGATATTATTAAAGAGAGAGGAGTCGATGATTCTGTTGCAGCTTATCTTACATCACAAACAATCGATATACCTGATATTAAAGGAAAACTCTTTGCTACTCTTATAGCACCAGAAAAAGTTGGAGGAGATTCCAACGTCAACATTAGAGCAAAGGTAGGTGGAGCTCAAGGATGTACAAAGTTAAATTACGAATGGACACTGGAATTTATCACTGGTCAGAATCCTAATGCCGATGCTCAGACAAAGCTTGATTCCACTAAATCTAACCTGAAAAACACTGGAGAAGTTAGTCTTGGAGGTAGCGACTTGGCTCCAGGCTATAACTATAAAATTACATTAAAAGCAACAAATTTCATTGGAACATCCATTACGAAAACGGCTGAATTTGAGAAAGCAACAGAGGATCTACCTATTTCTGTTAATTTAATAGCACCAGATCAAGCGGTTGATCCAAAATCCAACTTCCGCCTTAGTACTTCAATAATTGTTGAGAAAACTTTATCCAAAGTTCGATACAGTTATTCAGTAATGAATTCGATAGATTTCAAATTAGATTTTGCCAGAAGTAGAGTAGTTAATCTAAACGGCAGGAAATTAAAATTGCAGGGAGGAAAGACCTACGAAGTACAAGTTACCGTTGATTATGAATTCAAACAAGGTAACGCTGTTAAATCTGGATCTTTAACAGCTAGTGCTAAGTTTGAAACAAAAATACTACCACTTGTTGTCCTACTAAAAGGAAAAGGCAAAATGGAAGAATCCGCAACTGAAAGCTTAGACGGTAGCTTATCTTTTGATCCTAATGTTGCCGGAGGATCTTTAACTGATGCTATCTACGAGTGGACTTGCGAAAAGACAGATGAAGGCACGGGAGGACTTTGCTATGACGTTGATGGAAATGTCTATACCAAGGAAAAATTCGACAATAGTTTAGAGATTTCTGGAAGTAAATTAGGACAAGGAAAATATAAATTCTGTTTAAAAATTCAAAAGGATACTATAAAAACTTCCAACTGCAAAGAAATTGAAATAGTTAAAGAGCCGGCTCCTGTACTCCTGGATTATGAATTGAAAAGCTTTTCAACGAGTGCCACAATTAAAGCAAAAGTTGAATCGAAGAAACCAGCTGCCGTTAGTTGGTCGGCTTTGTTCGAAGATGGTTTGTTAATCATTTACTTTAAATTGTTCTCACTATACAGCATATTAATAATTATTCATTGTCATTGTTGCTATAGGTACAACAGTAGCAAGTATAGCTCACAGCCGTGAAATATCGACAACCGACGAAAAGCCAGATTGTATATTTTACGGTCCTCAAGTAATCGGAAAAGAAATGCAACAGGCTCGTGTATGGCTTAAATGTCAATCGTTAAAGATCAATGCCGTTTATAAGATAAAACTGGAAATATTCCGTATTGATGAAAATGGAGAACAGATAGAATCGGAAAATGAACAGGATGCAAACAGTTTATTTGATGAAGAAGAATTTGAGATAATTACTCCCGGAGCACCAGAAATATTGGATATTTCTGTGGATAAAAAGACTGCTCAAGAAATAACAGAAGAAATTAAAGCTACTGTTAATGCCATTGACGATGAAGAAAATCTACCTCTCCGATTTAGTCTTGAGATATGCGACGAGGATGATAATTGTCGAATGATATCACCGAATTCTCCAAAGGAACAGCATCAATTTACTCTTCCTAAGGGTAAATTCAGATACGGTTATACAGTTTGTAATAGATTTGACATTTGTACCCAAAAACAATCGGATGTTGGTGATGTTATTGATGTGACAGCTTTAAATCTTGACAAAACATCAGCGGCCGATCTGGATCTTGAAGGTTTAGCAGAATCTTCCGAAGATCCTTTAGCAGCATTAAACAATTTCGTTTCGGGTTCAATTGGCGAAAAAGGAAAAACGAATCCAGAATTTGCAGAGGCCATTGAGAACGTAAAGTCATCTGTTGTCAGCGGAAGTTTAGATAAATTAGATACAAGCAATCCAAAAGAAGGAGCTAACCAATTAGCTAAAGTTTTAGACAAAAGGTTCCTACCTAAAGTAATTTCAAAAGAAATAGTAGATAAGCTTGTGAAAGGACTTGAAGATTTATTAGAGAGTCTTTTCCCCAAACCATCGAATTCATTGAGGAAAAAGAGAGCAACCTCGACTAGTCCAACAAAAGATCCAATGACTGCTTCACAAGTTAAGACTTTCATCGACAGTCAAGATATTGAACTTAAACAGAGTTTAACATCGGCTAACAGTAAAGATTTCCAAGAAAATGTGAAGAAATACGTCATCGGTATGTGCAGAGGACCAATTATTGATCAAGACGCAATTGTTGCCGAAGCCGATTTAGCCACGATTAGATTAAAGAAGAGAAACTTTAATGATATTTCAAGTATGTGGTTGGACGCCGCTTGTCAAAATTGTACAAACGACGCTAAAATTAAACTAGATAACGAAACGGAAGACGAACTTAAACAATGGAATTGTTCAGCCGGTACTTGCTTGGGCGCTTGTATTGGTAGTGTTGCTATAACTCGGGATGTTATTAGTATTTCTACAACGGCGCTTGCTCCGTTAAATAGTCCTCTTAAGTCCAACATCATGGCTCTTTTCTTACTCAACTACGAAACTGAAAACTTTGTTGCAGTTTCCAATTCAAAGGTACAAATCAAAGTTCCAGTTGTCGGAACAGTAAATAATTCGTTTTCGTTGGAATGTCGTTTCTGGGAATCAGGCAAATGGAATAATAGTATTTGTTCTAGTGGTAGTGTAATGACACAAAATGGTTCATCTTCAGTTATTTGTACATGTTCCATGTACAATTCTTACGTTGCGTTGTTCGAAGCTCCACTAGAAGAGACAACAACTGATGCAATGACAACTGCCGCGGCAATGATTTCAACTGAAGAAATGACAACCCAAGCTGTTAACCCATCAAAAGCTCAAACAGTAGGCCAAACTAAGAGTGGTCAAACGGATAAGAATAATGTGGATATTACTACTGAAGCAAATCATGAAATTCATATTGATGCTGATAAAGTAAAAGCTCAATTCTCATTGAACGCTGATTACAATACAATAGTTCAAGATAAAGCAGCTTTTGAAACTAGTATGGTAGACCAATTGGCTGTTCAATTATCAATTAATAAGGATAGAATCTCTGGTCTATCGGTTGAAAAGGGCAGTATTATAGTCATTTTCAGCATTCTTAAAGGATCTTCAGGTCCAACATTAGGTCAAGTATTAACAAACCTTCAAACTAAGGTTACAAGTGCTCAACTAGTAATAAAATCGCCAAGTGGAGCAACTTTAGCTGTCATGCAAAATAGTTTTCATTATACACCACCTACGCCAGCACCAACGCCTTCAAAGAAGGACGATGATGATAACAGCAAAACCAAGACAATTATAATAGTCGTTTGCGTTTTAGTTGGTGTTTTATTGATTGTTGGTATAATTGTTGCAGTTTGTTTGGTTCAAAAGAATAACCAACAACAGAAAAAGATACCTTCTTATAACGATCAAGCTTCTCATAGGCCATTAACTGGTAGTAGACCACCTCCTTATCAAACTAATCCAACAGAAACTGGATATACGAATCAAGGCTTTGATACTAAATCCAAATCATTAGTTTCTCTATCAAATCTCAATAGCAAATCTGCTAGTCGCCCTCAAACAGCTGCCGATCCGGATAGACGATCTTTGTACAATGATTCTAGAACGCCAGCTCCTCTATCCGGTTCAACTTATGGTGCGTTAGCTCCATTAGAAAGTGAAATAAGGGAACAGCCATCGTTAGCGCGACCTGGAAGTTCTGCGTCATCAACCAACTCAAGGTGTCCGTCCAGAGTAGGTACACCCGGTTCAGTTAGGCTAAACTCTGGCCTAGGAAGAATCTCACCTGGCCTACCCGGAACGCCAACAACTCCTAGAAGTGGTAAGTTATCGTAGAACTTGTTCAAAATTGATGATTAAACGTTTTTTCTCTCTTATCAACAGCTTCAGGATCAAGACCACAGACAGCCCGTAAGTTGTTCTTTTTTATTGTAGATAATTAGCCACTTAGGAGAGGACTGACTATCCATTTTAAATGAAGTTTACATAGATAAATTACTCCGCATAGATAAAAAAAAGAGAGAGATATTAATTGCTATCTTTAAATATTAACTTTTTTAATTAAACAGGTTCCGTTACTATTACTGGACACGGAGCAAATACTACTGAATATAATTAGGCGACATGGCCCTATATTTTAAATAGAAGAATATTGAATTTATGGGCTAAATTTTAACCTTCTATCGTATTTTAAACGTTGCACAATACAAAAATATAAGGAATTTAACTGAAAAAAATCGTTTATCTTGTTAAAATTCACAAGATAAATTCAAGATTTCTACTTTTTTTTAAAAAAAAAAAAGAGAAGATAAAAAAAAAACTTTTTTCTAATCTTCACTTGAACGTTTTTTTTTTGTTTCTTAAATGTTGCACTTGAACAATACAGATATTCAAGCAATAATATATATTTTTCAGTAATAATTAATTTAGGCCTATGATTATTATTTAAAAACGCTAGATTTATTCTATTTTTCAATATATTCTCCAAGAAATCGTCAGCAAAAATGACGAAAAAAATCAGAATTTTCTACTTCAACGAAAAGTTAAAGTTCCTTCTTTGTTATCTAAAATTATTAATTGGTTCTTTCTAAAAATAGGACTGCATCTTTCCTCTTCTTCGTACATCGACAGTCCAACAATGAAACATTCCAAAAAGTTCCATAGCATGATCAAAAACTACTGGAATCGATTTTATACCATTTTCTTCCAATAACTGTTTTATTAAATGGAATATAAGTTAATTAATCAATTAATTAGTTAATTAATTATTGAAAAAAAGAATATAATACCTTAACCAATTCTTGACTACCAGCTGGAACAATAGCTCTCTTTTCGTCCAACATTAAAATGTTAACATTGATTTGAAGCCATCCAGTTTTGTAGAATCTATTTTGTATAATAAGAAAACAACGAAACAATTAGAAAGGAGTAAGGAATTCAAATGCAATAAGTAATTATTACCTGCTTGATGGATCCCATTTGGGTGGTGGAGCGGAAATAATTTTCCAGCCTGCCTTTTCAAAGAATGGCTGAACTGTAGTACTCTTATCTCCGTGTTTGAGGACAAGACCAGGTTCTGTAATGCACGTAGATTAATAGACGCATTCTATGTAGTACAATTATTAAAAGGACGCTTACTCAGAGGCAAGAATGTTCCGTCAGAGTGCCAAGAGTAAGGATCATCGGTAATAAACCAATGAAGATTAAAATTTGGTTCCAAATGTCTCTTAAGCCATTCGTAACCAGACCAATTGGTAACGTGACTAATTTGAATGAAAGCATCCTTTCCACATCTTATAATATCAGCAGCATCAAAAACAGGTTCAGCTTCGGTTAAAATAAACTTTCCTTTCCTATTAAGATCTTTTCTAAGTTCAATATTTTCCATAGGATAGTTTTCGTCGTAGAGACGATCACTCATAGTGGGTTTTGGTGCAACAGTCCATTTCGCTCCATTCTTAAAGTATTCAATTAATAAATTCTTATATGGTCTAGATTCGAAATATCTTGATCTCCAGCTCATAGTACTTTCAATGATTTCATTACCAAAGATAATAACGCTATCTCTAGGACAAGCTTGGGTAAATCCACTTTCAGTAAAATCTGGAGTTTTATAACCCTCTACTTCTGACCATTGGACAGCCAGATCACCTCTTCTGACTTTTACACCCTCCTGTTCAAGAATATGTACAAGATGAGCAACTTCCTTCTCGGCGCCTATAAATCAATCATTCAGTTGTTGTAATAAGACTTATTTTCACTTCCGTATTTATTGTAACTTACCCTCAATTGTCTCGGCTGGATAAGGCTGATTCTCATGTTCATACATATGCTCGTACCATTCTGGCTGCAAAGTAGCCTTAACTTCTGGTCTCATTTTTGGATACTTTGCTCCATCAGGTCTTCCAACAATAACTTCCTCCAGAGGATCCCATTCGTTAAAACAGTTGACAGGCGACTCTTCAGGTTTCGGAAACGTAAGAGGAACAGCCTCAGTAGTAAGACATCTCAAAGACGACTTATGAAGGTTTAATTTTCCTTTAAGAAGATTTCCAATTCTGGCTGCTGTTAGCATGTTGATTTCTGGAAGAGAAAGAAATTACCTAACATTCAGATAATTTATCACTGGTGTTAAATTTTAATCTGAAAGCTAACACTACTCAAAGGTCAATTTTCAACAATCGAAGAAAGAAAACAATTATCTTGTAAGAGATCTCTTCCACCTATTTTTTTTTTATATTTAAATAAAGATTTAATAGCCAGAAACAAAGAAGATAACAAAGAGTCAAATTTGCCTCTTTAAAAGAAGAAAAATGACCTATAAAATTACATTGAAGAATATTTAAATAAGCTAAAACCAAGGTTGACAACCTAGTTGAAATGACAAATATATCAGTTTGTCTTCCAAAAAAAAATATATATTATATATATATTTGGCCAATTCTTCATTCTTTCACTCTTTTCAATACAGATTATTTAAATAGTCTCATAAAAATTCTTCTATTCTTTTTACTCTTGAAGAACACTAATTACCCTCTCTTGACCTCTCTCTCTCTCTCTCACTCTCATTCTCATTCTCATTCTTACGATTATTCTCTTTAAACTAGAAGAATAGAAAGATGGAGAGAAACAGATTCTGAATATACTTTAGAATCAGTTTAAATTCTCTATATTTCTAAGAATAAACCTAAAAACCTTTCACCATGAATCATTCAAAGTATCAATTTTGACTTAATCGTTAAACATTAAAGTTGATGCTTTTATTTGAAAAAATAATTCGCTTTTCTTTCTTTTAAAGAAGTGAAAAAAGAGAAGAGAAAATGAAAGAATTGAATAAAATTAACAAAGAATTATTTAAAGTTTAACACGTTTTTATAGAAATAGTTTCTTCTTTTATACCTGTTCACTGTTCTAGCCTCAGCTTACAACTGAAAGAATTGTCTCTCTTCCAACTATTAGGAAGACCCAGGTGGCGCTCAAAACATATATCACCCTATACCTAAGAAAATGGACAAAATGTAAAAAATATCGTTTCCTTCAGCTTTCTCTCTCTCTTCGTTTTTTATTTAAAAAGATATTGAAAATTATTCTTGTCTCTCTATTTTCTTTGTTTACCCAAAAGCAAAAGCTATATTACAGAACTATCTTGTTCTTGTTCTTCATATTCTTATTGTTGTTGTTCTTCTTCTTCCTCTTTGTCTTTCATAGTTAAACCAGAAGAACTTGAATTGAAATCTCTTAAGTTTTTAAGGACAATTAAATAAAAGCTAATAGCATTGATAGTAGAGAGATGGTCTGTTTTTTGTATTAGTTTGTTAAAAATAATGTAATATGAATTTTTCATTTAGATATTATATTATGCCATATTATATTATTATAAAAAGAACATTGTCTTTTTTTTCGGTAGAGGGAGCCAATAGTTTTTTTTTTTAACACGCCTAACAATGAACTTTAAGCCATGGTCTATTGTATTCGTCTATGTTGAAAGGCACGTAGAGACCCTTACCCCCTCTTACGTAATTAAGGATCGATTGTATAATTAACCGATAAAGAAACAATAGTACTAAAATTGGCAAACTTTCAATCAAAAGAATAATATATGTATATATATATAGGCTTATTGGTCAAACAGTTAATCGAAATAATCATAGATATATGTCATTTTGTAATAAAAGAAAAGAGGAGACATACATCTAAACAGCAAAGCTATAGGAAACTTTGAAGAGACAGAAAGAAAAATTTCATTAATATTAACAGATATCTGAAAAGTATGCGATAGACAAGGAATTTTTGTAAAAGTAGAACATAAGGAGGACAATTAGCTAGAACAAGTTCACTCCTTCTTGTAAACAGATAATAATAAAAAAAAAGACCAAGCGGATCACGCGATGAAAGTACTGTAAAATTTAATTGATGCTACAAAATATGATGTATAAATATCATAAAGGAAGGTATATTGTATATACTAATATATATATATATTAAGATATTAAGACGGCTCTGACCATACTTTGTGGCGTTTATAGCCTACGTACTTTATACAATCAACCGACATAGCTACTCGCAGATGTAATAGACACATATAATAGTCGATGGAAATAGATACTTTCTTTCGTTTTTTGCCTCAACTAATCTCTTATTGTTAATAGAATGACTACAAAAGACGAATTAATAATTATAATAAATAATAACAATAACATTCTATTTGAGACTAATATAAATGAATGATTGATTAAATATCATCGAAAACGTGTCTTATTCCTACTAGCGATTGCGTAATTTGTGATAATAAAGTTCTAGTCTCAGTTCAGAAACAGACATGAGATGTTAAGATTCAGGTATAAAGATCACCTGATCTCAAATTATCTGAACAGCCTTCACCTTTCTATCTTATCTATAGGGTCGGGAGATAGCTTCAGTTGCGTAGACTAGAGCAAATTTTCTCTAACTTCAATTGAGCTTACGCCTTCAGACATGTCGCAAGTAGGGACGATGACGATTGAGAAGCCTATTACTAGCTACGAAAGCAATTCAGATCTTGATTCAAGGAGAGAATCTGCATCAAAGTTAGTTCAATTCAGAATTGGATTGAATAACTTCTATCAAAATAACACTTCGGCCGTAATAAAATTAATTCTACTAATTTTGCTAATTGGATATTCCGTCTATTTTGGTTTAGCCATAAGACATAGCGTCAGTGGGGCAAAACCGTTAATAGTCATAACGTCCATAGTCGTTTTCTTTCTGATTTACTACGCACTCAAAGCTGTGTTTGGTAAGAAAATCTATAAATCAGTTTTGAAGCCCATGGAACAGGCATTTAGAAGAAATTCGACGTGGATTAAATATATAGTCATACCTCTTGTTGCAATTGGAATTGTATTCTTTTTGGCGTTTAGCGTCGTTAAAGAGGTGCGTCAACTCCAGTCATTGTCCGGAGTAGTTGCATTTGTCTTAATACTCTATACATTTTCAATGTATCCCGATAAAGTCAACTGGAGGCCGGTTATTTGGGGTTTCTTTCTACAGTTTGTTATGGGTGTAATTGTTCTTCGATGGAGACACGGCTATAACGCAGTCAATTGGCTATCAAATCAAATAACGAAATTTATCAACTACTCTAACGAGGGTGCCGCCGCAGTTTTTGGAGATCCATTCCTACTCTTTCATCCCTTCGTTTTCGTTGGTATGCCCATGTTGATTTACGTTGGAGCTGTTATGAGTATCCTCTACTATTACGGTCTAACTCAAAGAGCTGCCGGCCAAGTTGGTTGGGTTATGCAATTGACACTGGGCACAACCGCTGTAGAGACGCTTAGTGTATCCGCAAATATTTTTCTTAATGGAATGGATACAATGCTTATGTTGCGTCCGTATTTGGATAGATTAACAAAATCCGAATTTCATTGCTTTCTCGTTGGAAACCATTCGACAGTTGCCGGTTTCGCTTTTGCAATTTTTGTTCTTATGGGAGCACCACCCCAACATCTTTTATCAGCGGCAGTAATGTCGGCACCGGCTGCAATCGCAATTTCGAAACTCAGCTATCCCGAAACTGAAGAGAGTACTACAAAAACGCAAAAAGACGTTCAAGTTGAAAAGAGTTCAGAGACTAATGTAATGGAAGCTGCAGCCAACGGAGCTGGTATTGCGGGAAAGACAGTCATGGCTGTTGTAGTAAATATGTTAGCTTTTATCTCAATGCTGGGTTTTATAAACTCAACTTTAGCCTGGCTGGGAAATAGGGTTGGAATTGTTCAGTTAAGCTTTCAAAAGATCTGCTCCTATCTACTGTATCCTGTTAGTATATTGATGGGTATAGAACCTGGTGACGCTAAGGAAGTCGGTTCTTTGTTAGGCTTTAAAGTATTTACTTCAGAGCTATTAGCCTATCAAGAATTAGGAGATTCAATTTCCGCTAATAGACTTTCTAGGAGATCCGCAGCTATTGCAACTTACGCCCTCTGTGGTTTTAGTGGCTTATCAAACTTGGCTATTGCTGTGGGTGTTTGGAATGCTGTCTGCCCTTCGAAAACTAGAGAAATGGCGAAGCAAATGATTAGAGCTGTAGTAAATGCAAACGTCGCCTGTTTTATGACCGCATGCGTCGCTGGTCTCTTGTACAATCCAGATTTTAGTGCACCAGCCCAGGGAGACAACGCCATCGGTTCACTTTTAAACTCAATTCTCGGTCTTATACCATCTTTTAAAGATTTAACAAGCCTACTTGATTAACGAACAAATAGAAAAAAGAAATGTAGATAGGGAAAAAGAAAAAAAAAGAGAGAGAGAGAGAGAGGGGGGAGGGAGGGAGGGAGGGAGGGAGGGAGGGAGGGAGGGAGGGAGGGAGGGAGGTAGGCAAAAAGGTAAACTTATTAATTTTTAAGCAAAGCTTGAACATTTTGAACATTTTATTTTTTGCTGCAGTTGTTCTTTATTATGTTTATTATTGTTTTTAATGTTGATAAAAAACACAAGTGTCATATACAATTTATTATTTAAGTCTATAAATAACAATATTTTTTATTGTTTTTATTAAAAAGAAAGGAAAAAAACAAATCTTTCACTGATGATAATTGTTTCTTGTAATTCTCTTCTTCTTCTTTTTTTTAATAGAATGTATGAGAAACATGGAATTTGTGCCAAAATAGAATAAGATGTTTGTTTTCTATGTGTTAATTTATTTTTTAGCTTATTAATAATCTATTCATTTTATATAAGAAATATATATATAAAAAATCTTTTATTCAATACATTAAAATCACCTAGAATGATTTATATATAATCCATTCATACTATACAATTACTATTAAAGATTGCGGATCTAGCAAATGGTAAATTTTACCTTGCCGGCTATCATAGATAGCAAAGGTTAATTATTTTTTTTCTAAAGAGTAGGCGCGACCTAAATTGTTAAAGATATCTTATATGAAATGAACAATTTAACTGATAACAATTACCGTTTTATCTTTACGGTTGGGATATTATTTTTTGTTTTTTTGCACACCAACATTATACATATCCATACTGAATGATAATGCGTTCAAGTTATTCCCGTTATGTTTTTACTATTATATCTAATGCATTTACTTGACTCTCTTCTTGAAAATTTGTTAATCTTATAGTGTAAAAATTCGGTGAAAAACAATAGATAAGAATATTCAAGAGAAAATCAACTAGCTATTCAACTATGAACTCTTTTAGCTAGTGAAGTAATCTTTTGTTAATGATAAATTCTATTAAAGATTAATATGTCGTGTTGACCTAATATCCGGTTGTACTAATTACTTTCCATACTTTTAAAGAAGGTTATCTTTTAATACGTCTTTAATGAAATAATTGAATAAATCTAAAAGTAAAAGTATTAAACGATAGAATGGAAAAGAAACAGACAGTTGTAGTTGTTTAATTAATAGTTTTCTTATAAACTTATTAAAGTTACTCGGTTCTATTTTTCATTTCTATTAAAAATTATCTAGTACCGTTTTTACACGGCGACTTAACATAAATCTTATTTTTTGCTTTATCAGTGATAAGATTTGGAAAAACTAATTTCATTGCTAACAATGACTAGCGATAATTTATTTTATTATATGATACTTTTTAATTTACTGGATTATTTAATATAGGCCTAATCTTTGGAAAGATGTACAATTTACAATAAAGTATCACTAGAATAAAGGAAGTATTCTAGTTTATCTTGTTTGTAAGAGTGTTTTTAGAGTATTACTTTCGAAGAACTATCAATACATTTTCACTTTTACTCTTATTCATATATAAATTGAAAGAGAAGTATTATGATATGTTTTCATTCTAAAACTTGTAGGATTTAGTTTACTAAAATCCATACTAATATGAATTCTCTGTTTTAGAACAGTATGTACGTTTATGTATTTATTCCTTCGTCAATATATTTTTGTATGAATGGACTCTGGACAATAAATAAGAATTCTTGTTAAAAAGTATAAATAATTCAAATATCGAACTGAGGGAATAAATTAATGATTTCACTGACTGAAACGTTAAAAAGTATAAACCATAACTGATGAGCAATATAAAAATCCTTTTGAATGTTCTACTATTCAGCCTGCTAGTGTTAATAGCATTCAATACCTTTTCATGATAGGCATTCATCAACGTTTAAGTCAATCTGATCGTTTTATATAGGAAATTGTTGCATACACTTCAAGTAAACAAATTTCTTACTAATCTACTCTTTTTTACAGGAATTAGCGGTTATTGCTGAAGTCTGCAGAGCAGAGATGATAGAGTTATGGGTAAGCCACTTTTTGGATATTGCCCAATCTCCCTTAAGGCAGAACACCAAGAGATTCACTCACACTCTAACCTTTAGGCTAAGGTTTTAGTGTGGCTATTGGGAACTATTATCTAGAAAAGCTGTTCCTAGCCAACTGTACCTAATTCAAATTCTCAAAAAGAGTAGGAAGAATTCAAATTGCAGTTGATCACTTTACACACAATTAGGGGTTGAAGGGTTAGCTTTAGGAAGAATACCAATGATTTTTAAAACGCTATAGCAATTTTCATAATTTTCATAATAAATTCAAAAAAGTCATCTTCTACCTCCTTTGCTGTAAGTTTTCTCTCTTATCAAGAGTCTTTGTCGCTTTTTAAAACAAATTTTTGTAATAGAGAAGATAAGATAATAATGCTTTAACAATTCACGCATACTTAACACTGAATACATTTTTATGTGTGAATGTTTGGGGTTAAGATTATATAAGATATAACTATCGAACTAGGCTAAATTTTGGTAACAAAACAAGTAATTTAACAATAGGCTATAGTTTGTATAATCTTTTCGCCAATCCGAAATTGTTTGATCTTCTTAACGATACTTTTACCGACTCCTTCTTCAAACTCAAATAAACGGAGAGTGTTCAGAAGCTATGTCTATCTATCTATTACAGATAGATCTATTAATAAGAGGCCTAAGAGAAACAACATTAAAAAAGAGACAAAAATGATTTTCTTATCATTAAAGATGTATTTATAAAGTTCATGAGGAAAATTGCCCTTTTTTAATACAACTGTTCGTAAGAATTCGCCTGGTAGTGGTTCAATTTGCTCTTTATGCTTTTGTCGAAACACAAATCATGATCATGCATTCACCGCTAGGCTTCCTTTCTATTGTACCAGTTGCCCGATATTAATAAGAGAGGGGAGAAGACTTCTATTATTTCTCTAAGAGTAATTATACATTCCGAGTAGGTAAAACTTGCCTCTTAAGCTCATTTCCTATTTGAATGGCAAATAGTAATAGCAAAATCTTAATATATCAATATAATAGAACCATATTACAGGCAGTTGAACGCCGTAACCCCCAGATATATTTAAATGCTAACAAACAAATATCATTTTATAGTTAAAGCGAGTTTCTTTAACTTATTATTAATAAGAACGAAAAAAACGCAAAATATAAATAAATAAACAAACAACAAACAAATAAACAAACAAACAAACAAACAAACAGAATTTGAGTTTAGTTACATATCATCGCAAATATTTTTCTATTTATATACGTGTGTATTTATAAATAGACATTAGGCCTATTTCCAAAGCTCTAACCTCTAGATCGTCACTCTCTTTCCTTTCTACTCTAACTTGAATAACTAATTAATAACGGAAGAAAAGAAAGTACTTTAATATTTAAATATATTTGAAAGAATTGATGTTGTTGTTCTTTTCTTCCTTCTCTCTTCTCTTCTTCTTCTTCTTCTTCTTTAGAGAATTTCTGTGTCATTCTATAATTCCTCTATCAACTCATATATAAGTTTATTATGAATAATTCCTAATAGGTTATAACAGATAAGCTTTCCACAGTATTATATAATTTCTATTGTGGATAATACATGGCCTACGTGCACAAGGGTAATATAAATACGCTCAACCATTCGAGATTTCTAAATCTATTGTTTACAGAATGTAACTTTGAACGTGCGTTTCATCTATTCTTCTCACCCTTTAACTTATACAGACTACGAAATAAAGTTAGGCTGAATTTTTTGAAGGTCGTTAGTAGGTTGCGTTCTGTTCAGAGAGGCGTACGTTATTCTGACCTTCGCCAGCGTACTCACATCTACGTTCTCTATACTCTGTTTCATTTTAGATATAAAGTGGTATTACGTCTAATATGGGAGGAATTGTAAGTTACCTATTTAGTTTTTGGAACCAAGAAGATACATTGGACGAATCAACGGGACTGCGTCTTTCGCAAAAGCGTCATATTGTTTCTAGTTGGTCAATAATTGAAAAAGATCTAAAAGGAAATGGTGTAGAACTATTTATAACGTAAGTATAAGAGAGAAGATTTCTAGTAAGCGAATGTCTCAAAATGTAGATCGTGTATAGTCGATTGATATGGGAAAGTATCCTATACATAAAACTATACACCTTAATATCTGTATCTATATTTGTATATTGCGCTTATAACTTTCCTCGTTCTAGATAAAAGTTTTCGTTTCAGCTTATTCACAATGTATCCAGAAACTCAGAATATGTTTAAACGGCTCAAGAACAAATCTGTAGAAGAGTTAAGGAAGAGTGCTGCATTAAGGGCTCATGGTCTTGATTTTAATCGAATGCTTTCAGCGTTTGTCGAGAACCTAGACGATGTTGAATGCTTGGTTAACCTAATACAAAAAGTTGTTCTTTCTCATCTACCAAGAAAAATTGGTCCAGACGAATATTTAGTAAGTAAAAATCAATGAAATATATCAACATTTCAATTACTTAGTTACGTACTATTCAAAGTATTTTTGTGTTTTAAGCGAAGAATTAGGTCTATGTAATAATATTGAATAGTTAAAATATTTAGCGCTAGGAGAGGAAAGTATAAAATAGAAGTAAACAAGTATAAAACTATAACAATAGACGTGGATAGTTTGGTTTGGTATTTTTTTGCATAAAGTAATAACGAAATATTTTGTATTTAATAGGTTGTTGCGAAAGTTTTTCACGCCTTTATGAAAATGAAAATTGGCTCTCTCTACACCCCAGCTGTACAAGAATCTTGGGATATTGTATTCGGAGTTATTCATAAGATATCCGTTGACGAGTTGAAGAAATATAATAAGGATCAATAGATTACGAAGAGATTAAAGAATATTGCTTAAGAGACCAACTAGAGTGAAATGAATGATGTTTTTAACAAGCTTGCCCTGTGACTCTTTTTATTTTCCGTTTTATTTCAAAAATGTTAACTTAGTAATTAACTAATTAATTACACTCCTAGCCAATTGAACTAGTAGTTTACGTACACATGCACACATACACACTAATAGTACACTAATATATATTAATAACTTTGTTTAATGTCAATGTTTTTGTACTTTATATATTGTTATTTATATATATAACATCAATGCTAATTCATAGGTGTTTTTTTATAGAGTAGATTTATTAAATACAATTTTAAATAAACTCTCTTTTCGCTTCTTATATCTCCATTAAATAGTATTTTCTCTTATTTTAATTCTTTATACTAAATAATACCAATACATTGATTTCTTTGTTTTACGATAGTAGAGAGAAACATTTATAGCCAGCTGTTGGTTTTCATCTAAAGAGGTCTATAGGCCTATTTCTATTCCTTTAAGCAAATTTTGGATTCAGTTTGCTTTTTAATTGAATGTTTAATAATCTTAAAAAATAACAGAAAAATAGTGCGCCAAAAATATCAATATAACCTTAAATAACTAGTTTATCTTTGTTTTATTTGTTAAATTTTTACATTTTGTATAATATCCTATCCTGTCACCTTTGTTGGCAATAATCTGCCAAACTCTATCTCCCACTCTTTCGTACAAATGTTTTACCCTCAACATTGGAAAAATTGTCCCATGAATGAATTCAAAGTAAATTTCTTCAGTGATGTTACAGGGAAGTCTTTGGATGAAAACTTTACCATCTGAGGGTATACACCCCCACACAGTCACTCCTCCTCCACCAACAGGGAGCTTATCCCTAGAGAGTCTTGGCCTATCATCAAGTTGCCAAGTTATTAGGTGGTCTGGGCCATTCTAGGTCAAACCGAGACTCATCAGTAAAGATCACTTTATTGAAATTAACCTGTTGATTGATCCATCCGCCTACTAAAGCCATTTGAGTATTTTTAGCTCTTGTTGATAATAGGCATATTTTTGGGACAGCTAGATAGCTTGCTCCTTGTTGGTTTAGAATCCTTTGGATAGCTCTCTTTGAGATCTCCAGCCCTAAATTCTGCTTGATTTTTCAGACAAAAAACATGTTTATATGGATATTTATGGCGCACTTTAAAATATATAAGATAATTGCGAAAAAATACTATGTATTCTATGCCTGATAGATGGCGTTTGATGTAAAGCACGTTCTTGCTCCATATTACAGATAATGATAAATCATAATCGATATCTTTTAGTATAGTTCAACTATCATTAAAAAAAGATTCATCAAAATTTCTTATAGTCAAAGAATATAGTTAGAAAACAGTAATTGATGAAAAGTTATCATGTGACCAACTTTTATAGGGCTATAATTAATATTTATAATATACTGTATATACTATATATATATATAATTAATGAAACTATTAAAAGTAAGTAAAAGATTTAGATATAGAAAAGGTGAACGTTCTAAAAATGAATGGAAAATTTGTTTTGAATATTCAAGTCGTAAAATCTTTTTACATTGTCATTATTATTATCATTTATTTATCAAACATCATCTAACCATTTATTTGCATATTCGAATAGAATGCATGAATACATGAATGCATGAATGAATGAATAAATAATATTGTTTATACCATTAATTGTTTGTTCAAAATAATATAAATAACGTAACGACCATAGATAATTCCTCTCTCTCTCTCTCTCTCTCTCTCTCTCTGTCTAATTCAATTCAAAACGTTTCGTTTTCGCTTATTTCCTTAAGTTTAGTCTGTGTTTTAAAACAAGCGTAGTAATCTTTATCGCAAGTTGACAAACAATCGTTATAATCATTTCCTAAATCATTCAAACTTTCAAAACTCTTGTCATCGTACATTTGTTGATAATTCGCCGAGCATAACATGGAACAATACTAATAGGGGGATAGACAGAATAATGGTAATAATACAACTAATTAAGAAATTAAATGTTACCTCTATTTCTCTTTTACAAATTGCCCATATTAGATTATTTCTTTGAGACGTATCGGGTAATTTTAATAGAAATATTAAAATAATCTATATTATTATAAAGATAAGAAAGAGTTAAAAAAGGATAAAGATTGCAAAAACTTACAAAAAGTTGAAATTTTCCGTTCATCGTCAACAGATATTTAGTAGTGAAATGAATAGAAAAAATGGTAGAATATTCATTTTATATAAAATAAACGAAAGGGAAAAATTACAATTTGGGAAGTTAGCAATTTAGATAACAATTTTCTATAAATGACTTATCAGTATTTAACTTACAAACTACATTTAACAACCTTTTAAACTGTCAATTTTTAAGCTCTTTTTCATGTTTTGTGTTATGTTTATAAAGTATCTCCCTTTTGAATGATTACTTTTAAAGTTGTTATTAAAAATTATAAAGAAATTATACAAACCAAAACTGCTGACAAACTACTACAAACTACTTTAATTAATAGATTAAAAGGATTGTTACACTTAAGATATTCAAGTATTGAATTAAAGATAAAGAAAACTTTGCATTAAATTTCACATTTCTTAGATAATATTTCATTTGAACTTGGTATATTATTATTATTTTCAATATACAGTATAACGATAACATTGAGAGATTATGAATAAATATTTTGTTAGATCATTTTTTTATTATTATTAATTATTATACTATTTATTTTAACATTATCTTAATAAATAGTTGATCTAATTTCTAGCCTCTCATTGTCCTACATGAACTATGCGAGATTTATAGAATGAACTTATTTTTTGAACAGTTGTACTAACTCTACTAGTACGAGTTTAGTATCTTTCGTACAGAATTCAGACTATAAGAGTATCTATATATACTGTATATATTATGTCTTACTTTTCACTTTGATTGATTGATTTTTAATTATTGTTTACAGGCAGGAAACCTTCATTTTCAGAATGAAGAATGGAAATACTTAGATAAATCGTATTGTCACAATGAACTATGTATTATTCACAGTTTTTCTTCTAGTAAGTTTTCATCTCCATCTCTCAATCTTTAGCTAAAAACATTCAAGTCAACACCTAACTATAATATTAACTATAGACTATATTAACATAAAACATGTCAGAAAATAGAAACGTAATAGTTTGTTTATAGTCAAATCTGTTTGTGTGTTTGTTTGTATTGTTTTCTTCGGTTGTTTTAAAGGGAAGGTACTACTTTAAAAAAGTCGGTTAAAGCTTGTTCGGAGTTAGGACTATCATGATATTTCTATGATGTTCGTTTAGTGAGATTCAATCTATATTGGAAAGAAAAGTGAAATGTACAGTCTTTTTGTCTATTTGAATACAAACGATATAAACCTTCTTCGCTTGAATGCTCATTTTCTGAAGAGCTTGTTTCAAGAGTTATATCTATAGAAAAACTATTATAATTACTATTTGAAATATTTTACAAAGATTCACCAATTTCATCATCCGATTCCAGAAGAGTGGCGTCTAATAAAAAAGAAAAAGAAAAAATCTTGCAAAGAGACGCTTTATAAATATTAATTAATAAATTCAATAAACAAACCGTTTTTGAGATAATTTCCTCTCTGTTCTATAAATGAAAGAAAATGTTTTAATTAACCAATTACGTAACTAATAAGAAAGTTTTAAAAAATGTAGGAATAGGAAATTTAATATACTTTGTTATGGAAGAGAAGATAATTATAATTTATACAAGATATTATTAATCAATCAATATTCTACATTTGTCATTGACCTAAATTAAACTTGTATTTTGTTCTTAAAGTACACGAGAACTATTCTTAATTGTAGATAAATGCTTACTCTGCATACCTTATACTGTATATATACATATATATATATATATATATATATATATATATATATACTGTATATACTGTATAGTCTATGTCGTTGTTATCTTTATATTTTTCTGTAATATCTTTATGTACTTTAAAATATTCGTAATCTTTTTGTTACTTTACATCAAAATAATTTTATCAGCTCTGAGTGCGCAACAAAAAGTATAAGTTGAAATATTACTAAAGTATTACTTCACTTCTTCCCTCTCTCTCTCTCTCTCTTCCTCCTCCTCCCTTCCGTTGTTAATAATTTAATTAAATAAAGAAATGATTAATATACCTTGTAGTATATTATTTACTGTCTTCTTTGGAGATGATGCTATTTAAAAATTGAAAAGAAATTTGTTAGTATTCTATATTATATATATATAGATATATACCGTAATATCTATAATTTGCCTTTATAAAGTTTAATTGAGCGAAAAAGCTTAATCTTTTTTCGCTATTCAATCTTTCCTGTTGCAATCTTCTATTATATTTCATAAAGAAGCACACAACGAGACTTGTGAAACACGGTATAAATATGATTAGTAGTATTACTTCAAGCTTAGTTATTCTTTTTGTCTTTCTTGAGATTGTGTTACAGAGAATTCCTTGTCTAAAACAAGCGTATTCTTCATCTGTAATAATTTTAATTGGTCGTACAGGTAATATTAACACTGATATATTGCAGTACAGAAGATGTTATTCTACTTACCTTGTAACGATAATGATGGAATGAATCTGGATCTTATACATCTTCTATTCATTTTATCGTATACGTAATTCTTGCTTGTACAACCGCATATAGTATCCTTTGTTTCGTTACCCTCTCTACATATACATTCCATAAATTCCGAGCATATTTCTCTATGATTAAAGGAACAAGCTGTTTTGCAGTCGATAAAAGTTTAAAAGACAAACCTAAATTTGCATCTCTTTATTTTCCATGATAATGGATTTAGGTCGTAAGTAGTTCTTTGCCGAAATGTTTCGACGTCTGAATACGTCTGTATTGAACACTTTTGACATTCACCACCAATATTTGTTTGATTACAGGGCGTAGGTTCGAATCCTTTTGAACAAATCGTCTCTGCACAAGCATACGTTTTACCACTATAATGTAAATATGGAAACGTTTTTGGATGAGTATTCGATAGATAAGAAGGTATTAGAATGTTCAATAAAATCCAGTATACATATTTAATCATTCTTAATATCTTGAATCCCGTCAAAAAAATTAATAATAGAGTAAAGAGCTAATACTTATTTTGTTTAAATGAATATTCAAAGCATTTCAATACGATTTTCCCTAATTTGGAAAAAGAGCTAATCCCTTTATACTATCTATAATCTGTATGCATATTCTTATAATTTCTTTACATTCCAAGTATCCAAATAATAAACATATATACAGTATATATATATGTATTTAATCACGGATAAGCAGTAAAGAAAACAGTATACAGAACGTATGAAAAATCACATCCCTCGAAGCAACAGCAACACAGTATTCTACATAACATATACATTGTTTGTTATTACTATTTCAACACACTAAATGACTTTAGCTATATAGGCTAAACTTTAAAAATATTATATTAATATCTATCGATCTTTTTCGATTATATTCTGTATTTTAGCTTTACCTATATTTGTTTTTTTTGGCAAAAAAATCTAACCAAAACATTCTTTCTTAGATCTTTCTCTTTTCTAAAAACTAACTAAAAATAGTCTACTTATTCCTTAATTCATATAAAACAATATCTTTAGTAACTCTGTTTATCTTATATGTTCAAGGTTTTACTTATTTTTACTCTCTACTTATAGATTTGGTGTGAAATTTTGCAACTGCTAAACAACCATTACATTCTTTATATATTCTTCTTTATTCAATTATCTCTAACGTTTAATAGGAAGATTAAATTGAAATGGGAACCTTTTCAGTTTAGATTCAAATTATTATTATTACTATTAGATTAGATAAATGAAAAAACAAATAATATTATAAAATGTATTGTTATCTCTCTTTTCGATATAGAAATATCATTAAAACCAGGAAGAACTATAGTTAAAAATTGAATGTTTTTGGACTGAGATCAGATTTTATTGAATACGCTTATCCAAGCAATATATACTGTATTGTAAAATAATAGGCAAATAAACAAAAAATAAATAAACAAACGAATAGATTACAAGAACAAATTGTCATCAGTTGAATCAGTTTTCATTCAATAAAGTCTTAGATTCTACTTCTCTTAAACGTTATTATGTTGTATTCCTCCTATAAATTTTTCTATAAGATATAAGAAACAATTTGTTTATAATTTATGCATAAATCAATTAATTTACATAAATTAATTACCTTTCTGTTCGTATTCTTTGTCGGTATTATTTAAAATTTTAAATTGATACTCCTTAATCATATCGTATAACTGAAAAGATAGAATATTGCTATTATATTCATTTAGTGAATTAATTGAATCTTACTTCTTTTCTTTGAATGAAGAAAAACACTACAAATATTAAACATAAGACGCATAAGACACCTGTTGTAACGCTCAAAATATTTATCCAAGCTGAATGGTGATGCTTCCTCATTTCTTTGCATAATTGTCCCGAATCGAAGCACAATTTACCTGTTCATTTTTAAATTGAATTAACTTATTAATTCATTCATTCATTTCGTTTCTATAAGTATTTTATCAATAAAATAATAATACCATTTCTATTAAATTTAATCCTTCTGAACTGCTGCTTTCCATATCTTCTATTGCAACTACTCGATGTTAAATTATATTGATAGTCTTCTAATTCACAGCCACATTTGTTATCTCTTGTTCTACTTCCATACTCGCATATGCATTCTAGTTCGTCATTGCAGCGCTCCCTAAAGCAATATAGTATAATTATACACTGCAAAGTATATACAGTATATAAAATATCATTAAAAAAGTGCTTACTTCTCCATGCAAGTGCGAATATCCCATAAACGTGGATTGGAATTATCAATATAATTGCGTCGTTTTCTATATGTTTGCACATGTGAAAATGTATTTTCTTCGCACTTTCGACATCCATCTCCATAGCTAGTCTTATTACAAGCAATAGGTTCATAACCAATTTTACATGCAATTTCAACGCATAGAAACACTGAAGTACCATTAACATCTTCTCTCGGATAGAGACTTTTCCCGTCAGTAGTCTTCAATAGATTTAGAGATAAAATTATTAAGAATTTAATTACGATTCTATTAGACATCTCGTCTTCGACGGTTGCTACGAATATCTAAACATGGACTTTAACAAAATTTCGCTTTATATTCTACATATACTTTCGTTTTGTTCCTATTGTTATATTTCTAATGAATATTCATTTCCTTTTATTACGTAATTAAAACTCGATATTAATTAGCTTCTTATTATAATATTTGTGTAGAAAAATATGTTTTCAATTCTGAAATTCAAGTAGCATTTGTACTATTTTCTTAAAAATATCATTATTTTAAATTCATGCATATTATGAATTTATGAATATTCTATAAATTTGTTTAAATAGTTAATGCTTTTGAATTGAATCAGTACTATTTTACTGAGAGAAGCATTTATTGAAGGGATTCATTGGAATTTTCCATACCGTCTGTAGTCAAATTATGGATAACTATGGTTAAGTAATCCGTTAAAAAGCTAATCAATAATATGTTCTTTATTCCAAAATTGAAGTGAGAATTCCCTTTAGTCCTAATACAAAAGCATAAAAATATTGTTTTCAGAAAATTGACTTCCTTCGTAAAAAATTCGAAAATATATTGAAATCTATAAAGATCAACTATCAGATAAAAAATTTTAAACTACGTCCGTTTTAATAATTCTATTCTATTTGGTCTATTAGGTCTTTTTCTTTTTCTTTGAAATTACTTGCAATTGAGAGGGGAATTAGGAATTAAACGTTTAAAAGTGTAATTGTAGAACGATGGTTCCGTATTTAATAACAGCTAACCAAGAAGTAGAATTAATCAGTCTTCCCAGGTAATATTAATTCAATATTTGATCAATTGAAGACCATTAACGTAAACACTTTTTGAATTTCGAGAAATCGGTTATATATTCTAATGGAAAGGAAATATTCTGGAAAATGAAAATAGAAAAATAGATTATACTTTTTAAAAACCCTACAAAGCGTTTTTCAATTTGTCGCAAGTATAATTAGGTTGAAAGAACGTTGGTCTAGCTTTTACAAATATTAGCGTCCTTCATCATAACGATAATTGAATGGAAAACAACATCATTTCAATTTATCCACAAAAGTGAATATGTTTTATTTCTGAATCATTCAATTTCGAAAATAAAAGAATTAACATTAAGAAGAAATATATTAAAAATAAAACAAACAATTTATTATGAACAATAAGCTAATCTAATGATTGTACCTGCACATCCTACAATGATTATCAACGGGGTATAGTTAAAAGGGATATTAGTATCAATTTATGAAGAATTAATAATATTTCTCTTTGGAATTAAAAACAATTTCAAAAAGATATCATTTAACATTGAAAGAATAGTAATAAAGATAAAATCACCCTTATACTATCCCATAATCGTATTAAAAAAAGGAAGAGGAACGAATATAAATAAAGAATCCTGTTGAGAGAATATGATAAGTTACAGATAAGAAATGAAAACAAAACTATGTCATTAAACAATTGATATACAGTATATGTGAAAATCTGCTACATTAGCTAGTATAACACTATATAAAGTTCAATACGCAAAGTTAAGTACTAATTATTGATTAATACCTGGACGCGTGAATATAATAAACATAAGTTTGATACTATTTCTCTTTTGTTAGATTTAATATTTTGTATTAAAATCTCCATTCGGTTATTGATTTATCGATTTGTTTATTGATTATGACAATATCTCTAATACTGTAGATAAAAAAACAATAATCAAGTAGTGATATGTTAAGGACTGTCCTTCTATCCTTCTAAATGCCTGACACGAATACTAGGTTTCAATTATCAAAACATATTAAAACGAGAAATAAGCAACAATTACAGATTTATCATTTTATCATTTTATGATAGGGTTTATTAGTGTAGTAAAAACATTAAAAAACATATGCTCTAGATTGTTAGTAAAACAATGTTCATTTATAAGGATGAAGTCATGTATTCCTATCTTTTATCTCTTTATGATCATTGTAGAATAACGAATATCTTTATTTGCATTGTAACATTCAAGATGGCAAAATGATAATCACGTCAGCTCTCAGATTTAACCTCTTGTCGGTATAACAACACCGTGTTCTTCATCGTCTAGAGGCTGTTGTTGATTATTAGCTCTATTACCATCATTAATATTTGAACGATCATTTCGCCGTGGAATACATTGACTTATCCTACTTTTGTACCAAGAGAAGCATCCTATTAAATAACAAGACTTTATATGAATTAAACTATTTTCATTCTATTTAAAAAGCTACATACCATCGTCTCTTCTGTTGTTATCTCTTCTTTTTACCCGATAATAACCATAAAGTCCAAGTACTATCAGTATAATAAAAACCGCAATAGATGTGCAAACTGCCACAATAACTATTAAACTTTTTTTACTGTCTTTACTATTCTCATCATTGTGATAACATTCTTCACTCTCTTCGTTAAATTTATGATTTGCTTTGGTACATTTACATTTTGTATTTTCTGTTGCATTTCCATATTGTAAGACTTCTATATCATCTCCAGTACAAGAACGCCTGAATAAGAAACGTTACCTTTTAAATTATAATCTTCAAACCATGGTTATTTCCTTAATATTATAAGCTTACATTGTTTGACAAGTTTTCATTTCGCAATTTCCAAATACATCTTCTCTTCTCTTTCTAAATGTTTCAGTATCAGCGAAAGTGCCAGTTGGACAAGCTTGACAGTCGTTGCCTGTATTTGTCGCCGTGCAAGCTATGGGTTCTTTTCCTTTGGGGCATTTAATTTCGGCACATCTCATTAGGACATTGTTTCCAAATTTGCAAAACAGATCACCTCTTCCATTAACAGACTTAAATGACAAGAATAACACATTGAGAAGAAAAGTTATAAAATAAAAAAGAATTGTCATCTTTTGCTTGTTTAAAAAAATTCCTTGGTTACCGCCATTAATAATATTGAAATCGAGCAATATTATTATCTTAAAAAAGATTATTTTCAGCTGATCTCGAGGATTGAATATACTATTACGGTTGGATGTGATATATATATATATATATATATAACTTTATGCTTATTAAGTATTAAATCTCGTTGTTAAGTAATCACGTGTATGCACACGTGATTATATTTGTACTGATTATTAGTCAAACAGAATACAGCAACCGTTTCATACTGCTACAAACAGTAAAATATATTGTTTCGTAATCGTAGAATAACCGATCTTCAACAGTATCAAACGTAGCCTAAAAGTAGTCAAAAAAAAGGGAATACGCAATAATTCAGTGAGAGAATTTTTCGTTTTTTTTGGAACATTCGAAATACAAAACATTCTTTTTTTCAATTAGATAACTCCACCTTACCTCTTGGAATAAGTTTAAGTTCTATTAAGTGAATTTAAGAAATTAATGAAATGATGAAACCCCAAAGAAGGCATACTATGAAAAGGAAGAGTGGAGAACTGGCAGGAAAAGGGATTCTCCGCTCTCTTAGAATGTCGTTAGGGCATATTGAAATAGTTTGGACAGAGGTAGAGTGACGCAAGAGATACTTAAAAGGCTTGATAACGCATGGGATAAGATAGAAGAACTTCCAAGGACCAAAGAAGTTTTCACTGGTGTTAGACCTTCAAAGGAGAGCCAGAACATTATCCCTACAAAATAAAGGAAAAACCTGCATGACCAAGATACCTCCCAACAACTCCAGTGATACGGCAAGGATAACAGACCAGAGAGAACATCAAGGAAGGCCATGGGGGGAGAACATGCTGGAAACAAGAGAACCAATATATACTCGACATTCCAATAGTGGGCCAATGGATTCCTTCGACATCCCATTGCAAGGAGGCATTGAAAAGGGTACTAACACTTTATCAATGGGCCTATAAATCAATTGTATTCAAAATACGAGATTTTCTTAAAACAAATGGATTTCGTCAAGAACGAACTACAGGTAGTTTTCAACAAATAATTAGACGACGTGAAAGGACTGATGAAATGTGATCAGAACTGCCAGATGGCTAAGGAAAATAAGGAATGGTTAGAAAGAATGGCTTTATGGGTGGATGAAATCTCATACAGAATAAGTTCTACAGCTACAGTGGGCATAGTGGACATATCGCCTCCAGGAGAGTTGTCTGAATATATCTATGATGAACATAATATGCCGCTACTGCAATTTGTGTTGAGAACTCAAACAGTTTTAGAAACATACCCTAATGCAACCGATAGGGTTAAGTGTCATTACTTATTATAGGTCACAAAGGGACTACAACACAAGTATGTTCTGATGTATGAGTATGCAAAAAATCCCTTTCAGGATGTATGGAAGTTGTGGAAGAGTGGAATTGGAAAGGATGGGCCAACCATTAATGATACTATAGAAAAGGTAAAAATTGGGTTTGGTCAGAGTAGGGAGGAAGGAATGATGGTGTCATTGGCCATCTTACAGAGAGAGATATCTAATGGTAGAACAACCAGAGGACAGAGCTACTTTGGAAGAGGTATCCTCTCTTTGTTCAGCTATTTTATCTCTGCTACCTAAAGGGCTATGCAGCAGATTCCTCGAAAAGTTCAGCTTGGAAGTAAATGAGGCCTTTCACTCAGCACCCCTTCGAGAGGAACTACTGAAATTCATAAATTCAATATGTAAAAATGAAGAGGCGATGACAATGTACAAGAAAGATGATGCTAAGAATAAGAAATTCAAACCAGCGTCAGTCACAACCCACAAGAAGAGTAATTGTCCAGCTGACAAATGCCAACCTGACATCAGAAACTGTGAATTTTTTAGGGACTGTTCTTATGGCAGCAAAAAAGGGATCCTATGAGAGAACAAACTCTGCTTTAAATGTATTGGAACAGGACATCTGGTTACGGCCTGTCAGTCTGGTGTCAGATGCAACAAGTGCAAAGGGAATCATAACACCTTACTGCATGCCTCAAAAGAGGCTACATCAGGGTCTGGGACCAGTTATAGCACACCCAGAGTTAAACCCAAATATAAGAAGGTCAGTGGAGTGACTGCTACAAACTCCTTAGCCATCACACAGTTACCCTTAGTGGTTTTTGAGACTAAAAATAAAAAGGTATCCACACTGATGGATGCAGGTTCGCAGATCTCAATGATAACAAGGAATGTGCCACCAGACTCAAACTAAACAAAATTGGACAAGTACATCTGCAGTTGTGTACACTCCTTGGAGGGGAAAGTCTGTAACAGACGTAGTAGTAATTCCTCTACCACACAAACTAGGTGTCAGAGAGGCAGTTGTTAGAGAAAAGCTCATAGAGGTCCATCAAGAAGGAGAAACCGTAGAGATACACTGAGCACCTTGAATGGTAAATTCCAGTTAACAAAAAGCTATTTGAATAATGTTTTATAAGAGAGAGACTAAAAGAGCCAGACCCGGAATTTAAAATTCCAAGCCAGATTCTCAGTGTTACATACAAAGAAAGACTGACGAAGTCCTTGTAAACCTACTACCCCTACAAAAGGAAATAGCCTTTACAAGAGAACTCGCTAGTATAATAGCTATAGTCTATGACCCATTAGGCCTTGTGGTACCCAGGCTGCTACCCTTTCGGCTACTATTCTCTGAAGTGATAAGGATCAATAGTGACTGGTTTGCACAACTATCAGGTGAACAGCAGGCAATGTTACAAAAACTCAGAAAATCCACCCAAGAAATAGTAAAATGTAAAAGATTCATTGGTGGGAATAAGCTAAACATGATGAGCAATGCTTCACTAAAGGCCCATTGTGCGACAGCCTATTTGGGAGAAGGCAATAAGATGGCCCTACTACCTGCTAAGGCTAGAATCAATGAAAGAAATGTTAACTCCATGCCAAAGGCAGAGTTACAGGCTGCAGTAAACGCAGTAAAGCTATATAAAAAACTGAATATACAGGGAGTAGAAGTTAATTTCATACTGATAATAATGCCAACTTCAGACAGATACAAAATGCTAATGCTAAGCTGGATGAATTCACAAGGAACAGAATAAGGTACATTACAAGTAATTCGAACCCCTCTTCTTGGAGATGGATTGAAGGCAAGACAAATCCAGCTGACCTCAGGAAAAAGAAAGCATTCAGATGACCAATGGCTGACACCTGTTATATCTGGTATGACTCAGTGTGTAGCACTGGGGAATATCTTTAGACCATTTTCTCATAACTGGGAAAAGATGGTGAGGATAGCACAACTTGTAGTGAAGTGGGCACACCTGAATATGCCAGTATATCAACAAAGGAGACTAGCAATAGCCTACCTGTTGAGGGATGAGCAAAGATGCAATTCAAGCAAGAAGTTCCCTGAGCTGGAACCATTTGAAGACCCCTATGGAGTTATCAGAATAAATGGAAGGTTGAGGAGTGTACATGGAATACCATATGATGAACGGCACCCGATTCTAATAATGAAAACATCAGACCTGTTTAAAGCCATAGTCTTCACAGCTCACAAGGAAGCAGCACATCAGGGTGTACAAAAGACTAGGGCATGGATCAGAAAGAGATTCTGGCTGCACAAAGGAACAGCACAGATAAAGACCATTGTTGAAACATGTCCCTACTGCATATGTTACAAGACAAGCAGGACTTGCAGTATTTGGCAAGCTCCTCTACCAAATGTGTGTACTGAGAAACCACCTCAACCCTTTGGAAATGTAGGAGTAGATCATACAGGACCATATTACACTGATGAAGGTGAACAAAGATTTATTTTGCTTATAGCCTGCTACCAAACAAGGGCAGTGCACATGGAGAGCTGTACATCAACATCCTTTGCACATACAAAGGAAGCGTGGATTAGGTTTATGACAAGCCGAGGCCACCCAGAGAATGCACACTCCGATGGTGCAGGAGCATTTAGGAGATTGTCTCAGGAAATGGAAAGGGTGGGAATCTGCTTGAAACTGATACCTGCTAATTCTCCTCATAGAGGAGGATTATGGGAATCTTTAGTGAAACCAGTCAAGAGTACCTTGCAAGTGTTAAACAAGGAGACACCAACAGAGGAAATCCTAAGGACTGCAATCACTCTGACCGAAAGTATCGTCAACCAAAGACTATTGACAACTATCCTGCATCTTTCTTATGGATCCAATCCAAGGAAAAGAAAAAAATGAGAAACTCCTATGAACAAATGGAATCAATCAGGTCTATGCTGGAGAGAATACACATCCACTCTACAAACTATCTCGAAATGGAACAAACAGAGTGGGCGAACCCCGAAGGTTAATGATCTGGTAGTCTTAGTTAGTGACTCCTTAAGACGCCACAATTGGAAAATAGGGTGTGTATGGAGAATAAAAAAGTCTTTGAAAATGAAGGAATACAGTTTCGTCTCCTATTTAATTTCTGTCAATAAATGCATAGCTCTCTTTTCGTAGATGCTCTTTGTTTTATTATTAAATCAACATCATGTAGACGCTTCCAGTGGAAACTAATTTATTATTCGTTTAACAGATAGATATAACGAAATTTTTACAAAATATACAAACAACATTTAATATCTCGACTATAGAAAATTTACAATAGTTTTCTATTCTTTCAAATGATTTTCAACATCATTAACTATTTCTTGTATTTCTCATCTTTCATCTCTTTATCATCATTGTAGAATAACGAATATCTTTATTTATTTTTTCCGTGAACAATTTTAAAAGTACCTGTATAGCAACATTGAAGATTGTAAAATTATTACTTTTATCAAATGATAGGAATAAGGAAATGACAGATTACCTATATTTATGTCATTTGAAGGTTTTATTGGATTAACAACTGTATTACCATTATTAATATTTGAACGATCATTTCGCCGTGGAATACATTGTCTTATCCTACTTTTGTACCAAGAGAAGCATCCTATTAAATAACAAGACTTTATATGAATTAAACTATTTTCATTCTATTTAGAAAGCTACATACCATCGTCTCTTCTGTTGTTGTCTCTTCTTTTTACCCGATAATAACCATAAAGTCCAAGTACTATCAGTATAATAAAAACCGCAATAGATGTGCAAACTGCCACAATAACTATTAAAGATTTTTTACTGTTCTCATGTTTGCAATAACATGTTTTACTCTCTTCGTTAAATTTACAATTTGCTGTGGTACATTTACATTTTGTATTTTCTGTTGCATTTCCATATTGTAAGACTTCTATATCATCTCCAGTACAAGAACGCCTGAATAAGAAACGTTACCTTTTAAATTATAATCTTCAAACCATGGTTATTTCCTTAATATTATAAGCTTACATTGTTTGACAAGTTTTCATTTCGCAATTTCCAAATACATCTTCTCTTCTCTTTCTAAATGTTTCAGTATCAGCGAAAGTGCCAGTTGGACAAGCTTGACAGTCGTTGCCTGTATTTGTCGCCGTGCAAGCTATGGGTTCTTTTCCTTTGGGGCATTTAATTTCGGCACATCTAATTGGATCACTGTTTCCAAATTCGCAAAACAGATCACCTCCTCCATTAACAGATTTAAATGACAAGAATAACACATAGAGAAGAAAAGTTATGAAACTAAAATGAATTCTCATTTTACAGATTTACTTGCTATAGCTACTAATATATATGATAGTTACTGTTGCAATCAATATCAATAATATTGATATAGACTTGAAATCAAGTCTATATCAATCTCGTTGATTAATATGATAGACTATAAATCGGCCTGTATGTTTAATCTGGCTCGAAAATAGATTGTTCTGAGAAGAAATTGTTTTATTGTTAATTTCATACTAGTTTATGATTTATGGAACAAATATCTAAAATGAAAGATGTACAATATATTTCCACCGACATTTAATATTTGACTATAGAGAAAGGTGCGATAGTTTTTTAATCTCTTTAGCATCATTGTAGAACAACGAATATCTTTGCGTCTATAAACGCTTGTTAAAATGATGCTCTATTTGCCTTGATTACGCAGAGTATTGACTAGACCCTGTTCAGATCTTTCACTTGCAATTAACTAACTTCCTACAATTGTTCTTTAACATTTGTTATTAATTTCAAATGATTTTATAACTTAATTAAATACGAAGTTGAAAACTTTTTATACATCATAAAGAGAGTTATTTCTACTATCATCAAGATAAGGAACAGTTGAGGAAACAGTAATAACTGTGTCTATTAAAGAGAACATATATATTTATATTATAAAGTAGAAAATCGGAAACCAACTTTTTTCGCCCTCATCCTCTCAACTCTTCGTACGCGATTATGCAATCGATATGTCTATGAATAGACCTAGGTATTATTAGAAAAAAGAGAGAGAGGTTATTTTTTTTATTAATCTCAAATTAACAAATAAATAAAAAAGAATTGCGAAGAACATAAAAATTGATAAAGAAATTTTTTAATGATTTGGTAAAAAATAATAATTCATAGACATTCCTAAAGCCTTAAATTCACATGCTTGATTTTTGTAAAATTTCGTAATGATGTAGTCGGTCTTGTGCAAGATTGTGCATAGTGATTCTGCATGAGCGTAATGTTTCATTGCATATATAAAACTTCGAATAAACAATGTACCCAAATCAGATCGGCAAGCAAGGGAACCTATACAAAATAAAGAAAATGAATTGGTGATTTTCTTAATATAAAATTATTTTACCCTCAAGAGTAGCGTTGATAATGTATGTATACTTTTTTCCATTGCATGTGTCATCTCCTACCAAAGCATCTTGATATGGATAGCTGTGGTCGTTGTTGCTTGCTGACACCACTTTGTGTTTATAAAAAGCATTTAGAATGTTTTTTCTTTAATAATTAAATAAATAACTGACTCTTACGGCAAGTCTGGAAAAAGAAGAGTTTTGGTTTAGTCTTTAGTAATGGGCAGTTTTCTCCATCAAAGAAGTCAATTAAAGAATCGTATTCCAAAAATTTAGAATCTTTCAGTTTAAAAGAATTTTTATTTCCGTGAGCTAAGATAAAAACAATGAGCGACTTAATGTTCTTCAAATTTGTTTCGTTAGATTTGATGTTGTTCAATTCATTTAGAAATTCCTCTTTAGTATAATCTTCCAAAAGGGTAAACTTGTATTTTAGTTTAGTTTCAAACAGCGTTCTCAGATTAAAAGAATCTAATTCTGCTCCTTCTCGCTCCTTAAGGATGTTTAGAACCAGTACATGATTGAGGCCTTTAGTGTCGTGAATAGTCTGAAATAATGAAAGAAGAACTCTCTGTTCAGTACATAGATAGTAGAAAAATATTAATAATTACGCCGCACTCAATGCCGTCTTTTAATTCTTTGGTATCTAAAATTGAATACTTTTCTAACTTGATCGGAATTTTCCCCTTCTTTTCTTCAACATGTACAGAAAGAATAAAACTCTGTATAATAAATAACAGAAATGGAAAGAAAAATTTCTATATACCATCTTCCTTACAGTCCTTTATGAGTTGTTCTGATGATTCATCATTTTCATCCGCTGTAGCGTTAAGTTCGGATTAGAAACAGAATAAAACTCTGTATGATAAATAAAAGAAATGGAAAGACGAATTTCTATATACCACTTTCATTAGATTCCTCTATGAGTTGTTTCTGTGATTTATCTTTTATAACTAGAGTGCTCTCTTTGGCTAGAAGTCTTCTAGCTAATATTATTAAAATAGCTACAAGTAAGATTACAACTGCGACGACTATTATTACTACTTCCAATGTTTCTTGACTTTGCGGTGGACTAGGAGACACTGTATTTGTACGATTTGTAGGTTCAGGTGAAGCAGCACTAATATTAAGAAATTTCTCAAAGCATGAATTGTCACCGGCTTGATATTCGTATTTTGGATCTGTACATTTGCAAATGTTGTCCATTTCTTCGTTACCCTTTTCAGCTAAAGTCATGTGTTCATTATCACAGCTCTTTCTGTTTGTGTTAAGTATATTTATTATATAAAAGTTTTTAAATAGCTTTAAAATCTAATTACTGTTGTTCACAAGTAGTAGTTTTGCAGACGTTAGAATCGGAGCGTTTTTCTCTAAATCCTCCTGTTGTAGAAAAATATCCTTCGGGACACTTGACACAATCAGAGCCGTTGTTCTTGATAGAACATTCAGCTGGTTCAAATCCCATAGGACAGTGTACCAAAGCGCAGGTATGAGCAGTATAGTCAGTTGGTGATAGAAATTTGCAAAAAGCTTTCTTCACAACAGGGACGGTGTTGGATATCCGAATGAAATAGTAGATTAAAAGGATAGTAAAGCTAGACAACAAGAGCTTCGCCATTTATTGCTTCTTGGTTAACCAGATTAGTAGATAGTCAGCAGTGAAAATTTCAATTTTGAAATAATCTTCTACTTATTTTTTGTTTTTAAAATTTAGATTAAAATGAAACTTTTAGCTTTTTTTCTTCAAAAATATCAATTACGGAAAATCTAGTCATAAATCGAATAATTTATAAATGACGGATTTTATGCGGATCGCAGGAGTATTACAAATATGATTAATATTGCTACTAATCGATTATTTATGATAATCAATATTATGATATACGTAAAAAAAATGAATATTTTATTTTATTTACAATTATTTCTGTATCACATCAACATTTCAAGTAACAAAAGTAATTTGTAAGAATATTTCATTTGAATGAAACAATGCAGTTAAATTATCTGAAGAAAAGGTAAACGAAACGTCAACAAATCATTGAGATTTGATTTCTTCTTGTGATTTCTTCTGTTGGGATAATTGGTTAAAGGTAATTAAAGAATCTTTGTTTTGAAAGATTTCAATAAACTACTTACAGACAACGACGTCACCCATTTCAATGGCATTATCAATAGATTTTGAATTCATCTGCTTCTTCTTTTCAATCGCTTCCTCTCTCTTTCTTTTCCTTTCGTCCTGATGCATCCTTTTTTTAATTTCCAACACTAAATCCGGATTATTGATAAGCGTGTAGCATCTCCACCATCTAAATTTTATTTGTTTTCTCTTTAAACGTGATGAACTAGTAGAAGTCGAAGTACTAAAAGCACTTGAACAAGCAGAATCTTCAAGTTTTTTAGTCTTCATTTCGTCAATAAGCATTTGGCAAAAAAATCTAAGAATCGGATGATTATGATACAACTCTAATCTAAGCATGCCTATATAGGCATTGTAGCCAGAATCTAATTTTTCAAAGCCACGTACTAGGAGGCATCTATCCGTTCTACTCAGTAAAAGTGCTCCTATTCCAACAGATATTATTATTCTCTTTAGACAACCAAAAATACCAATGATAACATTAAAGAAGAAGAGAATGAATGTAACAACATGAAATACTCGTCGATTGTTTAGAGCTAAGTATTTTCCTCTTTCCTGTAGAAAAGCGAACTTGGCCAATTTCAATTGAAAAATGTTCAACAACAGACTAAATATAACTGTAGGCCTGTAAGATATTATTAATCAATTATAAAGATGATAATCTATTATTGCGTAATGTTAATACCATAAAGGTAGTAGAAGTTTTAATAACCAATTTAATTGACCCTGAATCAAGGGTCTTACTATTAATAGGACAACCACTACAAAAATAAAAAAAAGGAGTAGGGAAACAATTACATAACCCCAGAATAAGTGAGCTATTTGAAATCCGGCATATTTCAACGATGATACAACCGTTGATTCGTGTGATTGATTACCACATCCTATAAAATTTCTATTTCCTTTGAAAAGTTTACCAATATGTATTCTGTATATATATATATAAATGAAATATAAAAAAGGGAGAGAGTTTAATTACTATTTCATTTTCCTTACTTGTATGTAAGTAGCATATGCATTGAAAAGATTATATGAAGTACAAGGGATATATAGATTGCAGCCAAAAATGAACCTCGTGCTACAGTTATAATTTTCAGAACTTCCCTTAGTATTTCTGTCAGTTTTTTTCCATGAGATCCTCCGTTAACACTATAGTTAAGTATCTGATAAGATATAATAAAGTAGCCGACTTTTAATTTGATAATGAAAGGAAACATACTCTCATAAAATCACTTAAAGTTATTTCGAAATTTGTTGAGCTTTCAGCCAAGATAATTGTTTCTTGTAATAAATCTTGAAAAACGGCAAATAGAAAATCAAGAAATCTATGAAAAGTGATGCATAGCTGTAAAACAAAAGAACGAGAAAGAGAGAGAGAGAGAGAGAGAGAAAGGAAGAAGAGAAGTATTGTTAAAACATTGAACTTTTGTATTTAATAAATGTTTTCTATTTACGGCAAATACTCCTATACAACCAACTGAAAAGGTAGCGCAAATTCTCGTGGAAAATGTGAATCCTTTTAGTGAAAATTACTAATTAATATAGGATAAGAGGAAAAATATTATATAATTTACCATCTATACTAAAGAGATTTAGTTTTGTCTTTATTCTCTTTATGAGGGTTTCGTTGGCTCTGAATATGACAGATGTATGGAAAATTTATTGACATATTGTATTTTAAAAACGAACGTTTCATAGTCAACTGGTTTAAGTAGATCTTTAACATATTTATAAGCATTTGTCTCGTTTAAAGGTATGCAAATATCACAATTCTAAAGGGGAGAATACACGTACAAATATTGAATATTATTGATAAATATCAATTAAGACTAATTTACCGGATCATTAGACAAAAATGGAATTTGAGATTTCCACTATATTAATTAAAGAAAGAAATGATAAATTAACTTATTAAACTTAGTTTCTACTACCTTCATCTTTTTTTGGAATAATAATTTTATATTATTGAATAAATCGTATATATATCCTAGGCATAAGACAACTTTCACCAATAATAAAGGTATAGATATAGCCAGATATATATACTGGAAATCTTTCTGTTCAAGTATTCAAAAAGCTACTTTAAATGAGGGTATTATAAATAGAACATACGTAACGACCGCTTTCGGATAGATTGCAGTGGTATAGATAATATCCTCTTAAAACTGTCCAGGAAATCATAAGAAACGCTCCAATCAAATTAGCAAGAATTACTCTATGCAATCGTATACAAACAAACATTGGATAGATAGCCATACATAAGACTGCAATGTTTGCCATTTTGACGATAGCTTTAACCAAAATAAAGCCAAGGTATTAATTAAATAATTAAAAAGACAAATAAATAAGCTTTTTTTTTACTTCCAATCCATTTCATCCATTTATTTTCTCTTGCTGCAACGGCGAAGTCGACAAAATTATCCCCCAAAAATAACTCAATAATAAGGTAAGCCATTGAAAGATAAGCAAAAACGTAGTATAATCTCCTTTTTGTATCATCTAATAGATTTAGAGGGCTAATCATTTCGTAAAGTAGAATGAATGATTAATTATCCATTCATTAATAAGCCTAGTTTATAATTGTAATTTACATACTAAACACATCCAGGCCATGCCCAACAGCACGAAAGTTTACAGCGTTTACGTCTGTCCCACGCAGACATAATAAGAATGAAAACTAACTGAAAAAAGAGTGAACTTTATGCTTTACATATCAATTAAGATGGATAGAATAGGAATATGAAAACGCTTACGCTTAATGGTCCTGCCGCAATAATGGAGGTTCTTTGAACTGCAACGATACTCGTACATAGAGTATCATTAGGTCTGTAGAGTTTATACAAATCAAGCATAAACAATACATAAGATAAAAGTACTAACTCAATCGTTGGTTCGGAAAGATCATAATCAGGAAGAGCAGTTTGTTGCGAATTGGTTTCACTAGTTGCTAAATCGCTTAAGCACCTTCTAAAATCATTCATATAAGTGTCGTTTAACAGTATATCAATGCAATATTCTTTAGCAGTATCCATCATTAAGATTTCTTGATATTTAATACTGGGACTTTGGAAAAATATTCAATGAAATGAAGATGTTAACACTTCAATATTAATATAAACAGTATATTACATGTGAACTTGAATCGTTAGATTCTGGCTTAAAAGATAAATGATATTGAATCTTTTTTAATAAAATATCTGTAAAGAGAAACTAGATTAATTAAGGAATTTTAAGGATGAACGTTAATTTTACATCTACCTACCTTTATTGAAAAATAAAAATGCTTTGTGTAAATCGATTGTATCTATGCACAAATCAATAGAACTAACCTTGGTCTATTAAAACACAAGGAAAGTAGGCTATTCAACCACCGTCTATAATATCTATAACACAATCATATAGAGGAAATCATCTTATTGTAAATGTAACTGATTTACTGATGAGTACTATAATTAAGAAGCAGAAGAAGATACAATAGAGTTAGTTGGCAAAATGATCGTTCAAAGTTGAATGTTCGCTATGAAAATATGGCTGAATATTTATATAGTTATTCCTTATGTAAGTCCTATAAGGGTAAGTGAGTACATTCGAAGTGGCTTTGTATAACAAACATATAAAATTATATTTTTAAAAAAACGCACTCGACTAAAGATGTCGCTTTTGACTAATGTTCATGAGAACTTTAATAATTTCTATTTGCTTGTCTAATCAAATAATTTACGTTGTCTCCTTTATCTTTATTAACTATGACAAGAAGCTTTAATTAATGCAAATAGTATAATATATTCAAAAATCTAGTTCAATTCGTTCATTTTCTACACTTGCAAAATTAAGTAAATTGATAGAATTAACATAAATTCCCTCTGTATTTTTATTTGTAAAACGACAACAAACCAACTTACTAATGTAATATTATTAAATCGTGATATTACTCATAATACCTTTGCAATTTATGATCATTTCTATACATTTTGACTAATCACCTATTCATGCAATACACTGCACAGCACATATGTCTATTTTTGGCCTATAATTAATTAGCATAACAAGTAAAAAAATAGTGTTAAAACTATTTAAAATAGGTAATCAATACATGCAATTCGAATTTATTGCATTCACATGATATAAAAGAGGGAATATAAAGTATTCATATAAATGTTTCAGTTGGTGTATATAGTTTTAATTTAATGATATTCTTTCATCAATGTTTCTTATTAAGCGTTTAATCAAAGTGTTAACCATGGAAAACACCTTATTTTTATTCTTTTTTCGATGCTTATCAGAAAAACTAATAGAAAAAGAGAGATAGGGAGAGACTTTTGACTTGGAATTAAGCACCATAAAATGAGTGAGAGATTATGTGAAAAACAGTAAGCCTTTATCATTCAAGATCTGAATACATAAATCACAGTATAAAATAGTAAGGCTTTCCTTTCCTCCCTTTATTACATTCGTTCCTGTCCACAGTCTGCTAATATAGTTACATTTACCTCCTAACACGCATCATCCAATAGAATTCTCTGTCTCTCAGTCATTGCATTAAAGTAGAATTGTTATGGTTTAATAAATTTGTATTCTAAATTACAGTATCAATAATAAAACAATCAAATTTGTCGATGTATTAATCGCCAATAACATGAATTTTTATCAAAAATTCTCTAAAATATTAATATTTTTTATAGTTGAACAGTTTTAATTTAATTTCTTTTCCTTTTGGCACTGAGATTAACAGATTCAATCGGCCTATAAACATACAATTTTCATAGTCCTTTATATTCAGTTAGTCATTACATATGTTATATAAATGTATACAATGTATATGTAAATCAGTCGAATTCAGTTAATAATCTTCTAGATTTCCAACAGTCTTCTTCTTAACTAGATTCGATTTGTTCTTCTACACTAAAAAAATAATACTTTCTGCTCGAATAGTTAATAATTGTCGATAAAGATATGACAAGGAAAATTACTCCCATGACTTTCAATATATCAATTATACTTCCTTCCATATTATAGAAGATAATATAGATTAATAATGTTCCTGATACGATGCATGACATGATCACGTGAATAAAAATACTGTAAAAGTAATATATATAAAGTATATACAAAGAATAGCGGCTTCTCAAAAATGACTTACCTTGAGCAGAGATTACCTAAAGTAATCAATGTACGTAATTCAATAGTATAACAAGAAAGAAGATAGAAGTTAGTAATAAAAACTATTAAGATTACTCTAAACCATCTTTCAACTCGTTTCTTTTCCAATTGAATATCTAAATTTTCGCTTAAATCTTGTATTACTGAGAAAATGCTTACTAAAAGCAGAAAAACGCAGATTAGAACAATCGTTAGACCTCTGCAAATAATTGAAAAGAGTTTTTGGTTTGTTTTGTAAAATTTTACAAATCTACTTACAATGAACAGCATAAAGCTATCCATATTTTTGATAAATTCATATGAAGTATTTGGCCAAAGAATTGAACGCATAGACGAAATGCATAGATAAAACCGTTAATCGTGCCAAGTAGAAAGAGGCAAATAATTATTCTATTCGAAATCATATTTGTTGTATATTCTAATAAAAGAAAATATAAAAAATAAGATAGAAAATCGTTATAAAAAGAAATTAATATCCAATTAGTAATAATGATAATTTAATACCATAATGAAAGCGTTTTTATATTTAGGTCATGTATAAATACAAACGATACTAGTTCCATAGTTTTGAGTAGTGTCATTAAATGTAAAAAGAACAAAAATAGAATAGAATGTTTTTTCTCTCTACTAAATAGGAATACTATACAAGAGAGTATATCTATTTTAAAACAAAGTAAATTTGCTACTTTCGTATTGAGAATAGAGTTGTAAAGTAAAAGAATGCAATACAAAAGTGGCTTCTACTATTATAGAAAAGTTCATATTCTAATTGTATTATTTTGATATAAAACTACTATGGGATTAATCAATTAATCTTTAACATGGAAGTATTACCTATATCTTTAATTATATATTACCTGTATTCAATATGGATTCTTGATGATAAATGAACAGTTTTTAAACTTCCTCTTTCTTTTCTATACTTAAATCTTATTATTATCAATCTAAACTTTACAACAAAAATATCTTTTATTATTCTTCGATTGATTATAGAAACGTCTAATTTCGAATAAAAGTTGCTTCTTTCCTTGTTTGACTGCTATTAACACAATTTTGGAAGATAAGATGCCGCCATGTTATATTAAACAACAAGAAAGAGAGCTTATCTTGTTTATAACCAATCATCGACCTTGTCTCTTTCGAACTATTTTTTATAGGCTAAATAACGTATATAATACATTCAAAACGTTTGACCGTTAATTTGTTTAATTAAAAAATTACAATGATTTCAATTTTTCAACTATTTGAATCGATGAACGAGGCGTTCAAGTAAGAATTAAAGGTCATAAAAGAGACAATTAAGGGGAGCAGTATGAAGTAAGTAAGCCTATATAAATTTAGTTTTTCTATGAAACCCTACATATAGATCGAGGAATTGAATAATTCATAAATTAATAAACAATAACAAAAGAATATAGGTCAAAGATTTTTATTTTCTAATTGATGATTGATAATACGCAATTATAAACAATAGGAAGAGACTACAATCATTGAAATATGCATTTTCGTCTAAAAGACAAAAACATATTTTTTACGTAATAATCTTTATTGAAATTGAATAGATCGTTCAAATAATGTAAATATATAAAAGAATGTTATTCTCTGCGAAACTTTGACGCAAATCAAATATTCTTCCACTCAATATTTGGATTTTAGAACAAATACGCTTTATCTTAATTCTGCAAATATCAGATAAGATACTCTTCCATCTAATATTGGAATATTTTATAGAATATATTGATCTTCTAATTAATAAGGTTGTACAGCTAATCATTTAACTTTCTCTATGTTGTCTATGTCTCTCTATATATTCAACGTTAAGATATTCAAAGAACAAATCCAAATTATTGCAATAATCCAACAGAACTATAGATTCTCAACTATCTCAATCTCCAATAAAGAATCAGAAGTTATCGTTTTGTTATCTTGCGAATTATATATTAAAGTTTTACTTTCGGTTTTAAATCGTTTGGAAAATGTAAGACAAGATTGACAAATTAGTTTTAAAGGTAAAAGTAAATCTGTTGAATAAGCCAGTTTATTTAGACTTTATAATAAAAACAATTAACTTACCTTTTTCATTTGACAAACGCCATATAAAAAGCATCAAGAATGCAGAATGTACGCCTATAAATATTAATGATAATCGTAGACCTATCCAACTTTCATTGTAGTATCCGCTATAAAGTGAAGTTCTTGAACAGATTTTAAATTGATCAATTGATGTATCAAACACAATAAGATAGTAGAAACTTATGCTAAATAGATAAATATCCCAGAAGAGAATATTTGTCATGATACCAATCTTGAAATGGAGATACGTGAAAGGATTACAAAGTAGAAAAGCAATAAACCAGATAACAAATGATATACTAATTACTAGACCATAAATAGTCATAATATGCGGATGATTTCTGAATATTTGCAAATAGAATATATAGATATATATATACAGTACAGTAATATATTACTATTACATAAGAACTAAACAAGATTTCGTCATCAACTTACGGTTCTAAGTAAAATGTAATAATACATATTTTATTTGGCGAGCGAATTGCAGTTGTCCTATTTACGTAATAAGGTTTAATAGTCTTGTCATCCGGTATTACTCGATATCTTAGAATTTCGCTAAAATTTTCTTTTGAAATTGCATAATGAAACGTCGGACCGGAGAAAATATTCATAATTGTCCATAAAATTGTTATAAATCCACAGAATATATCCAGTTTAGAGATCATAATTCACCGCTGATCGCAAATTTAATAAATCTACTTAATTGTATATTCCCTCAAAAAGTATCCAAGGTAAATATTAGTACTTTTTGTCTAATCATCGATTTTATCTTGTCCATAGAATGAAACAAAGGACAGAAAGAGAGAGAGAGGTAGGTTTTTCTTGTTTCCTCGTAACAAATATTGGATATAGAATATCTTATTATTAAATATTACTCCCTGACCTAATTCGCCGTTGACTAAGCACTAACCACAGTTAATTTTCATATTATTATATTATGAGGTAATGTAGTTATTATACAGAAACTTTAACTATTCATTAAACATCAAAATTCTATATCTAATTATGATTATTCAAGTTTTATATTATGAATATTTTGAAAAATATTATCATACTAATCAGTTTCATAGTTGGTAGTTACTTTATCTGTTTAGCTGTTTTAAATCGGTCTTATCTTCTTCTTCTTCTTCTTCTTCTATTTTTGAATGAATACATATGACAGCCAAATTGCAGATAAAGAAACGATGCATGTTCGAGTGTCTTTTCAAGAGGGATGTATAATGTGCTATCGTTCAATAGTCGAGGAACAATTGGGGTATTTCTAAGCAAACTGTTCCTCTTAGATCTACTGGAATATCCTTTAAACTATTTGCAAGCTGTCGGTCGTTGTTAACCTTCTCATTATCTCTTCCATAAGAATAGCCACGATAAATGAAAATTGGCTCGCAATTTAAACAAATTTTTAGATTAAGTTCAAATTCTCTTGCTTGGCTTTCGTTAAAGTCAAACCATTCGAATTCTATAATCTTGGGATACCTGGATGAAGTATTTAAAGAATCACAGATAAAGATGATCCCATTCCCCATTCTTTTGTTATGACCAACAGTTATGTATTCTAGATTCGGACAAAGTTGTAAAGTATCCGCCAAATACCTTGCTTGAGACTGAGTTAAATCGCATCCTCTAAAACTAATTTCTTTTAGGTTTATAGAGGATTTTATCAATCCCTGGCATATCATTTGAAATGCATATCCAATCTTTGTGGTATCATCCATAAAAATTGCCTCTAAATTTGAACATGACTGTAAAAGTTCAGCTAGACATTTATTCTGAATTTCTAATAATTCGCAAAAGCCAACGTGTAAAAGTTTCAAACATTTAGACGAGCTCTTTAATCCATAGCAGATATAATTAAATCCAGAACCAATATTATCATTCTCATTTAGGAAAATTGACTCTAAATTAGAGCAAAGTTGAAAGAATTCTCCTAATAATTTACCCTGATTTTCAGTCAAATTGCAATTTCCAAAGTCTAAGCTTTTTAAATGTTGCGATGAATGTTCCAAACCAGCTAATATATCCTCAATTCCAGTTTCGATATTTCTATTTCCATACATGGAAAATGACTGCAAATTTTCGCAAAATTTCAATACTTCTTTTAAGCGTTTTCCTTGATTTCTGGTTAAGGAACAATTGTCCAAATTAAGTTTATTAATTGACCAAAGAGGAAAACTACCAGTTTTTTCAAAATTGAATAGTTTATGAACAATATCAACATCTTTGGGAGATTCGAAATTTATCTTTCCGGGGAGACTTTCTATTAAGCTATCCACTTGGTATTCTCGTATACAACAATTGCTTAATTCAAGATCTTTAAGTGTGTGATGGGAGTTCTTTAATCCGTCAATTAAGACTTTTAATCCATCGCCTAAATTATCATTATCGCTTAAAGATAATGTTTGCAGATTTGTTAAATGGGATAAGGTGTTTCCTAAACATTTTACCTGGTTTTCGGTAATACTGCAACTGCTCAAATCGATCAATTGAATACTCGAAGATAACTTTTTTAACCCATCGCATATATCATTGAATGCACCAAAGCTCATATTCTTACATCCTATAAGGTGTAGTGATTCGAGTTGGGAACATTCGAGTAGAAGATCACCTAAACATTTAGCTTGAACACCTTCAATATCGCTCCAACCAAGATCAAGACATTTAAGAGAAAGTGAAGAGTTCTTTAATTCATTTATCAATGATTTTAAACTATCTCCTTTCAATTGATTATTACCAAGTAAAACCGACTCCAAATTTGAACAGAAATATAAAACTCTCACAAGATTTTGTAATATTAATTTCTTTGTTAAAAAGCAATTATTAAAGTTTAAACTTTTAAGAAATTGACAAGAATTCTCAAGCCCGTTAAAGATTGGAATAAATCCCATTTTAATATCTCCATTTTGATTCATACTTAATGATTCTATTGTGCAACAGCAGCGAAGTGTTTCTCCTAAACTTGCCCCTTGGTGTTCACTCAAATTGCAGTCGTTAAAGCTAAGAGTTTTTAGGCTTTTGCAAGAAGTTTTTAATCCTTTGCATATGTTCATAAATCCACAACCCATGTATTTATTTCCGTCTAATACCAACGATTCAATATGTGAGCATTGTCCCAGGACTCTACCTAAAATTTTTGCTTGACTTTCTATTAAGTCATAGCCTAAAAAGTTGAAACTCCTAAATAAATGCGTATGTTGTGTGAGCCCAAAGGAAATTGTAACGTATCCTAAGCCTAATTCCATATTCTTATCAACTATTTGTTCAACAAAAGTTTCATCTATACGAGAGAGAAGAGCTGAACAGTGTTTTTTCGAAACTATAACATCAATTCTAGGACATTGGCAGCCGTTTTGATTTTCATCCAATCGATTCCATTGGAATTTTGGAGGGTTTTTTTGTTTTAAACTACTCCACAAGTACTCTTCGTTAGGAAATTCAACAGTTAAATCTTTCATGGAGAATGTCTTTAACGAATTATCGCTCTTCATAACTTTTAAAAAATCGATAAAATCTCTAGAAAGGCTTTCCTTTAATGTTTTATTCTTTAAGGTTAAATTCTCTAAATATCTACATTCCTTCAAAAGATATTCGTAATGATAGTTTATATAATTTGAGAAATTAGCACATTCATCAATTAGACTAATCATAAGAGTAGGACCAAAAGTAACATCAACGATTATATGATCCTCGTGTTGCTCTTCCCACATTTTCAATTCTTGTATACAAAGATTGGTTTTGCAGTTGGTATTGATATATCTCCTTTTAATAATGAAACCAATTTGTCCAAGGTGGAAATATTTCAAATTTGCATTTGTAATTAAATTGATAAGATTCTTTAAAAAGTGTTCATCGGAATAGAAATGTTTCGGTGGATTCTTATTGGATAGACAAAGAATTTTCAAATTGGGTGAATGTAATGATAACAGTTCCATAACAAGCTCTAAATTAAACTCTGAACGTAGTAGGAATATCTCTGAAATATTCCATCCAACCTTTCTAATTAAAGCGGATATAATAACATCGTTTAACTTTAGCTTTTCCAGATGTAAGCGTTTCTTTTCTCTTACGAATCCAATATCTAATAGATGCTTAACATTTTCACTGTATTCATATATCGCTTGAATTTTCTTTGAAGATTGTACAACTCTTTTTAAGACTTTTATAGAATCCTGACCAATAAATTCTATAACTCTATAAAGCGATTTATCATCAATTTCGACTAATTGATTATCGAATGACACAGTCCAATATAAGCGTTTTAATAGTTTTTGAAATTCTTCTAAGAGATAATTGGAAGCAAAAAATTCTTGAATGGATGAATGATAAAAATGAATTTCATTGATACCCAAATCTGTTTGATGACCTTGAATTCTATAGGCAAAACCGCGTAAAATATCAATTAATCCTTTTTCATCTCCATCGTCTAATTCTTGTAAAAGTAGTATTTTGCCTTTAGCTAGAAACATAAAACTCAATTTATGAACGATTTTCATCTTCTCCGCAATACCTTGATAATTTATACACGTTTGAGCGGCTTCTATAATATTCTTATAGATATTGAATGAAGATTCTTCCAAGAAGGAATCGCCTCTCTCCTTTATCGCGTGAAAAGTAATCGCCAACATTAAGGGTATCCTACACATTGATAGTAGATTAGCGTCGTCCGTTAGTTTGTTTGCGTAATTTACAAACTGTTTATTGCCTTTAAAAAACTTCTCTGAGAAAGATATTCGCTGTTCCTTGTTAAATCCTTTCAATTCAAATATCATATCGCGATTTGCTTGAATACTGTTAACTTTCAATTTTCTAGACCAAATAACAGTTGGAACTGGAGGATTCAATTCCTCAATGATTCTCTTAAGAAATGGATCTTCGTAACTATATTCGCCTACTCCGTCTATGAGGAGAATGATATCTTGATTCTTTTCGGCAAAGATTGATTGGATAACATTCCTAGTGACGTAGGATATATTCTGGAAATTTTGTTTTAAAATGATGTCAAATACATTTTCTGTTGATGAAGCATCCTTCAATGATATAAATATCAGTAATTTATCTGATGAGACTTTCCAAACGTTATGCGACCAAGTATGAATAAGATATCTAAATTGAACGGTTTTCCCCATTCCAGCTTCAGCTTGAACGATTGCTTTAGTAAATCCATTTGTAAATATTTGATAGAAATGTTCATATTCAATTTTAGTAGATAAGAAGCTGTATTGTTGGAAATTAAAGTCTACAACCTTTGAAATTTCTATAGGAGTAACAATAGTAGATAAATTTATTGGTATACTATTATCAAAAGGAAGAGGACACAGATAATAGAAATCATCTCTTCTCTGACTCTTAGTATCCTCGATAAGTTTATTCCATACTTTATTAGTATTTTGAAAATTATCAATTAATTTCCCAACTCTCTCCTCTTCCGTCTCTCGATGTATTTTCTCTAATATAGAAACGATAGCACAAAGAGATTGATTGCCTAATATTTTCATCAATAATTGAATTTTTTTTTCAATATCTTTATCATTGTTTTCAAATTGTAAATCTTTAATTGTAATATTTTCGGTACAGTTATTCTTATCTATTAATTCATTAGAGAAAATATCATTTATAAGACTATCTGCTAGTAAATCTATTAATTTTTCTTTGTAGTAATTAAACGATAATCTCTCTCTCGATAACATAATAATCCAAAAGAATAGAAGATCGAGTTTAAACTGACAGAATTCAATTTTGCAACAACACTATATATAGTCTTTTAACAGTTGTTATTTATTATCAGATAAGATAAAAGACGAGATTTTATATTAAAGAATTAAAAACTCAATAAAAATATTTCTATTATATTGAATTTTTTATTGTTTTGAACAGTGAAAAAATTGAATATTTTCAATAGAATTCACTTTAAAAGAGCATCTTTTTAATAGGTTTTTAAGACGGAATCGTAATATTGGTGGTACCTTTGTCTTTGTCTAATAGATAAGAAACATTTTCAATACGATGAGACTTACAATTTATCCATATCATTGGATATCTTATAATTCTTCTTGAAGATAATATCGGCCGTTTGGTTACATTACTACTTTTGAAGTTATCTTTCTCTAACTTAATATAGCTAAATAAACGAATTATCGTGTAGAATTCCGAGTATTTGATACAACTTATATTGAATTTTTATGAATAAATTAACTCTTACTTGAGAGATTAAACGAAAATATGAAATAATATAAAGTTACTAATATTATTGGCCTAACTAATTCATTTAAGAGGAAATTGTATGAAATGTAATATAATAATTGAAATAAACGTAGCATTTAGTAATAAATTAGTATACTAATTTTATTAAAGCTGATGCAAAGAACAAGGTGATAGTTAGTTTCGTATTTTCGATCTAATCTCCAACATGGAATCTTTACTTAATAAGATATTTAGCGAGAGAGAGAGAGAGAGAGAGATGCGAAATGTTACCTATTCAGCAGATTCTCCAAATTATACTGTCTTCTTACCATTTTTCATCTATATTGGTGGAATAATGACTATTGGAATTATTTCAAACTGTATCATTCTCTTCCTTTATCCTTTTAAAGCGAAGATGATGTCGACGAATTTTTTCATAAGACTTTTAGCAGTTAACGACATATCTTCGTGCGTAGTATGTTGCCCAATAACTATCCTAATGGAATTGGGTTTAATACAATCAAACTTCCTGTGTAAACTATTGAATTTCTTTGTAAGTTTCATTACCAGCTGCTCTGTATTTGTATTTGTATTTGTATCAATTGAACGATGGTTTTGCATCTGTAGACCTCATTTGAGGGTAACAGGACAGAAAATAATGATTATGATGTCCTTTATCATTACAATTACGTTATCGTATAGTATTTTCAATATATTCATCTTTGAAATTGGACCGTATGAAAGATGGGACGGTAGACTATTCGAGAATTGTCATATTAAGAGAAAATGCCTTTTGTGCAGGATAAACGGTTATATTGTCTCTATAATTGGAATATTTACAATAACAGTATCATTTACATTATATATTCTAATTTATAAAGTAATTATAACTCGTAAGCTTAGAATAAGAAGCAATAGAATATCTATACAAAATGGAATGTTGGAAGATAGTACAACCTTTCTAAAACATGCTAGAGTGTCTACTATGCTATTTGGAGTTACAACGGTGTTTGTATTAGCTTGGATACCATTCATTTTAGAAATTATTGGACTTGCGCCTAAAATTCAAATATTATATTATAGTTATTTTATTAATAATTGCGTTAATTGCTTTATATATCTAGTGTTTCGTTCAGATTTCAGAAACAGGGTATTTTCATTGTTACTTTGTAAAAGATACCAAGATTAATTAAATGATGAAAAATTAGGTCATTCATCTTTTAGAAAGTTTCTTCTTTATCTAGATTAACAATATGGCGTCCGGCATTTACTCAAATTGAGTAATGTCAATCCTACAATTTGCAAGTGGTGCGTATACTAATCACTACCTATCACGTACAAATCGCGTACACCTCGCCTACTCACCGAACATCTAATTAGTTTTTTGTTTTATAGATTGGGAGAGCAGCATTAAGATTTTTTTTTAAAAAAATGAATACCACACCCTATGACAAACAACAGGATCGAACAGCGAACAAAAGGCAAGCCTGGAAAAGTGATGACATAGCAGCTTCAATTATAAGTGACACGGAGTCGCCTAGCGAAATTGCTGAGAAAATAGCAGCGGCGTTCGATTTTCTTCCAATACTGAATACTACAACGGACAAAGAATATGAACCGGATAGCGCGAAGACGAGCCAATCTGAAAACCTATCACAGAATAGTTCGTTATCATCAGCTGACGAGCAGACCGGTGCACGACCTTCTTCTCTGACGTCAGCAGCTGAAAATCGGAATGGTTTACATCAAAGTATGGATATTTCAATGGAACCGTCAGTTCAGAGTAACGATGAAACAAGAAAAATAGATGAAAGCCCTAACATTGAATATAGAGTGATTGGTAATAAAACCTCTGCAAGGAAACCTGGAAATCATGCGAATCAATTTGAACAGCAAACTTCAACGTCAGCTTACGAAGGAACGAATGAAGTTTGCGTTGAAACGGAACCTTTAAAAAGAAAGGAATTTCAATTGCGACCGGCAACTCCGTTCCGTCCTGTGATTATTGATAAGAACCACATGGATTCTACGTATTCAAAAGATGTCTCTTCCCCTTCGAATGAAGTTCAGGAAAGCCCAATAAATCGATTGGAGTTTTCTTATAACGATATATATAAAAAAAAGAAAGATCTTAAGGCAAATGAGAGAGCTACTGACAATAATAATGTTGACAATAACCACAGTAAAAATAATAACCGTAGCGGTAAAGTATCGAAAGCACAAGTTAATACGAAGAAAATTACTACTTGTAGGAAGGAGATTAAAACTAAACCAGATGGAAAATCTGATGAGCTTGAATCGATTAAATTACAATTAGATATGTTGAATAAAAAGTTTGATATTTTCAACGAATTTCAACTTAAGTTTAATAAAGAGATATCGTCTGTTAAAGTTCAACAAGAACGCCAAACAACAAATAAAAGCACGAAACAACCCGTTCAAGAGTTGGTGAAATCTAAAAGCGCAAAGTCATCACCTGCTTTATCCGTTTGTAGTAATGTTGATAATTCAACAACAACAACAACAACAGCATTGAGTGTAGCGACTCTATGCAATGATTTTCTAAACGAATTTAATATATTTGACGGTAAGCAGGAAAACTTTGGAAAGTTCTTAGTTAAGCATAGAGATGCTATCAGAGTATACGAATTTAAAGGAGAGGAGAGACTTCAACTTCTTTTAAATCAAGTTGGTCCAAATATTCGGGTATACTTGAAAAAGAAACGGATTGGCAATAAAATTGAATACGATAACGCTATGAAGGTATTAATTGACAAGTACGGTAATTATAGGAGATTATCCAAGATGTATACAAAAATACTAGCACAATTACAACCTCTTAGCTATTTAGTTCCGTCGACTTATAAGAATTTAATGGATATTTTAACGAATATTAGAGATACGTATGAATTAACTGGATTATCAGATTGCCGATTCATAGGAGTGCATATTCACACAATCGTTAAAAAGCTCTTACCAAAAGATTTGCGGAAAGCGTGGCGTAGACAAAAACGTATATTAATTGATCAGCAACAAAATCCATCTATTAAAGAGTTTATCGAATTTCTTGAAAATATAGCTGTTAAGAATATGTTGAAAGTTCGAAAAAAATGCCTTCTTCAATGTCAAATGCCATGTTAAAGGTTACGCCTTGATCCAAGCGGAATTAAGTAAATTCAATTTTTCATCTTTATTATGATTATTATATTAGTTAGAAAAGATATATTATGATTTATGTATATCTCTTTTCATTATTGATTATACTGTATATACAATCTTTTGACAAATATAAGACACGCCTTTTTCTGAAATATTTAATCAACGTAAGGCGTCTTTTGTTTTGTGTCCGTTCAATATTTGTTTGTTTCATGTATATGTTCTATATAACGTCAGTTACGTGAGGGATAGGTGCTATATTTCAGCTTTAAAATAACAGTATCATTATGATTCTTATTATTCGTTCGTTTCTTTTAATTAGTCGTGACAAAAGTGTTTAATATATTATAATACGAATCAATCGACTGTCCTTTGAAATCATTTTCCTGATGTATTCCTAGTTTTGATATCAATTTCAAATACAAACATTCACCAATCGCTCTTTTCCAACCAATTGAATTTCGCATAATTTCGTATTTATTGAAAGGATTTGAACGATAATCTCGTAATAATTTTCACCCTGACAAGAATATCTACACATTTTCACTCCAGCTTCGATTACGTTACACGTAAACGAATAGATTTGTTGTTTTCCATAAACATATATATTTTTACATTCTTCTTTATCGTCACTAAAGAAAATGATAACATCAATTCGACTTTTCGTCTTGATTAGTTCACTTGTTTTGTAGACAAGTTTGGCGAAAGGCGGTAGAAATAAGGATAGGGACGTACAATCCGTTTTACCATCGCCAAGAGATTCAATAAAACTCCGATACGACTGCTCCGGTATACAAAAATTGTCGATAGAGAAGTTAAATAAAGCTTAAAAGAAACATTGTTTCTATTACATGATAAACTCTAAATTCTTCAAAAAAAGAGACGTTACTTAGACATTTCGGCCTCTGATAAGAAGTCTTCAAGCCGTCGGAGCTGAGCGATCCTTTAACTGACGTATGACTTAAAAATATACAGTCGGTTGGTGAAATTATTATAGAGTCGCAGGTATTATCCGAACTGCAAATCTCTTGACAATGAGAGGTATTTGTACTACTAATATGCGAGAGTACAATACAAGTACCACATTGTTCTATATAAAGCGAAGTATCTATTTCCCAATTGTCACAGTCTGCAGTTTAAAGACATAAATTAGAAAGAAATAACATTGAAGAAAAAGGTAAATTTACCTGGATTAACAATCTTATTAAAGTATATTGTATCGATCTGGTCAGCTAAAGAGTGAGAATGAGAGCCAAATTTTTTTATTGAGCACTTTTTAGTTTCCTCTCGGAATTCGAAACTAGAACAATCCGCTTTTCCGTTACATTTATCAAAGCATGCATCTAAATTTGATACTGTATTTTGCTGGATAGGACTTAAACCAGTTAGTTTTTTATTAGCATATTTTGTGTACAAGTTGCAGTCTGTAAATAGATATTCAAAAATGAAAAAATTAATAAATTAAATAGAATAGTATACTCGACGCATCAATGTAGTTGTTTCTTAATTCTCTAGCAGTATAAAACTGCAAAAGATGTAATACAAAAACAAAGTTTAGTAATACGTTAAATGCCATCAGAGGATAGAGTTTAGATAGTAAATGATCTTGCAAAGCTTTCTATGAACATTTGATTAAGCCATTAAATATTTCAACATTCTGTGCATTGAATATTCAAATATTTATAAGTATTGTAATTTTTTAGCAAACTTTCATTTTACCTATTAAAAATTTATAGATAGTTATGAGTATACCTATATTGTTATATGACAAATGAGAAGGTCATTTAGCTGATCTGTTAAAGATCTGTTAATACTTGCTAAAAAAAAAAGTATACAGTATATGGCTATTTTACAAATGATAGTAAATAATTAATAGAATCCTTTCATTTAGAATGGCGAATGTTTGAAAATATTAACAATATTCTTCAGACAGAATATATGCGTTGACAAAGATTCTCTTTACCTGAAAGTCTATAATGATAGAACGACTATCATGAAGAAATTACTATTTATTCTCTCATCCACAAATCCTATATACACTAATATTAGCAATAATATAAAAAAAAGTCTCAAATTCAATGTGTTTTTATTAAAATAAACAAGAAATTCAACATTTGACTCCTTCTCACTTCAGTTTTCTATTACATCCAAGATTCTTTTTGAAGAAGAATATTTTCATTTTGGAATAGACATTATATCGAATATAATATACCTTCAGAAGATGGAAGAACATTAACAACTTTACAATTTCTTTGGGAGTAGGTCTCCGTCGTCGATAAAACTCTCGATTGTTCTCGGCTAATTGATCTATATTTATTTTTTGTTCAATGATATTGTGAATAGTATGAATTTTTAATTGAAAAGTATGACCTTATTTGTGTTGTATATGGATTGGAATTCTGAAAGAAATGTAATCTTATAGTATTGAAATTAGTTTCAAAGAAATTTACTGTTTCATTTTGTAGTTCATTAGCTTTCTTTTCATCCGATAAATTATTTAGTTTCAAATGTGATGTATACCTTGTACGACGATAAATAAATGATCAATTCGTTTAATTTATTAATAAAGGGTTTTACTGTGAATCCAATGATTGTTTTGATTTAGATGAAGCAGACGTTATAAGATGATAGGTTGAATATAAGAAATAACCAATTTGATATAAGGAAAATGGCCGAGTTTTCTTAGGGTTAAATCGTCTATGGAAAAAGAAGTCGTAAAGTAAAAGTATACTTTAAATTGAATTAACCTGGCATAATAGAGATGTCGTTCGAAATTAGAAGCTAATCCTAATTCTTCTTGTGACTTTATCGAAGACGATGGTAGATCTTTAACTTTTACTATTGTTTCATCTGCTAAATCATTTGAAGCAGATGATTTTAGACATCCGTCGTTATCTTGTAATCTATTTGTTCGTAAGCAAAATCGTTAGAACGAGGAGGTGTTACTATTTTATTCATTCTCTTTCTATCATTAATTATAAAAAAAAATGAAATTGAGCTTACTGTTTATCTGGAGGAGTTTCATCCATCTCTGCAAGTTTTCCTTCATGGCACGATTCTTGACCGGAAACCGAAGAGGATATTGAAATATAGCTACTATTTACAATTGCTTTGTCAGTTGTTTCCATGTTATCACTTTCCTCTTCCCTATTTAAAATTGACTTTGAACATGAAGTTCAATAAAGAGAAGATAAGGTGATACCTTAAACGTAAAGATGAACAACATTTATCTAATACTGTTTTCTGTCCATCTTCAAGGTCAATTATCTCTTCGTTAGACGTAGGCAAAGCGTGAATTTTTGCTTGATTATCTCTCGTAAATAGTGAACATTTGAGCAAAATATATGCAAAACCTGCCAATAAATAGATGGAGGAGATAGAAAGACCAAACCTGGTATCGAATTCAATACCATTATAAACAAAGACACTACTAGGCTTGTATACTTGGCACAATAACAGATTATTAACACTAGTATCCAAAAATTTGTAGTAATAAATACTTAAACCAAACAAATAGATATAATTGAACGTAATTAAAGACACGGAGATAATTATCCCTAAAGAATTGACATAATTTCCAAAACTTTCACAAGGACAAATAGAACAACAAACAATTATAAATATAAAAAATACAAATGTCAAAGCAACGTAAATAGTCATAAAATAAGGATATTTCCTGTAAAATGTTCAGTTTGTTTTGAATAGAATGGAAGAAATGAGAAAAAAAAATGGGAGAAGGAAGGGGGAAAAGAAAGTTTCTCTTTAAACGAATTATTAGATTATTAGTATTTAAAAAATGTGTGCTTACGGTTTCATATAACTTGTAATAATGCATATTTTCTTTGTTGATTCAATAGTTTCAGTCTTATTTAGTTTATGAAACTTTCCCGAAGAATTTTTCTCAATTGCCATATAATTTTGTATTTCTGTAAAATCTTCTTGAGCTATTGCATAATGACAAATTGGACCTGACGAAGAAAGGAACAAGATAGTAAATATAGTTAAAGATTCCAACAGTACTTTGCAGACGGAATCCATTTTAGACTAGTTTTATCCTGCTGTTTTGCATTCTGTTTTGTAGTAGAAATCAATAACATCGCCATAGATGACTATAAATAAGTCTCTCTCTCTTGTATATACCTCTCCATATTTCATAATGCAGTAAGCTAATACAATTCGTAAAAGATTTTTTCCGTTATATTTTAATATTAATTAATAGAAACGAATAGTTCAAGTTGGTAAAAGAAATAAAAATATGCATCATACTATCTTTTCTATTATCAAAGATAATCTGTCCTAAAAAGGGATTATCTCTAATCTATTCCTAAAATAATTTATCTCTAACCTATTCCCAAAATAAATTCATTTCTAGTAACAACAAAGAAACAACAGAGAAACAACATTTCCGTAATTTCAAAATGCCTGAATATTTTACTTGAACATGTGAAAAAGTTTATTTTTCTTTAAAATTTTGAAAACTTCCTAGAACAGAAGTTTGAAATTTTTTAATTTAATACTTTTATCATTATGACATTTCTCGTAGATGATAATCCTTTTTGAGAGAAAATCATTCATCTTATTCATATAATGACCAATTATTGTATGCCGAAGTTGGGTTATTGAAGACGGAAGAGGGGAATTCTCAATACCGTCGCATATTTCTTCCATTTCCTCGGCTATCTCTACAATTTGCGAATCAGTCATCTGAAGAAGTGGAAAGTAGTGGACGATTACAAATGTACATTATAAATGTCGAAAATAGTACAAACGTTCTTGAAGAAGTCTTCTTCGCATAGTTTATCGAACGCTATAGTAGTGCTCGTATGCCAAACCCAATGATCAATGTTAGAGGCAACGCTGCACTAAAAGGGAGTTAATTAATTAACCTATATACAACATATCTAACTACTTACTTACTTGAAAGAATGCGACAAACGATCGCAATAGTATAAAGAACATTATACTATTGGGAATAATCTATTATAAAGAGAAAATGTTACCTTTTAACAAGAGTATCTCAATTACAAACCTCAACAAACAACGCAAATTTATTATTTAATAAATGCATTAATTGATAATAGAAATAGGACCATGTATCGCTTGATATTCCCGTCATAGAACGAAATATATGAGCGCACGAAGTAATGGCCTTTATCCAAAAGAATGACTGGCTTGGATAGTAAATTGTTTCGTCTAATATTTTAAAATATCTTTGAAAGCATAAACCAAAAGTTTGATTTTCCGATATCGATAGATTTAATGGAAGAAACTTTTGATAATCCATAGTTTCCGATAGTATCTAATTAATATGTAAATAGGTTAATTATAATTTGGGATATTTAACTAATAAAACGTATTTTACCTCCCAAATTAAAGCGCATTTCTTTAGATTAAGATGAACATTCTTAACATTTTTACCATTATTCGTATAAAGTAACCTCTCTAATTGTAAGACGATATCTAGATTAACTTCTCCTTTCATGTTCTTTACTATATTCAAAACATCTTCGTATTCGTGATCGTTTAATTTCTACGGAAGAAAAGAAGGTTTTTATCTTTTAAAGAAAGAAGGTCAATCACTTATTACGGAGAAAGATAGCATACCTTTTCTTTAAATGGTAATACTTCAGTTCTATTGTATATAAATACATTTCCTACATTCGATGCGATAACGAAATATTTCAAAAATGGTTTCTTAGCTAGAATCTCTCTGAAAAAGAAAGGTAAAGGAAGGAGGAGGAGAAGAAGAAGAACATTAAGGATATTATGGGAAAATATGGCAATTTTTAAATTAATTATCGCTCTTTATCACCTTCTATTAATAAACATTATATCACTTTCGTTATTTGTTAAGAATATGAATAATTTCTCTAAATTCCAATCCGAGTCCATAAAATAATTACGAAAATAGTTATATGACGATAATTCAACAATTTTAATATTCAATTCTACAAGAGATTTCACTTTTCTCAAAGTTGAATATTCAATATTAGATTTTGAATAATGGAAATATTTAAATACTTTTAAATAGTTCAAGTTTGTTAATTGATCAATACATCTAATTTTACATTTTTCAATATTAAACTCTTCCAAAAGAGGTAATTCCGTACAGACTAGATTGAATGCAGTTGTATCAAAAGCCGAATGACTAACGTCCAATTTAAGTAGAGATTTACATTTTCTTAAATAATCTAAACTTCTAAATATACAATGCTTTCTATTGGAGAATGAGAATTGTTTAAGCCTATTCAAATCAACTAAATTATCCAATTCCTTTAAGGATTTAATCGTATAACAATTTCGTAGTTCAAGAATTTCTATTGGATGATTTTTTAAAAATTCAAAATTATGAATATTTCGAAGTTTATTTCCATGGATACTGAATTTGATTAATTGAGTTTTTAGTTGACTGAATAGTGCCAAATTATTAGCAGTTATCCCACAATCAATATCATCTAGATATTTTAGTATTGAAATTGCTAAATAGGAAGGTAATGTATAATTTTTAAAGTTGCCTTTATAGAATATTTTCCCAAAGTTTATTGCTAAATACTGAAGAATTAAACTTTCTAAACTTGCTATTGTCATATTAATATTTTCAGAATTATGAAAAGTCTAACAATACCAACAAAATCTAATTGAAATTAATGTAAAAGAATCTTGTACAGATACTCTTCACCTTCAATATTTTACTACTTACTTCTTCGATTCAATTTCAATTCAATTCTTATAAATCAACAGTTCTATCTAGGCGTTTAATTACACCTTTTAATAATGAATATATTGCGAAAGATTAGTATTACGAAATGCTGTTCGCTAATCAGAGCACAATTTGCTAAATGCCATAAAAAAGTTTTCGTTCGTCTGCTTTGGCCAATCAGCATTTACCTAACAAAAGAAAAGCTGATTATTTTAATTAAAATGAAAAATTCTTAAGTTTTACTTGGACGATTTTTATCGAAATTAATTAAAACAATAAATTGTTAATTACGTCATTGAATAATTCTGTAATAAGTTAATAATTTAAAAATATTCAATTATATTTTTTAAGAAGGTAAAATAAAAAATTTTTTGGATGAAACTTTATTTTTTTTTAACTACCAGTTTTCAAATATATTTTACTTTTTTTTTATATTTATAAAACTTTTATTCTTAGTTTTCATCTTTTCCTCCTTCTCCTTACTTTCTTTATATAATTTATTTATCAAAACAAAGATATCAACAAGTTTGAATGAATTGAATGGAATATTTTAAAATGCTTAATTAAAGAGAAAATAATAATTTGACAAATCGAAGGAAGGGAAAACTTGCTCTTTTATCGTTACTATCTTAATAAATTAGGTTTTAATATCATAATATAGAATATATTGACTACAAACGTTCGCTTTTTAAAATATCCAAACTTTCCTAATTGACTAATGCTTCGATGTTTCTCTTTAAACGCAAACAACAATGCTTGTACGATGAACATTTGAGTTTGTCGACGAGAGACGCATGAAGACATCAACATTAAAAAAGTTGACAATCTCTCGTCACGTGATAAGAAAGTTCGAAGAGGATCCTAATTCAAAAAATATATATTAGATATGTAATATATCTTATACTAAACAGTTAATAGGCCTAACTTTAATGTTGATTTTCTTATCAATATTATTTTTTTGTATACTATGACTATGCCATTATGGCAGTAACTTACTGCTATATTTTTTTAACTACAACATCATTTTTAGTCTCTCAAACGTTTTTTTGCTCAATTTTTTTATACTGGCTTCAACATATAGGAGAATCTTTTATCTATTTGCCAAATTTACAATTAATAGGGTTTGTTATAATATTGAAATAATCCATTTTAATTGAATATTAATTATCGTCAAAAAAAAACAACAACAACAATAGGTTAATTATTTTACTTGTGTGGGCAGTATTAACTGGTTTCTATGTATGTTTTTCATGGATTTCATGGTTTTATCAACACTACAGGAGTTTATTTCCTAGAAATCTTTTAATCTTTTTACAAACTGCAGTCAGTTTCGTTTTTCTCTTAAAGAATATAAAGAGATTAAACTAATCAAGTATTTTTTATTTATTTATTAAATATAGGTCAATGAAGAAACTCATACTTTATTTAATTTTTTCGTAACGAGCTCTCAATTAGTTGCGCAGACATTCTTTTGTTCGGTATTCGTTTATTGGCTACAGCAGATGAATATAACTGACGTTTACGCTCTACTATTGAAAAATATAGGGTTATTGTACAACTTATGCAATTTATTATATAAATTAATAATAGCCTTCTCTTAATAGGTTAATTTTATTAAATATCATATCAATTTGTAATGGAATTTATACGGTTGGTTCATGGTTTCTTGATATTAAAAAGTACTTGGGGAAAAAGATACCTAGATACCATTTTTGGCTATTTTTCCAAACTGCTCTCTTTTACTGGACAATTCACTTTTTAATCTTTATCAATATGGATAATAGACGTTCAACGATAAAGAAGATTGAAACGTAAGAATATTTTCAATTATTAATAATTTTAATTTATTAAATTTTCCTTCTTTCATTCAGATCAGAATACTTTTTATCTCTACCTCTTTTAATTCACGGAATTGCTATTCTTTACGTTGTTTTTACATCGTTCAACTATATTTTTGAAAGAATAAGCCAAGTTGTAGGCTTTTGGAAAGTCTACTTTCGTTTTAACGAAACTTTTAATAGAGAATTGCATATAGTTTAAGATTTTACAAATGATTATACGATTGAACAACTTGAATTATTTTATTCTTTTATTGTTTTATTCATAAATATTCAAATTTTTTTATACTGTATATATATATACAACAAAAACTAAACAGAGACACCTAGTTAATACTTTATTAATATCTTAGGAAATGATTAAAACCTGTCAATATTGGAATTGGAGTCAGGGCAACGTATTAAAGTCTCCAATATTGTTTTGCAGCTGACTGAGTAAGAATAATGTAGTGTGTTATATATTTCAACATTAACAACACTTTAGAAATAACGTGTTTTTCACTGACTGAATTGTTTTGGTCGGCTTATAATAATACTTATAAATAATCTTTGTCCAATGTAAATAGGAAGTTAGAAACTGTTAATTCCTTTAGTGGAAAAAGAAAGAAGGAAAACGATATAAAACGAATTAAGCTTTCACTGAACCTTTGATATACTCTATATAGTGGATAGTATCTTAAAGTATATTCATATTAATAGCAACGCAATGGAAGCAAATAGAAAATTGATATTCCTACTTTCGTTCGGAACCTTTAATGGATATTTTTATACTTTTAGTTTGTACTATTCGTTATATTATCTGATTAATAACTTGTATTCAAGTTATTTATGGAAATGGATAGTAATTCTATTGTAAGTATTCAACTTTCTGTTTCAAATATACACTGCTCTGTATTCAATTGGCGCTTTTGATCAATAGAGGATTGTCGTCTGTAGCAATTGCAATCGTTCTCCTAATTAGTATTTTATCAATAATAAAAGAATTATACGATAATCTGGGAAAAGAATTGGATAAGTATCGTCTTCAAGACTGGTTCAAACTCTTATCAATAGTATTTATTACTCATCTTTATATAATAGGAATAAATGCCAATTCAATAATGCTACACTTACAATACGGCGATTACTTTTGCAGGTAAAAAGAGTTTGTTTATATCATTAGAATAATATTGTATTATGATTTCTTTCCAGTTTATACATTCATATTATCATCTCCTGCATTATCTCTGGAATATTAACAATCTATATCTTTATCTATGTAATAGACGGAGAACTTTGCAAAACTTCACAATTAACTGTCTTTCTCGTAGCCATTTTATTGGTATCGTTCCTTGTACAGTTTATATCAAAGAATTATCTTACATTTCAATCATCGTGAATTGTTTATTACGTTATCTCAATAATTATTAAATAAAATTGTTTTGAATAGGCCTATTTTTTATTTAGTTTCAACTATATAAGATTTTCTTAATTGATATCAATTTCGTAACTATGGTAACGTATTTTTTTTCTAAAAAAAAAACAACAACAACAACAGCAAATGTGCTATGACGTTATGAGCTATGATAAATCTATAAAATATGAAAAAATCGTAGCTAAACGTTAAAGAATATTATTCGATCATAGTATTGATGGACTACCATCATCTGTTAAAAAACTGCAATAGGAAATCGTTAAAATTTTGAATAATACTGTCGAATATAACATCTATTAAATTTACTTGAAAAACTGGTATTTGGTTGTGACGTTTAGAATGATAATACTTTTAATAATCGCATCATTTACCTTGTGTAGTTGTGAACGTAATGAATATTTCCTAATACAATTGAATACTATTGTGTATTATCTTTTATGATGTTCAATTCTCTTTCAGCCATTGGATTTAAACCATTGAAATATCAAGGAAAACTTTGTGAATCGGAAGCTTGGGATATACAATGTGAAGGTGATCGTTTTATTCATGTTGTTGGTATTAACTACGGTAGAACCGAAGGTGATTCTCACTGTCTTCCTTTTATTGATAACAATTCTACGTAAGATAAAACTTATAAATGTTATTTACATTTAATAATTAATTTACATATGCAAATTAGTATAATTGAGGAGTGTCATACGAATGCGATTAATATAACAACATTAGTAAAAGAAGATTGTGATGGGAAAACGGAATGCTCATTGGATATTAGTAGATTAGCGGAACACGCTAAACATTGTCCTAACAACTCTTATCCTTATCTCGATTTACACTACGAATGTGTGGTGAAGACTAAGACAAGATATATTTGTAAAACTGAAGGACCAATGTCGATTATATGTCCATCTGATCATTTAATTATGATAAGAAATGCTGTCTTTGGACAAATAGCCGGCGAAGATAGATGCTCATCATTAGAAGCGCCTAAAGCGAATTGTTCTTCACTTAACACTTTGAAATATGTTTATTATCAATGTCAGAAAACTTCGAATTGCGAAATTAGTTGGGAAGCGAATGATCCTTGTCCAATAGATAACGATTTAAACAGTTTTCTAGAAGTTGAATATGCGTGTTTAAAGTGTAAAAATGAAAAACCAAATCGTAAATGTAATCATTTAGCAAAGATTGGCCATTGTCATAAGAATCCTGGTTGGATGTATACTTATTGTAGAAAATCTTGCTGGAAGTGTAGGACTATTCGAGATATTGGTAAAATAATTGAATATGTTTAAAAAAAAAGAAAAGGGAAATTTCAATACCCTTTTGTTTTTTTGCAGAACAATGCAAAAATACTGCAATTGCCGATAATCAATGTGAACAGTGGGTAAGGGAAGGAAAATGCTATAGTGATCGGAAACATATGCTATTATTTTGCTTAAAATCGTGTAGAAAGTGTCGCGAACCTAAAGGTATCATTAAATATTATCATTATAGAGTGTTTCGTTCAATTCATTTCCGGTTTTCTATTTAACAGGTATTCCAACGTGCGTAAATAATCTACTAGATGACGCTCTATGCGAAAGGCTAGCCTATTACGGATTCTGCCAGTACAATCATGATTCCATGAACGATCTTTGCTTCAAAACTTGTAGCGGATGCGAATTCATTGATAGTAAAGGTGAAATATGTTTCAAATCTATAATATTTCACTAATGATCCTATTAATTTTCCTCCATAGGTGACATCTGCGATAATCCTTCAGGAGATGAAAATTGTAATAAGTGGGCATCAACTAATGAATGTGATCTCAATAGAGATTGGATGTCTCAGCAGTGTACTAGAGCGTGTAAAAGGTGTAATGAAGTAAAACGAACCAAGGAGGAATTACCAAAAATTGATTGTTTTAATTCATTTGGCGATGAAACATGTAGAAAATGGGGAACGGATATTCATTGTCATATAAATCCACAATGGATGTTGCATATTTGCTATAAAACATGTTCAAAATGCGATGAAAAAGCAGGTATTATTGTCATTTTATTAGATAATAGATTTTTAATAGCTTAGTCATTTGTCTAAATCTTATAATATATTCATAAAGAACCAAAATGCGTTAATCTTATTGGCGATGATAGCATTTGTTTAAGATGGGGAATTTCTGGTCTTTGCGTAAAGAGAAGGAATTTCATGGAACAATACTGCTATAAGATGTGCACTCATTGTAAACCAATTAAAGAAAGTGAGAGTATTACCACCTACCAGTTATAATAAATAAATGTATTCTTTTATAATATTCCTGTAGAACCTATCGATTGTTCATCTATTAGAAAAGAATGCGCTGATTGGATAAAAATTAACGGATGTAGTAAGAAGAAGGGTTCGATGTCTATTCTATGCTTTAAGGAATGCGAAGCTTGTCAGTTAAATATCGACAATACCATCACCTTAAGATAAATTGGAAAAATATTAATAAACTCTTTGTTTTTATATAGAAACCGTCTGATTTTTATTCGTAAAAATATATTTAGTATAAAAGTATAAACAATTTGCACTTAAAAATGACTTTTAAGTATGAAAAGTTAAGTTTTTTAACCTCTCTTTCAGAGCAGTTAACTCTTCCCCCTCCCCCACCCCTTCAAAAACATACATAACGTTCAGTCTATAATACAAATTCAATAGAATATATCGTATATATAACTTTCAATTTTCAACATCTTTAAATGAGATATAGAAACAGTTATAAGACTAAAATCTCTGCAGGAAATGTTCACTCAACCCTACAATGATGACGAAATTATAATTAGTATAATACTCTAAATAAAACTTATTTAACAAGATTAATAATCATAGATAAGAATACAATTAATAAGATAGCAGGTTTTGATATGTTTACACCTGATTGACCGTCCAAAAACCAAAAGTTACATTTTTCACCTGTACAGCACTTTTCACATTCTGTTTTTCCTTCAACAGTTTGACATTTTTCATTCTCATTTTCCGATGTACAAGTCGCATTAAAGCATCCTCTTTTAAACGTAACCTGGTCGCCTGTTTTTGTTCTGTAAGCCATACATTCTCCAACTCCGCAATCGACAAATTTAATTTTATCAGTTTCTTCTTTTATATCTTCTATGCTTTTTCCACAATCCTTCTCACTGCCTTGGCATTGGTAGCATTTACCTGAAAAGAGGAATATCTCAATGAATAGAAGATGGAGGGAGAGGAGGGGGTTTATGAGAAAAATATACTTACGAGCACATTCCCTATTGAAATTGTACAGGTAAGTTCCTTTTTTACATTGTGTACATTTTCTACCGTGTACGCAAGAATTGCAGCCAGTAACTGTACATGGAACGCAGCCTAATTTATCATCTTGTAAGGTAAATGAAGATTTACAGGAAAGACAAGGAGCTTTTCCTCCTTGCGGAGTTGGACCGCAAGTTCCACAATTTATAAATGCAGCATCGTCACAACTTCTACAAGTTCCGTCACTTTGAAGAGAATAGGAAGAAGATACACATTTACTGCATCTGACCAAGTTAGTTGATGATACGGAGCAAGTTTCACAATTGGATGGACAAGCCAAGCAACTGCCATCAGAAGTTCTTGCATATTTATCATTACACTTAGTACACTCGTATTTGTGATTAAATGTACATTCTTTACAATTACTAGGACACTTTCCGCAATCATCGTTATTGAGGTAATATTTATCTTGACAGGAGTCACATTTAAACTCATCCCCGGAAGGAGAACAAATATTACAGTTTGTAGTTCCGCAAAGTTTACATTCTGTACCGCTAAGACCATAGTTTGAAAGGCAAGCTTTACACTCTACAGTACCTTCATCGTTTAGAGAGCATTTACTGCAGCCCGCTGGACAAATTGTACATAATTGCTCTTTATTTTTATAATAATGAGGGATACATGAACTACAAGTGAATTTACTAGTATCTTCTTTAAAAGAGCAAGAGGTACAACCAATCGGACAGTTTTTACATTCTCCATTTGACAAATCTTGAGTTGAGTTACATGTTTGACAAACTGTTTTACCATTCTGTCTAACTGAAATTACGCAATCTGCTTTAGTTTCGTAACATTTTGAATCGCCGGAAAATAGAAAATATCCAGGTTTACACTTTCCAAAATCGCATTTATCCTTGCCAGAACTATCGCACGATATACAATTAGAATCGCAAGCTGTAAAGTGAACATGTAAATTTTGATTCAATAAGATATATTAAAGAAACTTTACCAAGGCATACGTTAGGCGTTACTCCAGTGTTTAATGTATAACCTTGTAGACATGTTTTTGGTAGTAGAGTATTGGATTGAGCACTTTCATAAATACATCTAGCTACGCCTTCACCAGTACATTTAATACAAGTTCCTTGTAGTCTATCTCTAATATATCCTTCTTTACAACCATTTGGTAGACATGTTGTCCCATCCAAGCAAAAATCGCAACCAAAAGTACACGGTTGGCATGCTCCGTTGGAATCTTGATAAAATCTACTTTTACATTTTAAACAGAAGAATTTATTATAAATATCCTTAACGCATTTATCGCAATTGGCTATTGTACAAGTTTCGCACATGAAGTCTGAATCTCTTAAGGCTGCTTCGCCACAACCAAACTGAAGGCATACGGTTTTTGCTATATCGGTTGGATCTATTCTACATTCACTACAAGCCACAGGCGTTGTTGGACATTGAATACAAGCTCCTTGAGTATTGAGAGCGTAGCCAGTTAAACATTCTGTACACTTATTTATTGTAGTAGGTACACCGCTCGAATCAACGGAACACTTTTTACAGCCTGTTTGACAAGCCAAACAAGATCCAGTTCCGGCAGAACTGAATGCAAATTCGCTATCGCAAGCTGAACAAGACTCAATGCTACCAGCAGTTGTTGTACTTTCTCTACAAGTTGAACAATTAGGTTGAATAGCGCCGGGTGTGTCTGTTGAACAACTGAGGCACGAAGAGCCATCGGCACTGAGGACGTAACCAGAGACACATTCGGAACATTTGCATTCATGATTAGTATCCAGTTTAAAATTTCCAGCTTTACAGTTTGGAAAACCAGCTGGTACACCGCAAGAAACGCACCCAAGACCGTCACTTCTCTTTATTTGGTTCGCAAGGCATTCACAAGTACATCCGGATGTCGAAATTTTTTTGATTCCAACAGAACAATTAAGTGCACCGCAATCAAAACAAGACATACCGTCGTCAGTTGGTTCTCCTATGGCACATCCAGAGCAACCGCAAACATATGCCTCATCTAAAAGTCTCCATGAATACGAAATACAATTTGTGATTCCAGTACATTTAGTACAACCCGTCAAATCGAGATTCATTATGTAATAATTGGGATGTACATCATTAGAACACCTTCCACATTTACACTGTCCAGCTATTGGCACTGCAAAAGCACAATTTTCCAAACTGTTTGCTGTACAATTCGTACAAGTATACTTGGAAGTGGAGACAACGTCAATTGCAAAATCATTTTCACATCCACCGCAGCGACCTTCGGTTCCGGTATTACCGTCAGATATGGCGAAATAACTATTACAACCGTCGATAGAATTAGCTAGATTCGGAGATGATACCTGAACTGGAGCTGATGTTCCATCGAAAGATTGCATAAAACCATCTGCTTGAATTCTACAATTGAGAATTGAAGGACTTGTGGCATATGCATATCCTGGTTTACAGCCTGGGTTGAAGGGAGTTAAGGGTACACAGGTACCTCGACCAGGACTCAATGCATAATTGCTTGAACATTTGGCGCAACTGGAAGCAGGTCCAGGTCCAGTAGGTGAACCGGTTATAGTGATTTGTTTAACACAGTTGGTAATTATCGGACTGGGAGCGAGTGCGCCACACGAAGATCCCAATTGTAGATCGGCAGATAGGGGCGAAATTAGATTTTCGGTTGATTGGCACTCTTTACATAAGCAGGTACCTCCTCCTGCAACTGTAGCCCAAGATGTAGTACATCCTCCAACAGGAGATGAGCAAGGTGTTGCGCAATCAAACCCTACACCGGATGAACATTCTAAACATATAACACCAGACGGTTCTTTAGTGCACTCTGTACATAAAGAATATTCTGCTGTGCAATTTTTACAGATTCCTCCATCAAGATAGAAGCCAACTTCACACCTAACGCAGTCAACTCTAAAGTCGTTTGGAGCAGATGGAACGCTTGTTCCCCAATCTAAACAATTTGCCGGAACAGCTAACGTATAAAGAGATGATATTTAAATGAAAGTTTGTTACTTTTTCAATTGTGGAACACTTACCTTTACATTCGTATCCTGGATTAACAACTGCTTCATAACCAAAACGACACGTGTCAAGCCCCGCATTGGAATAAGTTCCGTTACACCATAAAGCATTTGGATAAATGTCTACACAACCTATAAAAAAGACCATAATACAGTATAAACTTTTCAAACTGTAAAGTTTCTTTGTGTGTTACAACATACTTCGACATCTCTGGTGGTCAGATGTTTCTTGAAGAACTGTGTATCTTTGAGTGCTTGATGCTGACTGATCTCCAAGGCAGCTTCCCGCTTTACACCTACATACGGGAGGAGACCCTCCGTATTCTAAAGTTTGACAATGAGGTCTAGCTTTTGTACAATCTAAAAAGAATTATTTGATAATATAAACCGAATTTTAAATTGTCTTGTACATACCATAACATCCTTTTACAAACGAAGCTCCAATTTGGACACTTATCCATTGTCGAGCGCCGACACAAGTTTTACAAACAACATCCTCTTTATTCGTTGTTAATTCGCATCTTTGGCAATAGACTCCGCAACTTTTACACACACCAGCATTGATGCCTGCCTGAATAACAAGGGCTCCAGCTGGACAGGATCTACAGTAGCATATATCATTTTCATCAACAATAGAATCAGCATTGCAGCTACTATCTGATGGACAATTTCCAGAGCAGTCCATACTTGAAAATGAAAATTTCTTGTTATTTCCATTAACTGACTTGGAAGCGCATGGAGACCTTAGGCATTTTAAATTATTATCAATAATTTCGCAATGAGCACAACCCTCCAATGAACTACAGGATACACAAGATTCGATTTGATTCTTACTATTATACTTCGAAGCGTAACCAATGCTACATTTTTGACAAATATTATTACTAGCTGTTTTTCGGCAATATTCACAACCGAATAGACAATCGAAACAACTTCCGGTTTCATCATCAAATCCCTTGAATTTAGCACATTTTGAAGCGTAACAAATTGGTGTAGGAGAATCGTTCGTTTTGAAATAGCACTTTAAACAACCATTCGGACATTCTGTAAATCGTATTATTATTATATTTTATTATATAAAATTCTAATCATTGTTTACAAACCAACGCAAGTTCCGTCGCTTTTTACCGTCCATGATTTTCCTTCGTTATTCTCAGTACAAGAATGAGTTACACTATCTCCATTACATTCTACTCTAGAATTCGATGAACTATATGTGCAGGCGTTACAATTATCTGGACATTTAGAGCATAGCTTTTTATCGTTTATGGCGTATCCTGCAGCGCATTTATCATCTTTGCATATAAGACTTCCAGAATCAACTTTACATTCTAAACAATTCTCTGGACATGCGTCGCAGCTCTTTGAAGAAATAAGAGTGTATTGTACAGAGCATTTCGTACATTTTATAACGCCGCTAGTTTCTGCGCAAGTGGCACAATTTCTAGGACAAGGGAGACATTTGTTCTCCTTAACAAAATAACCATCATTACACTTTTTGCATTGATTTTTACCGCTTGTTGCGTCGCATTCGGCACATTGAGAATCAATGATAGTACATAGCTCACACTTGTTGAGGTTTGTAAGTGCGTATTTCGTTGATATACACTCCGAACAGGCATCCTTATTCAAGCATTTTGAGCAGCCAGCGATAGATGTTTGACATAATTTACATATTGCCGTTGAACCACTATTGTCTATGTATGCTTGAGATGAACAAGCAGTACAACTAACTCCTCTACTTGCGATAAACTCGCATGTTTCACAGTACGATCCGCAAGCTGTTTCATTTAAGGATAATAGACACATATTGTAAGTATTCATTCTTTCATTATTACAACGAATTAATGAATAACTTTCGTTACCTGAACATAATTGATCATCGTTCTTTATGTATCCTTTTATGCAAGATGTACAAGTCTGAGTGGCACCGGAAGTAGCTGCTGTACAATTCCTGCAACCAGTTGGACAACCTAAGAAAACAAGATTATTCAATAAATATGATTCTAGATAAATTATTCTTAATCTTGGCTCACTTGAACATTTATCTTCTTCAAGAATATAACCACCTATACAACCTTTACAAATTGTAGCTTCATTCTCATTTTCCCAAGTTTCCTTTTCCTCGCATTTCTCTACGTTGCAGAAACTTGGACAAGCTGTTAAATAGATTATAATCTATTATAATCTATTCATAACTAGTTACATAATAAACTTTCACTTACTTAAACATTTCAAGCCATCTTTACTCAAAATCCTACCGCTTGAACAAACTCCACAAGCGGTTAGCTTATCTCCCTCTTGCTCAACTTCACAATTTTGAATATTTCCTGCTCTTGAAGTTACTCCAGCTTGAACAGCTGCAAATAATAAGTAATTTAATGTATTATGATTTAAGGTAGTATAATATTGTAATAAACTTATGCCTACTGTAAATATCCAATGCAAAGAGGAGAGAAAGCAATAGAATATATCTCATTTCTGGACGAATTTTATGTAATTATTCTAAAAAGACAATATATTATTATGAAGGAAGGAGAAGAGCTAATATATGAACATTTAGCTTCGTATCTCGCTTACAATCTATGATCGTAAGAGTATTTATACTCGCTCCATTCAATAGGTGTTGTTTATCAACAGGTATCTATGGCATTCGCTATAAAGATTGACTTAATTCATAAAGGCATGCGCCTTCTTTGAATTGATTATTATAAAAATAATAACTATACAAATTGAAAGCTCTAACTTCTATAACATTTGTAAAAATAACAGTCATAATTGTAACATTTTCCTTATTCTATTAATTCCTTCATGGCGGAAATCATTAATTGATATTCGTATTCTTATCTTCCCATTACAAAATTACTATTAAAAAGAATAGCGAACTTATACATATTAACAACCGGAAGTTATATTTAAAGAAGAATTATTTTTAACTATACATATTTATCAAATATTAGGATATATCTCGATTTTATTACTTTCAAAAGAGAGATTATTTCTGGGGAATTAAAGAAAATAGCTGACAAGAATGTCGAAAGAGAGAGAAATATGTTTTGAATTGAACAGAAAACAAGGACATCTCTTCGATTAAAGATTGTATTGATTATCAAAGTTTTCTTTATAGAGCAATTTAGAGTTTGCGTTAATTTCTTTAATTTTTCCACTTATTACTTAATCAATTCGGCTATTAATTAAACTAGACATAGACCTATGCTAAATGTTGTTTACTTCCTATATATATCGTAATATGAACATATTGACTTATGAGTTTGATTACTCCGGAAATGAGTGATTATCTGTGGTTGAATAGCGATTAATTTTCACTAGTGTTATTCTCTTTCTTTATTATAGATAGCAAATGCTATAGGTAGAAGAGAAAGCAAATTGGTCTTATTCCAACCGGAAGCATTAGGCTATTCACCCTTTTTCATTATCTATTTTACCTTTCACTTGCCAATGAAGTTGTAAGCAAGATTCCAATCTAGAGGCTAGGTTTTTATCTTGGCAACGAGGTGTTTTTCAGAGAGATTTCCAATAAAAGAAATATTACGAAACGCGTTTAATTGTTTACTTTTCGTTGAAAAACATCTTTTAACCTTTGAAAAAGCTGTACATTAATTATTAATAAGTTATTCGTACTGTCAAGGGCAATAAAAAGAGAGGAAGAGTGTAACGTAATTAATCTCTCAACCTAATTGTCTAGAGCAAATGCCTTAGGGAATATCGAAATCTGGTATATTATACTTCAACTTTTTGGTCTGCTAAACGCAGAAGCATTAATGAATTTTTTATTGCTGTAATAAATTATTACAAAATCTCTAAGTTGTTTTATTGTTGTTCCTATATACAGTGTATGAACAAGCTTTTTGTGGTTAGATTAAAATTGGTTACTTTTGAAATTTACACACTGTCTGTTGTATAATCTGTATGAAAGATATGAATAAGGATAGAATCTGATATCCTAATTAAATTTCTAAAGGTATCAATCTTATAATCATCTTGTACTCATTCCTAATCCATCTGGAAACTTTGAAAAAAAGAAGAGAAGGGTTTATAATACAAGTCATAATAAACAAGTATACTGTATTAACATCAACAATAGAAATTACAATATAAACTATTTCTTTATGAAAATCGTTTCTTTAAGATACGCTCAACAAGTAGAGCAAACGAGTGCATATCTTCTGCGCGCTTTTCATCATCAAGCATTGAAAAGTTTTCCCAGAAAACGAGATATTTCTTAGTCTTCTTCTAGAATGTATAAATGAAAATAATGAATACAATACCTAAGCTTTTTACATTCAAGATTCAAACCTGACAAACAACATTACGTTCGCTTAATTGACCATTGAATGATAAAGAATTATCGTGAATATAACAGCAGGCAACTGCAATTCGTTTGATACAATAATAATAGTTATAGTTGCGAAAGAATTCATTAGATAGCAAAAGACTTTGATGAATGGTGGGAAGCGTCGAATGGCAGATGAAATTCTTGTTAAAAAGATGTAAATAGGAGGTAACTTTTTAAATAAAGGTGTAAACAAGTTATGTAATAATAATAATTGAATATCCCATTAAAGGTAATAAATCGTTATAGACTACTTACAAAACCTATAAAATTCCTTTTCAATCTCGTAAATGATTAATTGTCTATAACGGAATTAGAAACGTGAACAAAGGTAATTTGAATAATTAATTAGAATACTTTCTATTCATTATCCTTTCTCGAGCTTTTTTTTGGGAGCTTCTTAATTCGGACAAAGTGTAGATAAGTGGATTAAGGATGGAGTTGAAAGGAATAAGGATAATGGTAATTATCGCATAAGTATCGTTGTTTATATTCAATTTATTTAATGCAGATAAAACTCCTAAAAGGAATAATATTAATGATTAAATAGCAATGATAGTGAAGGATGAAACTAAAAGACCTAAAAGAGAAATTGGAAGCCAACATAGTAAATTTGTTAAAACAATCATTAAGATGGTTCTTATCAGTTTATTTTGAGTTTTTACATGAAGTTTTGATTCTTTCCACTTTTTCATTGATCGTTTTACCTTCATTAATAAATCTATATAAATCGAGGCGTTAACTAGACTAAGACAAAGTGTAAATATTCCAAAGATTATAAATGAAAAGATCCATCCTTCCCTTTTCTCTCCTCCAATTTCAATATTAAAACAAATAGGTGAATTTGAATAAAATTTCTAAAATAGAAATAGGTTATTCAATGTTTGTTTTTTTTTGTCTAGTCAGCTAAATTTTCAAAAAAAAAAACCTTATAGAATATAACAGGAGCCAAACCAATAAGAAGAGAAATAGATATAATTAAAAGTAGTAGAATTTTGGAATATTTAGTTAGCATTGAAATATTTTTAGGATTTAAAATAGCTCTATGTCTATCAAGAGTTAATAAAAGTAAACTGGTAGCCGACAATACTAAAGAGCTAGTCATTATTATTCCACTAAATTGACAAAGTATACTTTCTTTCCAATTCTCCTCATTTTCCAGATAGCTTTTATAATAATGAATATCAACGCATGCAATTATAAAGATATAGGTTGATGTAAAAAAGTCACCAATCGATAGGGATAGTCGATAAGGTTTTGATGGTTTCTTTGACTTTGATATTAGAAATATTGATAATAAATTCAATAAAACTCCAGTGGTTCCAAGTATCCAAAATAGAATTCTTAAGATGTTATTACTCAATAAATTTGAACAAGTATTGAATAGAGATGAATCCGGTTTACAAATTATACGATTACCAATATATTTCCAACTTAGACAGCATAGTTTATATCTATTGCTGAAGATTTTAACTAAGTTTTTCAAGTATCTAACAATGCGAACAGCCTGTTTAGCCGGGAATTCTGTATTGTTCAAGTACAATTCTTGTAGATTAATTAACTCTTTAAATGAAGTTCTTTCTATTGTACGAAGATGGCAATTTTGTATTTTAAGAACCCGTAGAAGTTTCAAATTATCAAATGTTATAGGATAGATATGAGATATAGCTGTTTCAGTTAAATCCATATAGATAAGATTAATTGCAAGAGTTAGTAGAGAGAGTTTGGAGAAATCCAAAGGATTATAGGACAAATCAAGATACTGTAAAACTCTAAGAGGTCCTACTTTTAAAAAGTCTATAGTCTTTAAATTGTTTCTAGCTAGAATAAGAGTATACAAGTTTGGTACGATAATTGATGAGTCGTTTAGATATTGGTTGTTTGTTACGTTTAGATAAACTAGAGAATACGAACGAAAGAACTCTTGAAATTGAAGATTTCCTTCTAGGGTAGCTTTCTTAAAATTCTTATTGATTGAAGAGATTAGATTTCTTCCTTTATTTGGACTTTTGCAGATAATCTCTAAGAGAAATGGTTGATAACAGAATTTGATATTGGAAACGGGAATTTCGCAATTTAATTCATCACTTCCCAAGAAACAATCAATGATACCATTGCATAATTTATCAGAAATTAAAAATAGGCTTTCTTTTCTACACTTAAAAAATCCTTTCGCTATGAAATTCTCTATAAAAAATGAAGAGAGAGAGAGAATAGAATGAAAGGTGTATAAAGTGATGAAATACCGCAATTATCTTCATCATCTTGATAGATACAATGATAATATCCATCGCAGACAAACTTTATATCTATACAAAATTGTTGCTCTTTACACAAGTATTCTCCTTTATTACAAATAATGTTTTCATTGTCTTCATTAGAATTTATCATAGGAATCTCAGTTCGAAGATTGTTCATTGAATCGTATGATACGCTCCTTTTTCTGTTAGATGTTTGTTGAGGGACGTTTAATTCGTCTAATAAATCTCTACAATTATATATTCCGTCGCCTATAAACTCTCTTGGTAAACATTCTCCGTCGCATTCGAATTGATAATGGTGATTACAGCCTATAGTTAACTTTCATTGAGTTAAGAAGAACAAATAATTGTCATCACACCTTGACTAATGGCAGTTACTTCGCATATTTCGTCGCTAGAGTCGAAGCAGTTTTTCTCTTCATTACAAACCTTATTGTAAGGGATAGATTGACCATTTTTACAAGTATAGTTAAGATTTTTGGATAGTTTCTCATCGAATGTTTTCCATACTGAACGGATAAAACATTAGAAGAAAAGATGGGCGAGAAGATAAGTTGGGTTAATTGAAGTTTTAATACAATTTCTCTTTATAATTTACCGCAGTAGAGTTCGTCCGATTGATCATCGCAATCAATTTGAAGGTCACATACTAAAAGATAGCTTATTGTTTGATTATAGCTTTGACATTGATACTGCTCTAAGAGAGAATTTTTACATTCTTCGTCCTCGCCAGACGGACAATCAAAAATTCCGTCGCATAAATAAACATAATTAATACATATTTGATCTTTTGAACATAGAAAACTATTATTCTTACAATAGAATTGTTCAAGCTCCGTTATGGATAATCCGAAGTAATTGGATCGTTTCTCTCCTATTAAAGAAATATGTATGAATTAATAAATGTCGATATTAAATTCTAGACAAACTATACCTAAAATTTTATGACAAATCAATACGTTAT